ACGCAGAAGCTGCCATGCTGCTAGAAGAAGCAACCTGTAGGATTACAGAGTGCAAGAGCCCGTCCAACGTTCTCTGGCATTTGGCGAGCATTACAGAACTATGTTGAAGTTTGCGGCATCGGGTGACCTGTAGCTCGCTTGACCCAAAACTCCCAAGCTCTGCCCTCAGGCTAGACTCGAAACCCTGATTCCGAACCACCAAATTTTCAACTTCAATCCCCAACACCCACGGGCAACTCCGAACCCTCAACTCTTCTGTCACCCCAAGTGAAATGGCTGTTTCGGTAACTATAACTGTGGACCTCTTGTCCTCCGAAGGTGAAACTGTACAGCCCTCGAACAACCTTATCCAAACTTTTGCAGCGCCCCTATAGTGATCCTTATCCCTAAAGTCAACCCTATAGACCCCCCAAGGCCCTTAGCCGTGAACCTTATCCCTAAAGGTCCAAAAACAGCCCCTGAGGACCGAACTCTAAACCCTACACCCAAACTCTAGGGGTTACCAAGACTGTTTTGGTGGTTTTCTAGTAGAATTAAATAGTACAAAGGGCACCAAAACCCTATTCTACTTATTAAGGTTCCTATGGTACACCCCTAAGCCCTTAACGCTCGACCCTAAAACCTGATCGAAGCCCTTATATCTTATCCCTAAAGTCCTAAAAAGCCCTCAAGACCGAACCCTAAACCCCAGACCCTACTAAGCCCCTAAGCCTCCACCCTGAAGACCTAAGGCACGGACTGGAAGGAGGATGGTACCGGAGCGTACCGCTGTCAGAAAGACCGCGGTGGTGCGGCAGCCCCCTGGTTTGGAATCGGAAGGGTGGGGGGGAGGGAGGGGGGGTTTCTTCGAGTTTGGCTATCTTCTGAAGGCCACCTATAAGGCTCCTGGTAGGCTGTAGGGTTTAGAAGGGAATTAGGAGTTTTCGGGCATAAATGCACTGAGAAGGTCTCGGAGGCAATCCATAAGCTCCCGCGACAAGCCACGAACCGTCATCAGAATTCCCGGCTTCCAACGGGAAGTTGTGCGACGAACGCCACTTCGACGGTATATCTGCGTTTAAGTCAAGCGGGGATGTAAACGAGCTGCGGCTTCAGGGTGCATGTTGATGGGCCCTGCAGCTTCAATGCGCGCGTTGGTTGCGGGTGTGCCATTTTGTCAGCTTGAAATCCCGATCCGTGAACCTGCGCGATTCCGAGATGCATTTGCTTTCGAGCCTCATTTATGGCCTTGCATACGCCTTAATTACTTGAAGCACGAAGGCACAGTGTACCGGCTATTCTCCTGGCAAGTGCTCAGCCGTAGCACTAGAGGAGTCAGGGCACATCGAAACATCCATTTCCTATTCTGGAGCCAGGGATTTCAATCATGGCACCAATTCGTGGAACTGCGTGGGCCTTTGGCCTCTGTGGGACGTACATCTTTCGGCAACCCTTTCCGAATGTTTGAGACATGCACAGAACATATTCGGGGCACCTCGACCCGAAAAAAGGAAGCCGCCCAAAAATCACGGCAAAACACTGTATTTCTCCCATGCTGTTCAGACCTGCCTCTCGTGAAACCTGCACCAGCTTGCCAAGCCCCAACGTACCCCATTCCTCCATTCCCGACTAACCCTAAACCCTAAACCCTAAACCCAAGCCCAGAACCCTAAACCCTAAACAACAGGATCGTTTCGCTGATTGCCATGCAGACAGTCCGAGCTGAGGTCTTCAATGCCCAGACGTGCACGCTCTGGTTAGAATCAGGCTTGGGGGTTTCGGGTTTATAGGGTTTGGGGCATTTAAGGTTTGGGGTTTAGGGCTTGAGTGTTTAGTCTTGGCGGTTTTGGTGTTTCTGGGTTCTGGAGTACCATACTTGAATGCCTTTTTTGGACCTGGTCAGTACAGGAGCCATTATGAAATGAACATCTTTCCCTTTTTCTCCCTGGTTGCTTCACATTCCAGGTTTAGAGTTTTCAGTATTTGGGGTTGTGGGTGTAGGGCTCAGTGCTTGCCGGTTTAGGATTCAGGGTCTGACACCGGAACAACTGAAGGATTCGCGGCATAACGCCGGAAGGCTTGCGTGATGGATTATGTCCCTTAGGTTGTTTAGTCAATGTCCTCTACCGGAAGGCGTGATGAACTGTTGCAACAACTTTGGGGGCACTTAATTCCGTAACTGCGATGGGAAGTTCTTACTTCTAGGGGTCAGGAGTGCAGTGTTTGAGTCTAGTTTCGCCGAGCCTGAATCGAAGTCGGAGCTGGGACGTCTTGAACCGCCCAGTGAGGGGCGTCGAATTTGCTTTCATCTGGTTTCTACATGGTGTTCCCCGGAGGAGTCCATTCTCCGAAAAGCCACAACACCCAAACCCTATGAAGTCATAGACCACACAAGGCTACAATGGCTAGAATCCCAATTATCGGAAACTCCCCCATAGCCCCAAAGCATCCGAAAGCAATGTCATGAGCAATCGATCGTTTTCGGGAGGCCTGCTGCGGCCCATCCCACCGAAGTTGCAGCGGCTCCCACAATTCGCCTAGACCTCGGATCGTCTGGAGAACTGTGGTTTTAGGGTATTCTTTGTCATAGTTGGGTAAAATTTTACATTTTTAAGGGGTACTTAAACCCAATAAGGAATAAAGATTTTAATTTTTAATCTTATCCCAACCATGAACCAGTATTGAGATAGAGCAGATAGGAAGGTTACCCTCGCCTGCTATGAGTGTAGCAGCTACCGTCATAATCAAGTTGTAGATGAATGAGAGTCAACTTGGAGGTAAGATGAGCTCAGCCACTGCATGTAAACTACAATGATATCGGTCAGAGTTGTACTCATGGTGAACTTGACTTTCAGATTCTATGCTTTGGAGCTGTGACCACACGAGCTACAGCAAGAATAGCAAGCACATCAAGGGTGAAGAGCAGCCATGCAGTTCGAGCTGCTGCTCGTACCTTCGGATTCTAACGTGTATTCCCTTGTTTTTCACAGTACACAGCGACTTGCAGCCGCCCAGACCCCTCAACAGTTTCAGTTTCACTGAGTCATGCAGACGACATCGCAGGGCAAAAGAATAGCTGGAATAACCCTATGCCCTCCTCGATGCCGCACCAGCCTTGCATTAAGCAGCCCAGTAAGATCCTGCAAGTCCTCGTCTCGACCTTGGACGGCTCTCCCACACCCGAAGAACCAGAAACCCAGCAAAAGCCGTGTTGCTGTACAGCCTTAAATCAACCAAGAGTTAATCCATTTAGTTCACTAGATCCCTAGGGTAACCCTCACCAGGTCTCAAGACTCTAGCATCCAAGGCCCCTCAGATTCAGAAAAAGCGCTGGAAAGGCAAGTAGGCAAAACGACAACCCAGAAATCCTGAATACCCCTAAACCCTAAACCCCAAAACCTAAACCGCTAAACCCTAAACCCTACACCCCTAAACCAAAGTTAGCCCAGAGTCAAAACTCGAACGACCTCCTTTTGCCGAGGCGGAGTTCTTCCGACAGCATCCGGCAACTGGGTCCTGAAGTCGAAAACCTAGGTAGGGCTTTGGGACATTTTATATTTTCCCTTATTGGGCTTAAGAGGATCTTATTTACGAATATTTTGCAAAAGCTTTAAAAGTCCCACCTAGAAACGGTCTTGATATGAGAACAGGTTCCCTTGTTGTACTGGTTCCTGTAATAAGGGATGCTATAGGGAATTTTAGTGGGCTTGATCGGAGAATGCTCCTGTTCCAGGAATAACTTGAAAAGGGTTTGGGGGTAGAGTCAAGCAAGGAACTCTTAGGTTGAGTATTGGTAGCGATTCAGGCCCCTATTTTGCTATTCTGTCCTCCGCTGCTTTTGATGGAAGGAAGCATTAACGCAGCCAAAAGTTCCAAACACCCTGAACCCATGCACGCTTTCAGCAGTAACCCTTAGAGCTTTCAAGTCCCTGAGCCCGGCTTGGCCGGCTTAGGCGGTGTTCCCTGCTCCTGTGGTTGTTTGCGACCGCGAAGCCCTGTATAATTACCAAACCCCCCAAAACCCGACCAAGTTTCAACCCCACACCCCTATAAACCCTAAAAACCCTATAAACCCTAAACCCTATAAACCCTATTATATCCTTAACCCAAGGAAGCCCCAAATGTCGGCGCTCGTTTTGTCTTTTCTCCGCGGACTCTGAGGTCAAGCTGCAGCCGACTTGCAGGCCGATGAGGTGCCCTGGTGTTCAGGGACTCCGCGGGTTTAGGGTTATAGGGGGTTTAGGGTTTTAGGGTTTAGGGTTTAGGGTGTTTTTTTGGTTTAGGGTTATAGGGGGTTTAGGGTTTTAGGGTTTAGGGTGTAGGATTTAGGGTTTAGGGTGTTTTTTGGTGGGTGTTTTTTGGTTTAGGGGGTTTTGGGGTTCAATGTTTTAGGGTTTTAGGGGTTTCGGGTGGTGTGGTGTTTAGGGCTGAAAGGGAATTTAGGGGTTCTAAGGGTTTGGGTGTTGCCGGGTCTTTGTAGTCTTCGGGCTTTTGGGTTTTAAGGGTTTTGCAGCTTTAGGCGCTCAGGGTTTAGGGATTAGGCAATTTTTTGGTGCAACACAAAGTGTCTTCGGATTTCAGTTTTTAAAGCAGATTCAGGAACGCTTTTAGGGCCCACGCAAAATGTTATATTTGTGGGTGTGGGTGTGTGTGTGTGGGGGGGGGTAAACCAGAATTCGGGTCCGTTTTTTGTTGGACAGAAAGATTCAGGAGTGTTGGGCTTGGTCTTGCAAAGAAGAACGACGTCTAACAAGGCGGCTGAGGATCGTTGGGTTTTCGGTGGTTGAAGAAGACTGGGTTACTTGTGCGTTGGAAATAAAGTGTTCGGTGTTCACATAAGAATTCCTTGCCCAGACCGCTGGGAGGATCAAAAAGTAGATCCCTTCAGGTGGCTCCTATAGGTTGGGCTTTAGGGTTCGGGATTTTGGCGGTTTTTGGTTTGCGGCTGATGCAAAACTTCAAGGCTTGCGACGAACTGCCACATCCTGTCGGCCGTGGATGACGACGGCATCACTCTTGAAATGCAGTGGCCATCCCAGTCCCAAGTTCTGGAGGTTAGGAAGGTTAACTTCAGGGTGAGGGCACCGGAGACCTTCATGACATGTGGGGGTTGCGGACACGGAAACCAGGATACCTTATCTAAGGAATCCTCATAACGAGGATCTTATCATCTAGGGTTGTAAGTTAGGGTCCCTAATATTCTGAAACCGCCTCGTTGAGCAATGCGGGAAGTCTCTCCACGAACTCATCCAGTTCCCCGGCATCCGACCAGTCAAGACTAAAGAAACTGGCATCATCATGAGAATAGGGCTCATATAAGGAACCCCAATACAGGCCCAAGGTTTCTTAATCAGGTTCCTACGTTATTAACATGGGCAAATTTTAACGTCAGCCCTAATGCGTGCATAGGCTCCTTGGATGATCATGGGACTTAGTAAGTGATGTCATAAGTACCTTAATTGGGGTTATAAGTATAGTTACCCTAATTATAACCCTAGTTACTAAGTCCCATGATCCTTTAAGTAGACGATACCAAGGCCCGGCCTCCTTGAGCTTTCGAGATCCCCGGACCCGGAAGCATAAGCAATGCCATGGAGTCCCCTAAATCCTTCAACCCTACCCAGACCTCCAGGAGGATCCAAAAAGTAGATCCCTTAATGCGGGTTCCGATAAAGTACCCTTAGTAGTATAGGTCCCAAATTGGGGGATCTACTTGGAGGATCATGGGACTTAGTAAGTAAGGTTATAAGTACCTTAAGTTGGGTCATAATTATAAGTATAGTTACACGAATTAAAACCCTAGTTACTACGTCCCAGGATCCTTTAAGTACTTTCTAGATCCTCCCGGGGGTTTGGGTAAGCGCCCTCATATGCTGCCCCAAACAAAGAAGTTGCCAAACCCAAACCCCGCCGGCCCGAAACCCTAAACCCCAAACCTCACTAGGCGTTCTTCTGGTTGGCTCTTAGGACATTAACTTCTTGTGTTTCGATATGAACTCACTATAATATGTAGGCTAAAGGTTTATCCTTCACGAGGGGTTCAAAAGTCAGCCAAACCTCATAACCCTATCAACCTTGGTCCCCAAGCCCGAAACCATGAACCCTAAACCTAAAATTTAGCCCTATGATCCCTAAACCCCTACACCCAAAACCTGAAGTTCCGGAGAAAAAATCGAATCTAGCAACCCTAAACCTGAATTCGTTGACCCCAAACCCTGAAACCCCAAGCCCTAAAGCCTAAACTCCTAAACTCCTAAACCTAAAACCCTGAACCTGAAATCTTTGACTCCGAACCTGAAATCTTTGACTCCGAACCCTCTAACCCCCCAAGAGCGGCGTCTGAGGTGGTGGTCCGAAACCAAGCGGGGTGGGCCCAGAGTGGAGTCTGAGGAGGGGAGTTTAGGGTTTTGGCGGTTTGGGGGGTTTAGGGGTTTGGGAATTTAGGGGTTTGGGGATTTAGGGGTTTCAGGGGGTTTCGGGGTTTAGGGTTGATGGTGCGTTTGGTTGAAAAATGCTGTTGTTTTAGCGATGCAACTGAAAGGTTTTAGGTTCTGGTGTACCTGTTTAGGTTAAAGGTGTAGGTTCATGTATCTGTGCAGTTGATAAGGTTTGTTAGTGGACGTACTTCGAAGGGCTGTCCAACCGTCTAACCATCCATAAACAACCCTGCTCGGAGCAATCCGAAACCCCAAGCCCGTAATCTCACAAGCCAAAACACCAAACCCTTACAAAAAGCGGTGCCAAGCCTTGCACAAAATTATCGCGGCCCCTATACGCTAACAACCTATCTCCAACCTTTTATGCCTACAAGCCCTAGCTGAAACCTCAAGTTTTGTTAATACACCCTAAACCCGGTTTAAAACCCCAATTAAAGAGTTTAGTGTAGTTTCCGAACTGAAACCCCCCTAAACCCTAAACCCTAAAGCCTTAAAAGCAAACCGTGAGCCGAAGGACAGCTCCGGCTACCACTGGAAAGAAGCGTCGGGCCACGGTAGAGCTCCCCAAGCTGCTGCTTAGCCGAAGCTGATCCTTCGGGTTTTCTTTCAGCACTCTTTGTGTTTTGGAGCTTTTGAGGGGGGGCGTTTTGGGGCTCTTTGGGGTGTAGGGCTTTGGGTTGTGAGTTTAGGTTTAGGGCTCTTTGCTTGAAGTATTGGGCTTCTACTGAAAGAGGTTTCGGGGCTTTGGAGTTCTGGGCAAGGGGTTTCGGTTAAACCGTAAACCCCAAGGCCCGAGGCCATAGTCCTCAAACCCTGGACCCCCAAAGCCGAAAAAACACACTCTTCGAATTTTGGGCTTGCATTTCACAGCTAACCCGCAACCCCGACTGTCGAGCAAACAGAAGGCTCGAGTTTGATTGCAAAACAGCAAACTCGAGGCTTGATTTTTAAAATCCTTTTACCTGAAAACCCCAAACCCTAGATAGACCCCCAACTGTTGTACCCTCTAATATACCATACCCCAAATACTCAATTAAGGTCCATAAGGACTCTATTACAGGCCCCTTGTGGGGTTCTGGTACACCCCAACCCTTAGCAAGCCTGAACCCCGAACCCTACACCCTCAACCCTACATAGAAGCCTAACCCGTAAACCCTAAACCCTCCACCCTTGGCCCTAGGCCTAAGCGCCGAACCCTAATTCCTAAGCCCTCCACCCAAAATCCCTAAGCCTAAACTTTTGCCCTAAACCCTAAGCCTCTCTAACCGTTGAGCCCTAGTCTGGGGTCTTGCTAAGGGATGTAAGTTCATAGTATTTACTATAGATCCCTGTTATGATACCTTAAATTAACTTCCTTAACAAGAACCCCAGTAGTCCTGAGGTGGGCTTTCCCTGGGAAGAGGATGGCGGCTGGGTGATGCCGGGAGGCCAGAGCTCCGAGGAGCTCACGGGTTCCTTTGGAGGGTTCCTTTAAGGGTTTTAGGCCTTACGGTTCAGGGTTTCTTCAAGGTTTTAGGGTTTAAAGGTTTTAGGGTTTAGGGTTTAGGGTCTTTTAGGGCCTTTTATGGGTTTTAGGGCTTGGGGGTTTAGGGGTTTAGGGTCTATAGTCATAGGTGTTCAGGGTCTAGGGAGCTCATGGGTTTTAGAGGGTTCCTTTAAGGGTTTTTGGGGTTTAGGGTTTATAGGCATCAGGCGTCTGGGTTAGGGGTTTAGGGCTTAAAGGTTTCGCTCAAACATACAAGTGAAACTATACACGTTACTACAAGGGCTACTATAAGGAATGCGAGGAAGTTATTCCTTATCCAACCCTGAACTTGCGTGGGCTGATCTAAAACAGCAACAACAACGCAGCATGCAGCTCTTCGTGCAGGCGTTCGTTGCGAATCGAACGACGTGTCTGGCTGGCCGCATGTCTGGTGAGGGTTTCGGTCATGCGGGAAAGTCAAACTTGAGTTTCGGCCTGTTTTGGATACCTTGACCTTCTGTTGCAGAGGCCCAGCTATTTACGGTACATGTTGTTAAGGTGTTATAACAGGGCCGTTAGGTGTATGATTTCAAGGTCCTTGAGCTTTTTGCGGCTAGGATTCCCGGATCCAGGGGTTGAGGATCAAGTCGGAGAGCTTCCTATAGGAGCCTGCGTTTTTGCAACCGTACCATACTTCGATGTGGACAGCGGAGACACACCGCCAGGGAATACCATACTGCTAGTTTTGACAAGGGGAGGGGGGGGGGGTTATGCACTACGATCATAATTAGGGAACTTGATCGCCAATTCTGCCGACCGCCTTTTTAGGGCACATGTGTTTGATTGGGTTTCGGGGCTGCTCGTGTGACAAGACATGATCGACTGTGTCGGGTTGTTCGAGTTTAGGACTGCCGGCTTGCGTAGGCCATCGGTGAATAGGTTCATCGGGACCCTTGGCGGGGTAGGGGGGAGGGGGGTAGGGGACTCTACTTCCTTAAATGAGCCTTATTAAGTCCTTATTATAGGTATGAAGGGCCCCCTACCCCCCTCCCCCCTACCCCCCTTATAAGGGTCCTTATGATACGTGGCAGGAATACTGCTACGGCTAGTAAGACAGGAATGCTTGGAGGACCACTGGGCTTAGTAAGTAGGGCTCGATGTAACTACATGCGGCTGTAATCACTTATAACCCCAGTGAGCGCAGCTATAAGTTATAACTTAGGTACTGCCCCCATACATTAATAGTCTATAACAGGGCTACTATTAAGGTCCTAATAGATCCATATAATGAATGTTATTCAACCATTACTGAGTGGGGGGCCGTACCCAAGTTATAAGATATCACCTTACTTGCCTCATCCTCTGATCCTTTAAGTAAGGGCAGCTGCTTGGGGTCGAGAGCTGCAGGGTTCGGGGTTTAGGGTCTCGGGCTGTGGAGGCCACGGAGACTTCGGTGCCGAAACCTCAAAAATGCGCTGACAAGGAACAAAACTGGTGTTGTGCATTGCCTTGGGGGGGGGGGGGGGGGGGGCCGGGGGTTGTATTGCGAGGGGGGTGACTGCTGCTCGTCGTCCAACTTCTACTCCTGCCACTCCTCCTCCTCCTCCTCCTCCAATTCCATTGATGGCAAGGCTCCGCGGACTTGGGAAAGATACTTTGGCGGACATTTGGGACACCTTGCTTCGCTTCGCGGAAGAGCCCGGTAACGACGACGAAGGCGGATTGGGCTTGTTGCGCAGTCCTACGGAAAGCTCGGTCAGCAGCTAGCGGTACGCTCTTTTAGTATTGTTGCAACGTTCGAGAGAGACAGAGAGACAGACAGACAGGCAGACAGACAGAGACAGACAGACTGACTGACTGACTGACAGACAGACAGAGAGTGCTTGTGCTGATTGGAAGAGTCAGCATAGGGCACTGGTCGCTTGCCCAGAAGGTTCAGGCTTCCCCGGCTGGCCCGGCTCCACATTGCTTGTCTGTCCACAGGAGATGCGCTGGCGTGCATCCAAGGGCGTTGGTATGTGCAGACCAATCATACAGGTTCCGCCGCGTTCTCAGAACTGTGAGGCGTTTGCTGTCAGTGTGATCAGGTCAAGTGTACAAGGAGGGCGGCACTTGGTAAGGATTTTCTGCCCTAGTTACTACCAGCACCACCACCACGACTGCTGCTGCCACCACTGCCAGCACTGCCACCACTACCACCACTACCACCACTACCACCACTGCTACGACTGCTACGACGACGACAACTACTACGACTACTAAAGTTACTGCAAGCAACAACACAACAGTGATAATAATTCACGATAATAGTACTAATGATGTCACTACCATAACTAGCACTTCGACTTCCAACCAAGTGGAAAGGTTAGTTTCGGCTGGTGGCAGCGACTCGAGGTTTGGCAACGGAACGGCTGAACTCCAAGCGAGCCTGTCTGTCCCAACATGAGGCGAAAGAGCTCGTGGCGATCCAGTGCGAAGAGAGGCACAGCATCTTCAGCCCGAAAGCTGTCGGCACCCTGGGGAATCTTAAGAAGTGAAGCACATCGAGGGCTATCCACCAAGCCACATGAGCCACTGCCGTCACGGTTTCCCGGGCTCTGAGCCTGCTCTGTAGTTTCCCTGCCATGCACCGGTAAGTTGAAATCCGCAGCACAGAGCACAAGGGCACCACGTGATAGGCAGTTCAGCCGTTGAGGCGTTGCCACTGCACGGCTTCTCGGGACTTTGATGCGTTTCTTGCGGGTGTCAAGTTCTGGCCGGGGTTGGCGATTGTTATTCATAACGGTTTTGCTGCAACGATCCTGCAGCGACGGACTTGTTCGTCTTAGTCGACAGTTGTGTCGTGTCGCAAATAGCTGTCGCAGGCTGGGAATTGTGGAAGCTCGCTTCGCATGCGAGCAGCACCCGGTCATCCGGATCTTCGCACTGTCTGCAGCTGGCCCGCACTACCAACAACGTTAGAACCCTAAACCCTAAACCTTGGGGAGCTCGAACTCCCAAGCCAGTCGCGGCTCTTTTACAAGGCATCATGGAGATGGTCTCAAGAAGGAGACCGATCATAGGGATCCTTAGGGGTGTAGGGGGAGGGGGGGGTAGGGGGCCTTAAGGCCCATAATAAGGACTAATAAGGCCTATTTAAGGAAATATAGTCCCCTACACCCCTCCCCCCTACACCCCTAAGGATCCCTATGACCCGATTAATCATGACACAGATCTTGGTAGTTAGCAATGATGCTGGTGATAATGCAAGGTTTGAATACTTGTGAAAGAAGTCGGTAGTAGGCATAATATTTGATTAGTACAGTGGTCTCAGTATTGAAAAAAAAGGCCGCTGTGAATGCTTTTGTTTTGCTGTCGCATTTGATGTTACTCCGCTGCCTCCGTTACTGCTACTGTTGCGGTTGCGGTCACTGTTACCGTTGCAGCAGTTCTGCGGTGCTGCTGCTTCTGCTACGCAGCTGCTGAACGGGGTTTGCAGGGCTTCTTGGGTCTGCCACAGAAACCAAGGAGTGGGGGCGCCACGCCTTTCGGTCACAGATCTTCTGCTCCAACGCCGCGCTTTCCTATGCCGCGCTCATCCCGAACGCGAAGCCGCGCAAAGTGCCGCTTTGCAATCCGCAGTTCGCCGGGCGCATAGGCCGGAGGATGGGTGCACTTTTGGATGATGTCTAGTGGAGTTAGCTATTTGCAGTCTGGTTCTTAGACGAACACCAAATTACGCATCGCCGTAAAGACTACCTACTTATAAAGGATCATGGGACTTAGTAACTAGGGTTATAATTAGGGTAACTATACTTTAAAACCCCAATTAGGGTACTTATAACCCTACTTACTAAGTCCCATGATCTTCCAAGTAGGTGAGGTTCTCAGGCTTCTCTTTGGGATTCCTTTTTACGGTTCCTATAAAGGGTTCCTTTTAAGCAGCAACACCCCGAAGCCTCGACTCCCGAAGCTTGTACTCCAAGGCGACCCGCATCATCTGCCAAAAGGTCATCTTTCAAGGTTCCCAAGCCCGATCCACAGAATTTAGGCTCTTAAAGGCCCCACGCCCTAAACCCTAAGCAGAACCCTTATATTGGCTGTAAACTCAACTTTCAACTTTTGGGGTTCTTAGAAGGTAATTGATTCTGAAAGTTTCAACTGTTTTCCTTGGGTTTTGGGCCACTGAGAACCTAACCTAGAGCTCGTAGAGCTTCTGTAGTTTTGCCTGCCAGGCCATTTTTTGCACGCTTGGGGTTTATAGTTTGATCCGGACACATGTTCTTCCCATCAGGACCCTGATTTATTTAGAACGATGTCAACAAAACCACCTCTCAAAATGATAATCCCAAGATTAAGATCTTTTGAACAAGGTCATTGAAGAAGGTATCGTTTGTTAGCCAGTGGTCTACACTCACTCCTACAATACCCAGGCACCAAAGACCCGAGTGTATGGTTGCCTTACTTGCGGCGTGGTGCTGCAGGGTTACTTCGGACAGAGGATACGTGCTTGTCGAGGTGGTGAATGCACAGAGGGTGATATGGAACATTGTGGAACCGGAGCACTTCCATCGTGGTCGCTACAGTGGTAGGGAAGGTATGCTGCGTGGCGGATGCCGTCGGAGGGCTCGTCCCTTTTTTGCACAGTCGTAGGTCATGACGGATCGTGCGCTAAATAAACCCTAAACCCCAAAAACCCTTTACCTCAAAGCCCATTAAACCCCTAAACGTTGAATCCCCTTAAAACCCTTAAACCCCTTTGAGCCCTAAGCCCTAAACCCAAAAACAATTCAAGTCCTGGACTCTGGAGGTTTCCTCCCTTCCATGGAGTCCATGGCACTTTTCGACGATGGGAAGCGGCTCTGGGTACCACCCGTGGCCCTCCAGGCCCTCCTACCCTTCTGGGTGCAGGGATTCGGTTCTAGGCTTCTGTTAAAGGAAGGGGTCTGTAAGGATTACTATAAGGGTTACTATAGCGGTTTAGGGTTTAGCGTTCAGGGTTTAGTGTTTATAGGGTTTAGGGCAGTTTAGGGTTTAGGGTTTAGGTTTAGGGCGCCCTTCTGGGTGCAGGGATTCGGATCCTTTAAGGGCTCCTTTTACGGGGTCTGTAAGGATGACTGCCTTCGGTTTTAGGGTTAAGGGCTAAGGGTTCGGTTTCAGGGTTTAGTGTTTTGGGTTTGGGGTTTAGGGTTTAGGGTGCCCTTCTGGGTGTAGAGATTCGGGTGTAGGGGCCTGAACTATTACCAAAACTATTTTGGGAGTTCCTTATTATATTGTATAGCTTGTATAATAAACCAGAAAACGCAATTCTAGTGAGCAGATTAGAGTTTAGATTCGGGGGGTTTGAAGGTGTTATAATAGGGTTTAGGCTTGAGGATTGTGCCATCCTGCTGCTGTGAGTTTAAAGGGTTTAGATTTGGAGTGGAAGTAGAGGGCAACCTTCGACTCCGATATCAGCAGGGTCGTATCAGCAGTTCTGAGACTTATTGAAATCAGCAGGTTGATTCGAGGGTGCGGCAAGTAAGTCTCCTAGCAAGGTGTTCTGCGAGAAGTGGCCCCGAAGCAATCGGATTTTGACACGTCATGCATGCCACTACATTTATCGCTGTTGAAGGCAGGCCATTAGGCTCGCACTATCCCCTATAAGCCCTAAACCTTTGCACCCTGCCTCCCCAAACCCCAAACCCCTAGATCCTAAGCCACTATTACTATGTAGACCCTAAGCCTAAGCCCGAAACCCCTACAGACCCCAAGCCCCAGACCGCAAACCCCCAGACCGTAAACCCTAAACCCCAAAGCCATCATCGTCTCTTCATGATTTCCAGGGTCCCAGCCCGATCAAAGCTGGAGCTTGCCAAGCATCCCTCTCCCTTGTCGAGAAAACCTTAGACAGGCAGTGGGAGAACTTTAGCTAGATGTCACTTTGGGAAACTGTAGAATTTCCCTTATGGTTCCATTTATAGGGCTAGATAGCCAATTGGGGGAACTTCGAAAGTTGGAACGTTTTTGGGCCCGGCTGTTGAGGAAGTTGAGAGTTTCCCGGGCTTCCCGGTCATGAAGCCCTAAATCCCCAAGCTCCAAAAAACCCAGAAGCCCTGTGTTTTGGGATGGAACCGCTTGAGACTGAACCTCGACCTAATAATTACCCATACTATTCTTGGGGGGGTTCCTTCTTTTCTGTAAAGTAAAATGGCAAGCGCCGGCAGACATCTCGCATGTCAGGGTCTGCTTCCTGCAGTTCTAACTGAGGCGCGCCGAGTGAATCTTGCTTCGCAGGTTTGGCGATTAGGGGCTTACTTGGAGGTTCATGGGTAGTTATAAGTGGGGTTATAAGTCCCCTAATGTGGGTTATAATTTTGGTTGCCCTACCAAATATAACCCCACGTATAACTACCCATGAACCTCCAAGTAGGGTTTAAAACTGCACGCAGCAGGTGTCCTCATTTCCAACATCCATTTGTGTTAGCGGCACGTCCATTTCTCGGCGCTGGGGCTTTCCAAGAAATGGGCATCATAAGGCTAAGTGTACTATGGGGGCCTAAATTATTACCTATTATACCATTTTGGGGGGTCCTGAAAACACCAGTATAACATGCACGAAAATCCTATTCTAATTATTATTGAGACCTCTGTAGTAGGCAGTATAACATGCACTAAATTCCTTTTCTAACTACTAAGCTGGCTGTGGAGCTTTGAAGATCAGATCTCCAACGCCCAGCATGACCTCTGAAGTTTGCTCGAGATTCCTGAGTAGTACCCTTTTGCCCTATGGGAGTTTTGGAGTTTGGTAGCTCTATGGTTTAGGGTTGAGGGTCTAGGTTCCTGAGCAGTACGCTGTGGCCTTTGCGAGTTTGGGAGCTCTGTAGGTTTCTGAGTACTGTAGTACCCTTTGCCCTTTTGGAGTTTGGGAGCTCTTTGGTTTAGGGTTTAGGGTCTAGGTCCGGTTCCTGAGTAGTACCCTTTTGCGCTTTGGGAGTTTCGGAGTTTGGGAGCTCTCTAGGTTCCTGAGTAATACCCTTTTGGCCTTTTTCTTTTTGGGTTCCCTTATGAACGTCAAAGAGTAGGAAAAAGGTACCCTTGTTAGTCACGGGCTACTCAGGAACTTAGTGCATGCTCATCAACAAGTTCAACAAGTTCAGAGGTCCTCCAAGGAACCCGAAGCTTCAAGTTTTAAATATACATACCTGTATGTGTATGTACAAATATAGATAGGCAGATAGGTAGGTAGATAGGTAGGTAGATAGGAAGATCGAAAGATAGCACGATCGAAAGATATAAAGGTTTAAAGACGGAAAGATGGAAAGGTATAAAGGTAGAGAGATAGAGGTATAGAGCGATAGAAATATAAAGATATAGCAAGATAGGACGACAAAAGATAGGAATATAGAAAACTAGAAAGATAGAAATATGGATTAGATGCATTAAATAGATAGATTAGATAGGTTTTATAGGTTAGATAGACTAGATAGATAAATAGGTAGACAGTTTGATGGATAAACAGATTGACAAGTGGACAAGTAGATAGTCAAGAACCCTTTTAACCGCAAACCCTTCCTATACAGAGCCCTTAATACAGCGCAAGTGTTCGACTCGAACGTCATATCTCCAGCTCATGTGTCGTTAGAGATCTTTTTCGACGTCAGATTGACGTGTGAAACCCGCAGGAAGCATCCCCTGCATCTATCGAAGCGCATGATCGCCCCATCTGTCTTTATGCTGATGAGACACCACTGAACCTTCTACAGATCTTGCATTCGGCATGGAGTACAATAAGACAGATGCATGGTGATCGCACTTGGTGGTTGTTGCAGTTTCAATCTCGAACAAAGCCCCTGCGTATTGCGCAGCAATGTATAGTTGCGCCTCATGCAGAAACAATCGACACAACAAGCGCGACCATTGTTAATTAGAGTATAAGTTGTCATAAGCAGTACTTGTGCATACTTCCGTACGTCTGTACACATTTTCGTTCAGGACAAACCTCAGAAACTGATGTTGTGCCGGTTCTGCATACACTTGCGTTAATCCGGCAGCTACACGTGCAGCCGTAATAAAACTGGTGTTGCAGATATACTCGTAGTATCAACTGTTTCCTGCATGCAATATTGATTCGCCCAAGGTTCTACTCAGTAAAGCAAAGGCACAGTGACAGGTGTGTTTGTAGTTGGAGAAGCACTTCCCCGGTCCGCTACCCCAGAAACGGGAGTTGCATTGCCAAGCTTCAGAGTCAAGCTGCACGCAAACGCATTACATCAATGAGTGATGCAGGGCTGCCGCTTTTGGGGCATCTGCGACGGCGATGGCGCTGTGAGCTTCGTAGGCTGAAAAGGGTAACTGACATGTTGGTTCAATGTTTCGTGTGGTATATGATTTAGGTTAAGGTGGAATTGAGTTGTGTTGTCAGTGCAACACCTGACACTGAGCCGTTGTTTGTAATTTGTAACTATTGCTCTTGTTGTTTCCGATGAAATCTTGCTGCCTGTAGTCCTGTCCCTGCTGTTACTGTTGTTGTTGGCGTCGGCGTTGCTATTGTTGTTGCTGTTGCTGTTGGTTTTAACGTCAGTGTCAAAGTTAAGATCATGTTAACGGTAATGTTAAGACCCACTGTGAATGTACAGGTCACTGTTCGTGCTCATGTTCCTGTTCTTGTCGTCGTCGTCATCGTCGTCGTGCTTGTTGCTGTTGTCGTTGTTGCTGCTGCCACTGTTGCTGTTGCCGTTGCTGTTGCTGTTGCTGCTGTTGTTGTTGCTGCTGTTGTTGTTGTTGCTGCTGGTGTTGTTGTTGTTGTAGCCGCTACCTTAGCTAGCTGGGATTCGTGCGCAACTCTAAAGGTTTGCAACGGGCTCTTTTGCGAAACGTAAGGGACGCCATTCTGCCTGAGCCATTTGCGCGTGCCTCGGAGCTGCAGGCCTCTGTGGACTGCCGGTTCCCATTTCCCGGGGCTCCCGCGACAGCAAGTTCTGGACAAGCTGGGACCTGCCGCACCAAGCCAGTCAAGGAGCAGTTCCAGTCGTAAGTTGGCCGCTTTCTGAGCTTGGGTACCTTGAACGAAGCTTTCGAGACGAGGCCTCTTTCCGTGCCTCTTTGCGACTTTTCCACTTCTGGACAAGACACCCAGGGACAGCTGAAGGTCATTTTTGCGCAGTTTTGCTGGCACTTTGGTTTTGCGTTTCTACGAGCACGCTTCTACAAGACGAACTGGGTTCGCTTGTGCTTTTCACGCAGTCTGCTTCGGAAACTACACCCTCTTCCAACGGCAGGGTAGACTGCCACCGGCTGCGACGAAGCCAGTGCGATCGAGTTCCTGCTTCACTGTTGAAAGCTTTTTTCGCAGCGCCACTGTTAAGCTGCCAGCACTTGGGAACAAGCCAGAAACGGGAGAGGCGGGGGAGGCGCTTTGGGGTTTGCAACCTGTCAGCATCCTCCCAATGTTGGCCCCGAGGTGCACCCAGGGGATTTTTCTTGTTATGGGGTGCCCTTCAAGGCCTGGGACGGCCATCCTCCCTTGAGGCGGAAGCTTTTCCACAGGCCGCCGGGCCAGACTTGTCTTCGGGACAAGGCGCCGATTGGGACACCGTGGATGCAGGTTCAGGAGAGCAGGCCAACGTCTTCAGTCCCAATACGGCATCTACCTCGGTGCGGCTCCACGTCGCATCTGGGTGCAGAGCTAAGCGGACGCACTTGCTGTGCTATGGGTGTCGGGCTACGGCTATGGCCCTCCCAATTGTGTTCGTTACTGTCCTGTTGCCGACGGGGTGAGGCAACGGCTCACGTGCCTTGACGACGAACAATCCTTGCGGCACATCGCTGGTAGTCCGGAGTATACAACCTATTGTGGGACGCCACTAGATAGGAACTCTGGGAGACGGCTCTTCTGAGTACGACCCGCCGGCTGCCTGTTCGTGAGAACTAGACGCAGTGACTCACACCACTGAGGGTGACGGAGGATACAAGACAAAGATCTTGTGAGCTTAGCTGTCACCTGAGGAGTTGAGTGTGCAGACGCTGCGGCGCGAGCACCGCTCGTGCCAAAACCAGGGCACCGCCCTTGGGAACTGGCAGCAAAGTCAAGTGACCTGCCTCCTTGAAGCAAGAGCTGCCGCAGTGTACAGCATGCAGTGACACTCGATTTACTTAGGCCCTTCTTCTTTAAACCTCTCTAGCAAAGGTTCTTCGTTTTCGTTCTCTGAGGATTCTATAGGGGTTGAGCGGCCTTCTTTGTTCCTTTAGGTCTGGCTGCCTGGGGCTTCGGAGCAAAAGAGTTTGGCTCATTGCTCTAGAAACGGATGGAGGAGGTACCTGCGATGATCGCAGGGCAGTCCCCTCGAGTTTGACAGCCACAACTTGTCTCTCGTACGACCACTTTACCTCTATTGGAATGTCGGCAGGTCAGCTGCTGCAGGGCGGCGCTGGCTTACGGCACGTCTCGAATTTTTCTGATGCGCCCGCTATGAGCAGACCCCGCTCCCTCAGCGTCCGACAAAAGGTGTTGTTGTTGTTGTGGTGGTGGCCGTCTGTTTTGTTTTTTCTCGTGACCCTGACCAACCATCACAAGCATCAGCGCTAATTACTATAGTTACATCACTCACAACCTCAGCTCAGGTACATGTAGCCACATACTGAGCCCTCTGATCGTATAGGCGCGCCCATTTAAGAAGTCATGTGTCGTCGCTCATAGGTACCGTTTTCTTATGGGTGTTCATATTCAGAACCATACTGCTTCGGATATGTATTACCGCAACTCCCATATATAAACAAGGCCTCGCATCAGAGGACTTGAGTTGGCAAGAAGCTCTTATGCCCGGAAATGGCCCATCCTCAACCTATCCTGAACCCTCAATCTCCTGATCCCTATGACCCTATCCTAAACCTCGAAACTCTTTCCCAACTTTGTCAGGAGAACCCTTCAACCCACCGATCTACAGCAGCTTGACCTACAGCCTCAAGGCATTGCTGATCTTTGACATTTCGGAGAGTTGCGGTGTTACGGCCCTTAAACCCTAAGCCCTAGATAAACCCTGAACCCGAAATTCTTAACCTTTAGGGTTCATGGGGTTTGGGTCTGGATTTCACTGTCGTGGGGTTTAACAGGTTGTCTCGGGTTCGGCAGGCTCTGGATGGGAATATCGGTTGTACCGTGAGTCTCGGGTTCTGCAGGCTCTGGATGGGAATATCGGGTTTACCGTGACGAAACATCAAACGATCGTCGCTTTCACCTTAAACCCTAAACCCCGAATCCTAAACCCGAAACCCTAGATCTTAAGCCCGGGACCCTAAATCCTTAAATCCGAAAGCCCCGAACCTTACATACCCGAAGTCCTACGTCCTTCCCTCGCATGGTTGCTATCAGCAGACTGGAACAGCCACCCACAAAGTCGAAAACCCAACCCTAAACCAGAAACACCAACTATTGTTCGTTACAGTTCCTTTGTGTTCCTCGTAGAATATACACCCCCCAAGCCGTATTCTAATTATTGAGGCCCATATATTAGAACTCGAAACCCTAAACCCCTAAACCCTCAGCCCGCAAAATAGCCCCCAAACCTGGCCAGGTGACGTGTCAGCACGGCGTCGCCCGTGCGGCTCGGATTACCATGGCTATCACGGTTTTCTTTCAAACAAAACGGTTCGGCTGAGGCAATTTAGGGGCCGTAATTAATAGTTTGAAAAGGGTTTCGAGATATGTGCCGGATGCCATAGGCCCGCAGATGTTGTCTTAAGCCCAGAAAGCCCAAAACCGGATCTGAGTCTTTTAGGGTTGAAGAGTTGAGGGCTTGGGGCTTAGGGCTTAGGGCTCAGGTTCAGGGTTTATACGGTTCAAGTTTAGGGTTATAGGGTTCAAGCTTAGGGTTTGGGGTTTGGGGCTTAGGGAGGGTTAAGATGAAACCCTCATCGAATCTCGAGGTGAGGTTTTCCTCCCTCCTTATGATAAGGATCTTACAAGTTAGGGTGCTATAATATGAATTAGGGTCCCCGTGTTTTTTTCGGAAACTCCCAGGTGACCCGCAAGGTTGGGGACAAGATCTGGGTCCTGGCAAGTCCGATCCATGCTCTGAAGCTGCAGTAGCAGGGGTTAGGGGTTTAGGGGTTTAGGGGTTTTAGGGATTAGGCTTTAGGGGTTAGGGTTTAGGGTGTAGGGGTTTAGGGGTTTCGGGGTTTAGGGGTTAGGGGTTAGGGTCTAGGGTTTAGGGGTTTGGGTTTAGGGATTAGGGCTTCGGGTTTAGGGTTTAGGGTTTAGGGGTTTGGGTTTAGGGGGCTATGTTACCCGGTATAGGGTAAGATAAGGCCTGCGTTAACAGCGTCCTTTAAAGGTTCTTTAAGGCCGCCGTAAGGATTTGGGATATTTAGCAGTGGCAGCACTCCTCCTGGAGGTTTTGAAGGGCTTCGAGCTGCATTTTCAGGGTTGTATGTGGGTATATAAAGCTTCGGAACATTGGGAACAGTCAACACTGAAAATTCAAAAAATTCTTCTCGTACTACTGAAGCTAAATTCCTGAGTGTCTACAGTAAGGGTCCGAAAATTTTCTGTAATGGTTCCTTCAAAACAGTTTGACCATAAAGTCAAGAGGCACCAAACCTCAAAACCAAAAACCCTCAACCCACTAAATCCGAAACCCGTAAACCCCAGAATTTGGGCACTGCCCCCACTCAGCAGCAGTTAGGTAATTGTCATAACATAGATATGTTAGGACCATAATAGTATATAGCCCTATTATAAACTGTGACTGTTACTGTATGGGGGCGCAGTACCCATCCCAGACTCCAAGAGCCTGAGCCGCCTCACGGCCCTTTGGACCCCACATATTTAGTAAATCCCCAAACTGTAAACTAGTAGTAGAGTAGGCAACCTTTCACCTTTTTCGGGTAGTATAGTCCCTATATAATCCCAATATAACCAATGTGGTCAACCTTGAGTTCCCCATGATGCCCGACAAGTAGGACAAAACCCAAGCCCAAGCTCTACCGCCCTGCCCTCTAGAAGCCTGTTAGGTTAGACATGCTATCCAACAATTTCATCTGAACATACTCGTAGTATCTTGTGGTATCATATGGGTGGTTGTCAAAATTAGGGGTCCCTTTTTTGGGTCCTTATTTTCATTCGGCACCTATTATTCTGGGTACCCAAAAAGGGGACCATAATTTTGAAAATTATCCCCATACCCACAAAGCCTATTCTAATAATTACGGCTCTTGGATGAATCGCTGCAAGGCTGTTCGCGCAGGGGGCGAGGGTTCCTGCACTTACAGTCTAGCGGCTGAAGGTATGAAGTTAAGTTGTATAGACCCAGCCCGACAAAAAGTGTAGACACCGTACACCGAAATTACTATGCAACCCCTGCACATGCACTAAACCCTAACCTAAACCTCTAAGCCCAAAACCTACATAAATAAGCCCTAAACCCAAACCCTAAACCCTGTATAAGGCTTAAATTGCGGCTTAAACCTGAACTAACCCCTCACCCAAGGCGCCTACGGGCTCCCAGATTGCCCGCTTCGCGAACATCCTGGCGCCCTTGGAGGCAATGAGCCACGCGCTCTTCTGGACCTCCGAGGAGTGGCTCTCTATTAGGGTTTTAGGGGGTCTAGGGGGTTTAGGGTTTAAGTGCTTTGGGAACTAGGGTTTAAGGGGTTTAGGGTTTAGGGTTTTATTGGGGTTTAGAATCGTTGTTCTTGTTAGTTATTCGTATTTCTATGGGTTCAGGGTTTAAGGTTGAAGGTTTAGGGCTTACGGGATCTACTGTGGTTGAAGGATTCAGGGTCTTGAGGCATCTGCGAGTTGGTGACCCACGCAGTAAGAAAGCAAAAAAGCCATGCACAAATACGTCACACTTGAAGTAGAACTCCACAAATCGCCATGGCGGCCACTCTATCTCCCCAACGGGATCCTGAACCGGCGGGAATTCAGAAGCCGGCGCTGTTGCAACATTTTCTCCAGCGAGTTCGAAAACTCACGAAGAAACACTGTAAACAAGCACAACTGACACAATTGATAGTCGGAGGAAAGCGTGCATCATTAAAAACACATGCCACAGGATCAAAGCAGTTGCGATCGACGCTCGAGCAAAAAACGACGTTTGTGCGCATCACTGTCATGAGTTTGAACAAGCAAAACGCGCCGTCGCAGCACTCACAGGGCTGATGCTGCTTTGGCAGACATTCCGCTGAAGGAAGAGAGCAAGTGCATGGCCACCAGACGCGCAAAAACTATTACCAAGAACTTGCCTTGTGCTCATCTCGTTGCCGTGCAGGAAACGCACTGGAGAGAAATAGTGCCGCAGAGTGCACTACAGGTTCCTGGCGAGTTGACAGCCTCTGTGATTCACACATGCTGAGTCTTTTCCAGGACGTCTGCTCTATCTTAGGATGTGCTCATCACGGTGTGGGCCGAGAGCTTCCATCGAACACACCGTCGATATACGTTGTTGGATCTGCCGCCACCGGTAGCTGTGCAGCGTCTGATACTTGGAAGTCCAAAGTCCAATAGCAATGGAGCAAAATAGCGTGACCAAAATCGATGCAACCCACATCACCTCCAGTGGACTTCTGGACTTTCGTGTGCACGACGTGCAGACGGGGACTGTTCGTTGTCGGACACGACAAGAACGGCAGTCGGAGTTCTTGGGATTGTCACTTGTTTCCTCTTTGTTTCACCGCTGTTTTTGTTGCTTGTTCGTGTTTGTTTGTTCGTAGAGACCGAGTGCTGCAGCCAGTAGGCGCTGGAACTCAGCCGGCCTTATGGCCGAGTCGGAAGCATGTAAAGGAGCTGGTATTTCTTGTGGTAGAAGGTCTTTCCGCTTCTCTTCAAGGGCTTCCGTTTCTTTAGCAGGCTCTGGAAGGGGTCTGGAGGGTGTGCCGGCTGTAGAGGCAGAACAGGGTTCTGTAGTGTTTATGTCACAGGGTTACTGAGAGGGGTTACCCCAAGAGTTGCTAGAATTCAGGAATTCGAGAAGGCGCTCTTCAGGGTTCAGTCTTTAGGGGTTTCGGCTCGTTTGCATGGCATTAACTTGTTGAGAGTTTTTGGAGTTTGGTTTTGTTTTGGGTATGGAGTGCTGGAGCTCCGCACCCTCTTCTGAAACCCCGAGCTACAAAACCCTACTACAGGAGCCTAGATAATGAACGGGTACTTAAAGGATCATGGGACTTAGTAAATATGGTAATAGTTGGGGTAACTATACTTATAACCCCAATCAAGGTACTTATAACCTTACTTACTAGTTCACATGATCCTCCAAGTATAATTTCCCCCCAACTGAAGCCCTGCAACGAGGACGGCCAGAGCCTCACCTTGGTGGAACTTCCCCGCGTGCAGCTGCGCTTTGCCCCGGGTCCCGATCCTGGCGGACGTGGCCTGAGACTTTTCTCCAAGGAATTCGGAGGCTGGGGCGAGACATGCATGAAGGCAGATGTGTCAAGTTAGCTTTTCACAGCTTGATGCTTTGCGTTATAGAAACATCGGTTTGTCGAAAGGTTATGGGATGAAGTTTGGGCAACCGCATCCGCAGTGGTAGCCGCAGACGTATTAGGGAGCGTACCAGCGGTAGCACTCGTAGTCGTGATCCTGGTCGTCCCGGCCGTGGCTGGAGCCGTAGTCGTAGGCGCAGAGGACTCATCCTCCTGCTCCTACTACTGCTGCTACATGCTGCTGCTGCTGCTACTGATGCCGCTGGCACTGCTACTACTACCTCGACGCTGCTACAACCACTCAATACTGCGTCTACTAGCACTATTGCAATGATGACTATAGCTGCTTCCGACTATCTTCGCCGTTTCTCCTCCTCCTCCTCCTTACTGTTGCTTCTGGGTCTTTTCATTTCATCGCTGGCCAGCCCCTGCTTACGAGCATCCCTGCTACAACCGCTGGGCAGCAGTGACGACGATTCAGAATCATACCAGAAATCTCCTGTGTCTTAGGCGAAAGGCCTGTATTTTCTCAAGTTGCCACATAGGGTTTAGGGTCTAGGGGTTTAGGGTCTAGGGTTGCCACAGGCTTCTATCTGCTGGATCGCAACGGCGTCCACGACGCGGAGGCCAAGCTTCGGGGCCTGGCGGGCCGCGGAGGAAACAGTGGGTTCGGATTCAGGGTTCCCTTTTTAGGGTTTAGGATTTGGGGTTTAGGGTTTAGGTTTTAAACCCTCTCGCGCGGAGGAAGAGCCATTGCATCTTAAGAAACCCTATAAGCCCTAAACCTGCCAGAGCAGTCGGGGTTTTCGAGTTAGGACCAGGTGGTCGCCCTAAATTCCAGAATCCTCCCCTCGGCTTCAGCACTGGAGGGCCTGTTCCCCGAACGTGATCCTTTCCCGGCCATGAACGAATCATGTGTATATATATATATATATATATATATATATATATGTATGTATGTATGTATGTATACATAAGCTTTACATACACATACTACATGTGAGTGTGTGTATATATGCAATGTGTATGTATGTATGGATGTATGTATGTCTGTATGCATGCATGCATGCATACATGCATGCATGTATGTATGTATGTACGTATGTATGTATGTATGTATGTATGTGTTAGTTTGTCTATGTGTATGCACTTGTACGCATGTGTGTGCACGCATGGAGACAGAGACAGGAATGCTTGCACCTTACACTGTACACCAGACACTACTCAGGGGTACTCGGAAACTGTTTGTTAACACATTTTGGTTGCTCTAGTTCTTAAGACACAGTAACAATTCGAGTTGTTGCAAAGGTTCCGGTACCAAGTTTCAGTGTAATGCAGGAGCCTAAAAACCCCAAAACCCTATCCTAATCATGAAGGCCCCTACAGAAGACGAATTTATAGTAGAATGTACCCCAAAACCCTAGTCTAATCATGGAGGCCCCTAAAGTAGATGCGTTCGGGGAAAGCATACCTTAAACCCTATACCCTAAACCCTGAGCCCTAAACCCTAAACCCACATATGCCCTACACTCTAAACCTTAAGCCCTAAACCCTACACCCACATATACCCTAAACTCTATACCCTAAACCCAAAACCCATACATACCCCTAAACCCTATACCAATAGATACCTTAAGCCCTATACCCTAAGCTCGTTTTGCAGGCCTGGCAGGCGGCCACAGGCGACCCAAGGGCCTCCGATCTCGTCCCAGGGCCGCAAAAAAGTGGCGTCCATGTAGGTTCCGAGGTTGAGGGTTTAGGGTTTGGGGGTTGAGGGTTTGGGTTTGAGGGTTTAAGGGTTTAGGGTTTAGGGTTGAGGGTTGATGGGTTTTAGTGGTTTCGGATATTAGGGTTCTGAGTTTGATGAGCTTTGGTAGAGATTTGGCGGGCTTTTGAGTCATCATGAGTTTGGAGAGGTTTTGATGGGACTTACACGGCGGTATAGGGGTCTTTAGGGATCCACGGCGGCTCGGAAGGCATGATAACGACTCCGCTACCTGTGTGGCTGTCAAGGGTGGGCGTTTGGGGTTTATGAGGTCTTCGGTTCCCACTGCGATTTGACGAAAATTGTGAGTGTCGTGCCAGGATTTTGCCTAACATACGGTTCTTACCCTAAGCCCAAATTCAACACTAATCGGTAGCTTACCCGTGTGAGTCGCCTTTCTGTCATCGCTCTTTTGCCAACATCATTTCTACTAAGATTCTACTAATGGATTCGAAACCTCCGGCTTTGTGGCTGGAGGCGAAAATGTCGAGTTCCAAAGCGGGAACCCCAGATTTCCGACCCCAGGCATTTCGGTTTGCAGATTTAGGGCTAAAGCCCTCAAGCCTCACCCCTAATCCTAACACTAATCCCATATACCAGCCCTTAAATCAAAGCTTATAGTAACCCTTATATTAACCTTTATAATTACAGTAACCCTTATAGTAACCCTTACAGTATCCCTAAGGGCATTCTTCTGAGGCCTCTTACCTCGCGAAGATGCCTCATGCCGTGGTGCTTCGCAGCACGGCTGGGGCCATCCGAATCCTGGTGACCAATGCAGACGTCGTCAGGCGCTGGATTTAGGGTTTGGGATCTGGGGTCTATAGGGTTGATAGGCGGCTTAGGGTTTTGCAGGCTCAGTGGCTTTTAGGGCCAGAGTTTTGTAGGGCTCCTGCGGAGCTCCGATTTAATTAGAATGAGGTTTTGTCTATTTGCGCATGTGCTAAGGCTGCCAAGGAGGCTTAAGGCCGTGGGGTTTGAGGTTTTCGGGGAAAAGCATAATCTAGGGGCCTTGCGGCCTTAATGCTTAGAATCTGGGTTTTTGGGCCCATGATACGATAACTCTAATGAGGACCCCCCTCAATAAAAAAAAATCGTATAGGTAAAATATTAAGGCCCCTGCATTAAAGACTTAGAATCCCTGAAGGCCGGCTATCAAAGTGAAGCCATTCTCCACGGCAGCCCGGCTCAGCAGACATGTGGGAGAGCTTGGGAGAGGATCATATGCAGGATGGCAGTGATGATGCTGGGTTTGGGGTTTAGAGCTTAGCTGGGTTGTGCTTTAGGATAACTTTTAATTTCCCTTATGTCCTTACAAAGGGAACCTATTCATAAATAATTTTCAAAGGGCTTAAAGCAAAACCCAGTTAGGGTTTTGGGTTTAGGGCTGGTGGTGATGGTGATGTAACCGCGACACTGACCATGACGGTGACGGTGATGTGCTGCTGCTGCTGCTGCTGCTGCTGCTGCTGCTGCTGCTGCTGCAGGACAACAACGACACCATGGTATTATTGCTGTCATCAGGTTGCCAAGACATGGGAGTCTCTATCAATCAGGGGTCTCAACTTCTGGGTCCTTGTATCGAGGATCTTCCTGTCTAAGGTCTGGTCGAGTGTCGGGGTCGATTCTTCTCCGAGGTTTGGAACACTATTCCCTAGGGCTCCTTATCATGGTCATGCCAAAACACTCCCAAAACCCTGTGCTAGTTTTTATGCAAGGTCCTGCGGCTCTTATGCTAAATCCCCGCAGTGGCCCTTATCGTGACCCATATGGAGCCTTTCAAGGAACCCTCTGTTGAATGTGCTGTGATGACCACTAAATTCCAGGACCTCGTGGTGAATCGCAAGCTTCTCGTCGCCCTGGGTCTGAAGACCTTCCTTTGGGACCGCTGAAGAAAACCCTAAACCCCTAAACCCTTTGTTTTTCTGGGACCGCTGAAGAAAAGCTGGTTGCAGACTGCACTACAGCCTTGCATGGCATTCGCATTCTTGCAAGCTCGTACATGATAGCAGTGGTCCCCTATAACCCTTAAGCCCTAAACCCCAGGTTCCCTAATCCCTAACTCCTAAGAGCCTAAACCCCATGCACCCGAAAGCCTCGACCCAGCACCGATCGTCCAGAGCCAATCGCCAACAGCTGGACCGAGCTTGCAGGACTTTCACGAGTCTGGCTCCCTGCTTCTCACTTCATCGCTGAGTGGCACGCTTTACCTTACCCTCCTGAGCCCCGGCACAGAGTTTGGAAATGCATTATGAGGTTTAGCAGTGGTCCCCTACAATCCTTAAGCCCTAAACCCCAGGTTCCCTAACCCCTATTCCCTACACCCCAAGAGCCGAAATCAAACCCTCAAGGTTAAACCCTTGACCCTGAACCCTAGGCTCCGAACCTGAATTTTTGTGATAGGCCTGCCCCCCTCCTTGGTTTGGTGTATATTCTACCATAAATACAATAATAAGGACCTTCCCAAAATAGTATAGGTAATTATGTAGGCCCCTACATATATACTATATAACGCTATTATGTATAGATCCCCTATAGAATCCCTTTTTGGAACCCTTGAAAGGAACCCTATATGGCCCCCTTAGTTGAGGTAGGTTTTACGGTTCGATCTTGACGCAGAGAGAAGGGATCGAAGGAGAGAAGGGATCGAAGGGCAGGGTCGCTCGGAAATGAACCTCCGAGCAATTCAACTGAACCCAAATAACCAGGACCCTCCTTGTACCCTCAAACAGGGGTATATGGTCCCAAATAAGGGGCATTTAGGGTCTAATAGAGGGTAGATGGAGGGTGTACATAGGAATGTAGGAACCTGATTAAGAAACCTTGGCCCTATAGCCCTAAAAAAATTAGGATTCATATAAGGCACCCTAACAAAGACCCAAGGTTTCTAAAGCAGGTTCCTACATTAGCCAACTTCAGACTTTTTTCGATATCGTCGCGAAGGATGTCAACATCATCCCATGGGTCTGGGTTGATAAGTTAAACGGGGGTGCAAAATGGGAGTTTCCGAAATTTAGGGGTACGTATCTTATTTGGGGGTCCTTGTAATAAGGATCCTGCTCCTAAGGCCGTATGGCCCGGCTGTTCATCTTATCTGTTGTCTCCTGCAGACAAAGGGGTTCATGAGTCATGGGTCTACGGTGGTGAGGATTGGAAGCAGATCTTTCTTCCAGGTTCAGAATTTCAGCCCAGTACAGCGCATCAACAGATATGCAGAGGGTCACGCTTCAACTCTGGCAGTGGAGCATATACACCTGGCCCAACATGCAAGCGAGAAAGCACGTTTGAAGGTGAGCGCTTCCAACTAGCAGTGCTCGGGTTCGCAGCCCTTCACGTTAGCACCGCAATCCATAAGCCCGTCCCCTAGCTCCTCCCCTCGCCAATACAACATCCGGAACACAAACCTAAAACCTAAACCTGCATCCCTCCACCCTCATCCCCGAAGCCGCAGAACCCAATCGCTACACTCACCTGCTCAAGGACATTGCTGCACCGCGACTACTCCTCTGCTGCACGACTCGTAGGTTCGATCGGCTTCGATGAAGGCAGGGCGTCTGTCGAACCTTTACGTTTCGAGTTTCAGGGTTAAGGGTTTAGGGTGCCGCTGATGGAAGAAGAAAGAATCAAGGTAGGCCGTTGGGAGAATGACTTCTACTCCAAACCCTAGGAGTTCTAAAGATCCAAAAGGGCGATACCGATTCCGTGACATCAGGCATCTCGGCCGATGAAGAGCGGCTGCTGATATTCAACCTCAAGTCCACCGTCACAGCTGCTCTGCATCTTTAGGGGTCTTTGTTGCGTTGTTTGTTTGTTCCTCTTTTGGCATATGGCTTCTTGTATAGGGATCTTGGATCTTCAGAACTGTTTGTCCCTGCTTTCGCGAAGGTTGTCAAAGCTGGGCTTCGAAAAAGGCAAACTGCTGATAACTTGATACCCTCCTTGGCCTACTTGGGGGTGTAGGTTCCCAAGCTGCTTCAGCCATGCAGTGACTTTCGAAGATTCAGGGTTTCGAGTTTCAGGGTTAAGGGTTTAGGATTTCGGTTTTGCAGTATCGGGTTTAGCAACCCAAGCCCACGAACTCTGAGGCACCGAGCAGGCCTGAAACGCTAAAGCCGCCGCCTTAAACCCTAAACCATGCAACTACAAACTCCGAAATCTTAAACCCGAGACCCTACATCCCAAACCTGAAACCCTCACAGCCCGAAGCGCCAGAACCCCAGCCTAAGCACCATAATCCCTTTGGAGGGCGCTGTGCTCAGGACCGTCATCCGAATGCTTCCGCAATTCGACTGAAGCTGCTTGGCTGCGGGTAAGGTCTAAAAGTTTAGGAATTTGTGGTTTGGGAGCTCTATGTTGTTCTAGGCTCCGGAGTAGTGCCCTTTCACTTTTGCCTTTTTCCTTTTTGCTTGAGAGTTCAGGCTTTAGGGCACAAGTTTCAGGCTTTTGGGTACCGAAACCTGAAGATTGAGACCTGAACAGTTTGTCAGTGACAATATCGCATGGCTGCATACTTATGGTATACGGACCCCGCAACCCTATGCTAACTACGGAGGTCCCTTTATTGAAGCCATATCGCAACTCTTATCACTAGTAGCCCTTAGATAACTCATTGAAAATCCATACAAACCTCAGTCGAATCAGATTCGCACCGGGGATTTGGTGCCTGGCATTTGGTCTGAGATGCAGGGTCGAGGGCAAAGTTTAGGGCACTTGATAAATAAGGTTATAAGGCGCATGTAGGTTAGAGCCACTTATATCCCCACTTATAGCTGTTTTACAACTAAAGCCCCCGAACTCTAAGTGCTTGACCCTTCGCGAGTCTTGCAATGAAGTCCCTGATAGGTGCAAGTCATTTCATCTTCGGCTTAGAGCAACTAGGACCTAGAGTAGGCCCTGATTCCCTTTTTTACGGTTCAGGTTCCCTTATAAGCCCCCTTCAACCAAAAACGCTCACCTTTTTTTTTCCTAGGTTACTCTTGGGTCTAAGTAGCTCCAACCTGAGGCCCCAAATCCCTCGATTTCGCCTTAGATCAAGAACAAGGCCAAAGACCAAAAGTGGCAGCAGCCGTCATCATGGGGACCCTCAGGGGGGGTAGGGGACTATACTTCCTTAAATAGGCCTTATAAAATAAAGTCCTTATTCTGGGTATTAAGGCCCCCTCCCCCCCTCCCCCCTACCCCTCTAAGGGTCCTTATATGACTTAAATTAAATCCGCAGGATCCTACAGTGAGCCCTGGACTATAAACCCTATGTAGACCTGTTTAAAATCCTTACCTCAAAGCCCTATAGCCCCCAACCCTTTATCTTCACAACAAACCCTACAGCCACCCATATCGGACCTGCTCACCTTCATCCATCTCCGGACCTGTGAAGCCCCCAAACCTTTACAATTCACGACCTTGCGAGGCTCCTTCTCGCGCTTATCGCGCACAATCCCAAGCACTTCCTGCTGAAACCAGCTCCTTGGCTCGGCTTAGTAGGGTTTAGTGTTCTAGGATGAAGCCTAGTCCCCTCATTGAACAGGCTGACTGAAGGTATGCATGAGGCGATGAGGGTATCTGGGCGGGTCCTGCGCCGTGGATGTTTGGAATGCAGGGAGTTTTGCAGCCAATCGTGTGTTGCTATTTTCCTTTTGTGGTTCTTGTAAAGGTAGCTACTCATAAATTCTTTTAAGGGCCCCAAAACTACAACCAGGGTTCTTATTTATGCCTGCAGGTTCATCAATAGCGCAGTCAGCCCCAACAGCCCAGAAGCTTGCAGCGCTCAACATGGCCATAGGGTTCATCTGCACCCCTTCAACGTCAACCAGCAAGCCTTGCACGTTCAAAGCTGGCTTGTCGTACTAGTTTTCTACTTATTTACACAGGTCCTTGAGGGCGGTCAGAACTGCACACTCGACTTTACAGACCCTAAATAAGCACCGTTTTTGTTAGTAAGATCCCAATTGCAGAGACTTCGATCTCCAATGTGATACCTCTAACTTGGGGGGTGCCTTGTTATAAGTATAGTCTATCAAACCCCAAAACCCTGTTCTAACTATTGAGGCCCTTAAGTCTTAAAGTACTTTCAAAGAACACCGGCAGTAGTTGCTTGTGTTTGCGTTCCGCACCTCAGGAAGAGGAGCTCATTGCCGGGGACTACGCTGACTATCTCGACGCCCGGCTCATTTCATGCTTCAGTTCAGGGTTTAGACTTGAATTTCGTGGGGTTGGTGTTTGTGGCTGTAAGGTGTTGTCTCCGACTATAGTGATTTTTGCCAGATCTGCGTTGCGAAGCATGAACCATGAGGCCAAGCCCGCCAGAAGAGTTCCACGACCCACACAATGCCTTTCGCTCACTCCCTCTCTCTGGTAGGGCTTAGGTTTGCGGATTAGGGCTTAGGGCTTAAAATGTTTCATGCAGCCAACTCCGAGGCTACCAATGCCAAAACCTATATACTTGTTTGCAGGTCAACTCTAAGTTTGATATTAGGGTTTGTAACACGAACCTACACAAAAGTAAGTCATGGTAGTCTAGTGTTAAACCCTGTACGCCTTAAGCACCAGACACTTAAACCCTAAATCCTCAACTCTGAACCCGGTACCCCTGGCATAAGCGGCCTGCTTGGATGTGTTCTCTGGAGACAGGCGGTTCAGACGCAAAAAGGGGCTGAACACACCAGTTCAAACAATCTAAACCCTAGGTCAAGCTGAACCACGTCTCGCAGCATTGTCGCCTCCTCTTGCGAGAGGAAGGCCCCGTATAAGATAGGGACGAGGGGGAAGATAGTTTACGCTTTAGGGTTTAGGGGTTTAGGCTTAGAAGTTGAGGGTTGAGGCGGAAGATGGTTTGCGATTTAGGGTTTATAGGGGTTTGGGTTCAGAGTGCTATAGCCGCGGTTCAAGGTTGCAGGGTCCACATCATATGGAGTTTAGGGTTGCAGCCTAAACCAAACCATAAACCCCAAGCCCTAAACCCTATGCCGCAAACTCCAAGCACTAATCCCCGAATCCAATTTCAATATGAAGGTTTTATGTCCGATGCTCGGGAAGTCGGGGGACCCTGAATTACTTCCAACAAGCTGAAGTGCACACCAGAGGCACTCGAAGCACAATGCCCGGAACCTGTTCCCTTTCTAATTAGGACTGCATTTGGGAATGCAATATGCTGTAGCTGTATTGGGATTGTAAGCGGAAGTTAGTGAGTAGCACTGTTGCAAGTCTCTATACTGAACCATCAGCCGAAAACTCTAATCATGAGCATAAACGCAGGCCCAGAACCCTTGAATGAAGCGCTCCGGCTCCAAACTGTCAACTTCTCCGAACCGTTTAGGTGACAAAGGGGCCCGAAGGGCAAGTTAGGATTCGGTTCCCTAAAAAAGTCTATAGAAGACGATGGACTCCCGAAAAACATAGTCTAATTATCAGGCCCCCAGTATTCTATCGGCAAGGCTCCACATTCCAAGACAGACAGCATCTGCACAATCAGCCGTCCCTGAATCCGCCTACCCCAAACCCTTAAACCTGCCTGGACCCTACACAAACTAGTCTTTCAAGGACGTATATAAGGAACTCATCATACGGAAACGGTAGGTTCTGTAGGTTCCAGGTAAGCCCCGTCCTCAGATTGAAGAGCAGGCTCTCTCCTCCGAAATATGACGGACATGGGCGCGGAGCACCTCGGCTTGAGACTTGTGGTTGACGGTCTAAGCTGCCAGGAGTGTGGGGTTACGTTTTGCTTCTGTTGTTAGCCAACGCTTGTCTGACAGGTTCGAGCTCGTATGTTGTAATTTGGTCGGATTGCAGTCAAATAGCAAGTCAAAGACTGCATTCCACAAGCTTCAGCACGCACAAGAGTCGAAGTGACACAGGCGCATCATGTGAATAGTGGAGCTGCACAGAGCAATGTATTTCAGGATTTTAGGCTACAGGGTATCGCAGCGATTCTGGTTCAGGTTGCCGATTCTTTGAGGCCTTTGCCGCCTGCCTAATGCCTAATCCTTGCCTGAAGATGTAACACCCCCGCCCCCCGCGCACAGATGCGCATGCATGCACCAAGTTGGCTGTCAATGGAAGCCTCCCTCACCCAAACAGAAGAAAGTTTGAATCAAAGAACCCCCTTTGCCCGCCTTGACCCAAGAAGCCTCCTTCACCCAAACAGACGAAAGCTTGAATCAAAGAGCCCCCTTTGCCTTGAGCCAGTTTCTGGCCTCAAGCTGTCAACCGGAAGCGCTTCGTTGAGGCCTGGTGCGTGGGGTTTCCGCACAGAAAGCCCGACATTCCTTAATGAATCAGTTCAAATTCTACAATTCGAAGGCCAGTGCCCCGAAGCCCCAGACCCTTAGACCTTCCACCCTTTATTTGTGGGCCTTTACTTGTAGAATTATATGGTACTTGTAGTTTCAGTTTTGTTAGGGGATTTAGGGCTCGGGTCTTGGGGTCTGGAAGGTGGGCTTTGGCGATCTTGAAGCTGACTGCTTGGGGTGCAGGGCGTCGTTGCTTTACTGGGGCTGTTGAGACCACATGCCTCAAACCCCAAACAAAGCCGCAACAATAAACCCTCAACAGGCACGGTCGGCTTCAAGGCAGTCAAGCCAACTCCAAACCCCCCATCGAGTCTGAAAAGATGGCAGTGTACAGTAGCGCTTCAACCCCCCCTGTTGTTCTCCAACGCCCAAGACGTTGCATGAGAGACCAATAAGGCGCACCGGTCTAGATTCCTAGCCTCGTACCGGACGAAGCAGGTGCCACATTATGACGACCCAAAACATATGCAATAGAATCCCCTATATGGCTTTTTTTAACTCCCTGCAGCTCCTCAACTTCCCTGTCAGGCCTGCCTCAACGACAGCTCTGCTTGTGTCCTTACGCGACTGGGCGCCAACATCAAAGGAGCCAGAACGACGGTTCCGAAGTAGGGATTTCCTCAAAATTATGGGTTTCTTGGTAAAAGAACAACTTTGCTGGTAGTTCTCCTACTATTTAGGCTCGAGCACGGGTTCCATGAGATTCATTTGGCAGCTGGTCAAAACCACGCGAGGGCTTGTTTGATACCCCTGGGCAAAGAAAGTCTGAAAAGTCTGTGCTTTTGCAAAGGTATGGCGATTCGCATCCTGGCGGCCGCCGGGAAGGCCAGGTGTGTTCCATTCATGTTCTAGGATATCTTTGAGGGCAAGCGATTTCGGTGCTCAAGCTCCTCGGAGGCACGAAAGAGCTTAAAGTAGTCGGGTACCTGAAGGACTCCGATAGGGTCTAGTCTACTTCCTTCGGTTCACGAGACATGGCCTTGCATTCACGGGCCGCAGGCCAGATAGGCCCGAGATGATCCCCGAACATGATCTCAGTGTGCACGCAGCAAAGACTGCAGATTCAATGGTCCGACCATTGTTCACGGTCCTGGTGTCAGAAACACCACTACGACAACATTCTATGCATCGTAGGCCAAAAAGCTCGGCTGTCCTCAAAATCGCTACCGCAACTGTAGCTAAGACTGGTACTAGTTACTGCTTCCACTGTTCCTGCTGCTGTTGCTCCGACCGCTAGAACGATGCAGGCGACCACGACGACAACGCCAACTACTGCTGCTACTACTACAACTGGTACTGCTGCTGCTGCTACTACTACTACTACGACGACGACCACTACGACAACTACGACTTTTACCGAGGAAAGTTACTCATTAGTTTACATAGAAGTACTCGCTATCACGACGACAATTATGGCTGGAAAACAACGGTTGCAATCGTAGATGGTGTTGGTGACGGTTCTGATTCTAAGATGTTTCGATCATGATGTTTACGATGTTGGTCAGGTTCAATGTGATCCCACATTGTCACGCCACTGCGCGAACCGTCCACGAGCATTCCCTGGATCTCCCTGCCGCCCCAACCACCCAAAAGGCTTCCTCGGCTATCAAAGCTTGTCCGGAGTCATGTCCTCCTACGTGAAGAACAAGTGGCCGCTCGTCTCTGCCGCCTTGAGGGCTCAATGGTTAGGGGTAGTGATCCTCAGGATTCGCTCTTCGCGTTGATTGCAATAGAAGCCCAGCGCAGCGCGTGTTTTAAGCACATCATATGTATTCCGGGTGTAAAGGGCTGCTGCGCGGCAGTACAAGTAGCCGTTATATCTCACCAGTCCTGGCTTGGCATTAGGATTCCACGCCCGAGCCTTTAAATCGGGTTTTCGGTGCTGCTGCTTCGCAGTTGCGAATTTGCGGTTCAGTTTGTAAGGCTTTGGGAGTAGATTGTTGCTTCGCTTGCTGAGTTCCAACAATGTCGTCTAAGAATGCCCAGTCTGAGGCATCATAGTGCAGAGCAACACCCACGTTGCCACACTTCATGCATCCTTCGGAAACCGCTTCTGTGTCACCATGGAGCTGTAGACTAAAAGCCCCAGACACCCCCAGACCAAAGAGCCAGCCTACCCTGGCCCCAAAGTTTCGAAGAGGTGTCCATTTCGCCAGCTTCGTCTGGCTTAAGCCTTCGGACACATAGCGCCGATTCAGGGGCCTGCCAGGATGCTTTAGATTCGATACGCCGTAACATAGTAGAGGTCGGACTACCTAAATCGAAGTACTGGTCTTTACCAGCTGCAAGCCCTTGACCTCAACCCTCAAATCCCGTGAAAAAACTCATGAATAAGCTAGCTTGAAACCTGTCCTTGGCGACATAGCTGCCTCATTGCCACACATCCCAAACCTAAATCCTAAAGCCTTAATGTCCTAAACCCCAAACCCTAAACACTAAACCCTAAACCCTAAAGCCCTAAAGCCCTAAGCCTAAACCCCAAAAGCTCTAAACCCTAACCCTAAAGCCCTAAACCCTGAACCCAGACCCCCGGGAGGATCTAGCAAGTAGATGCCCCAATTTGGGGCCCTATACTACTAAGGGTACTTTATAGGAAACCACAATATAAGGGATCTACTTTTTGGATCCTCCCTAAGCCCTAAACCCCAAACCCTAAAACCCTATAGATCTTTTAAAGGGACCCTTAAAGGAACCGTTAAAGGAACCCCTGTTGAGGGATCTACTTTTCTCGGATCCTCCCGGGGGTCTGGGAACCGGGTTGATGCAGGTATGAGAACTTCACTGTGGACGAGGCGGAAGCTGGCAAAAGCCGCCAGGACAGCGGCATCCCCCTAAAAGGGGTTAAGGCTGCTTTCAGGGTTCATGGTTTTAGGGTCTTACGGGTTTTTGAGTTTGAAGAGTCTCCTTACATAAAGAGGTTTAGGGTTTGTCCTGGGTTCAGGGTGTAGGGTTTTTAAGGGGGGTTTAGGGTTTAGGGTCCCCTTAAAGGGGTTTAGGGTTTTTCCTGGGATCAAGGTGCAGGATTTTAGGGTTTGAGGGGTTTAGTGTTTAGGGTCTTAGGGTGTTTTCAGGGTTCAGGGTGTAGGGTTTTTTCAGGGTTTTAGGGGTTTGGGGTTTATGGTTTTTCCTGGGAGCAGGGTGTAGGGTTTTAGGGTTTTTAGGGGGTTCGGGTTTTGAGGGTTTTAGGATACTTTTGGGTTTAGGGCTTTGGGGAAGTTGGAAGGTTCGGGGGTTTTGCGGATTGGGCTCGGGTTTGGGACTCGGCATTTGGAGACCTTCAGCCCAAGCATCAACAGAATCGAAAGCTCATCTCGAAGCCCAAAATCCCACTGTAGGGTTTCAGATTTTCCGGTTTAGGGATGTAGGCTGAAGGGTTTAGTGTAGTCCTGTACTTGGACATTGGAGGAACGCGGGGATTTGTAAGAAGCGTGTCGATGTAAAAGCTAAAAGACCGATTTCCTAAGGCCTCCCACAGCCTTATAAATTTCAGCCTAAACTAAGCCTTAAACCTATACATCTCCTAAGACCACGGCGGAGCTGGCAGGATCTGGCGTCTCTCATCGAGCTGATGGACCGCTTCGATCGTGTGCGGGGCTCAGAGTCGGAACCCCAAGGCCTGCAGGGGCTTAGTGTTTAGGGGTTTAGGGTTTAGGAGTTTAGAGTTTAGGGTTATTTCTTTGCAACTACTTGTTACCAAGTGGGCTTCACATCATCACTAATGCCACTAGTTACAGGTGGCTTCATGGGTGTTGCTTCTTGTATAACTTGGGTTTGGGCAGCAGGTTTTCAGGGGTGCTTAAAAGGTCTCTGCTGTTTTTGTTGCTACGATTTTCTCGAAGAAGCAGGTGCCTTGCTCAGTGAGGTCATACAGGAGGTAATTGTAGCTACAAGTACTTCTGGTCCCAACTAACGTACTTTCGGTAATCGCTACTCGCTCAAGTCCGATGTGACGAAGCCTTTAAGCCCGAAGCCACAAGCCCCGAGCACCTTAAGAAACCGAAACCCAGATCCAGAAACCCAAAGCTCTGGTAATATACGGGGCCTTAATAATTAGAATAGGGTTTGGGGACCCATTATACCATGATTATTAACCTATGATAATTATGAATAAAAAGGAACCCTCAAAATAGTTTTGGTAATTATTGAGGCCTGTATATTAATGCGGATGCCGGGATATCTGGGCTTCCGCTCTTCCAGGAGGACTGGACCTGCTCCGGGACTTTGTTCTTCACCCTCTACGGCATCCTCACAGGCTCGTCACATATGAAACCTACGCAAAGCCTGTAGGAAAAATTAGAAGCGCTTTTGAGCCTAGGCGCTCTTTATACGGTTGAGTTCTCAAGGAGTGAGGAAGCCGCAGCAAAGTCACATCCTGGAATAAAACATGCAGAAATCCCGACCCAAAAACACTAAACCATCCGCAACCCTATACTTCACTAAAAGTCCATACCCTAAGCTATCGATGCTGAACGACAAACCTCAAAACCATCGCACAAACCACGAACCCGAAGGCCCAAACCGTAGCTCCCTGATTGCAGGTGTCAGCCATACGAAGCTGAATGGCAAGGACGCGGCAGAACCCTCCGAAAGCTTCGAGCGTAAGCTAAAAAGCTCTAAATTAGTACTACAGGGGCGTGAACAAATATCGATATTGGCCTCAGAAGTCCCTTAATTGCACTGTGATGTAACTGCCCCAAGCCCCTGGTCTAATCATGAAGGCCCGTACACGAAGTGCCCACAGTGAGGGACCCAACCCCACTTACTTCCCAACACAAAGAACTCGAAATCCGAAGCAGCGGACAAATCTGGAAACCCAATGTGCTAGTCAGCTTTGAGCCCGACAAAACCTAAACCCCAAAACCCTCCCTAAATCCTAAACCCTCGAACCCAAAACCCAAACCGCAACCCCACAAGGCCCCAAAGCCCTGTTCAGATCCCCTGGGGCTCCAAGCTCTGGGTTCAGTGTTGGGGTTTATTCTACAGTAGACCCCATAAAGTTGGAAACCGGATAAAGGCCAAATAGTGCTGGGATTGCCTATAAGTTGCTCTTCAGGATTGAGGCTATTGGGTTTCCAACTTTTTGGCTTCTACTGTAAAGATCCTTTGGCCGATGCTTCTATTCGTTAGACCGAATATTGCCCTTGCTGCAGTGATTAGTGCTTCTTTTAGCTTGCTGTTTCTCGGCCTGGTTTGCCACCGGAGTCCGCGACTCCCGGGCCCCCTCACCCCGAGCAGCTGAAGATCTCGAGAGAATGCGAAGGACGTGGCGCAGACCGTCGCCCGCCTGGCCTTGGAGAAGCTCCTCAGATTTGTTTATCAGGTTTTCGGATACAGAATTCCGTTACACCCGAAGCCCTGCACGACCCGAGCGAGGCGGAGGGGAGAACTGAAGCTCGACGGAGCCCCAAAAATTGCAACCTGATGACCCTCAGAGACGCTTCAGTCCTGAAGCCCTTGAGCTCTTCAATCGTGCAAGACCTAAAGCTGTGATCCCCTGCTGCAGAGCCCAACATGTCTCCAGGTTCTGGCTCCGGATGGTGCGACTCTGCAAGAACCCTTCAGGAGCAAAAGGGTTGCCACTGAAGTCAAAAAGACTCTCTCAAAGAAGCTTTTCAGATAGTCAGCCTGATCGTCGGAGGTTTTGTAGAGATGCAGAATCGGTCAGTGATCTTTGTTAAGCTTGATTATTTTCCGCCTGTACCACTTATTGTGCAGTTCGGAAAAGCCGCGCGGGTGGACAGGTGGTGAGGACGTCTATCTGAACCCGAAGCCCGAAACCCACCCCACAGATTAATCTGACATGGCTGCCATGGCCTTCCGAACATGGCAAGTCGGACGCTGTCTTCATCCCTGAATCCAACCCCGAACCCGGCAAGCGAGCACTGGTCGGGAAATGCACGAACCCGGTGTGAAACACTCAAGACGACAATACGCGTGGAGAGGGTCCTTTGGATCTCGTGTAAGGACGAAATTGGCTGACTGCAGAAAGGGTTGAACTTGAAGACTGGCAGGAGATGACTGTCGAACGATCCGTGCCCTAGCTGTCACTTCAGCATATTTGTGATGGTCCTCATGAGCTTCACATGCTCTTGGTTCTGTCTGTTATAGATGCCTCGAACAGTTATTCCGGGGGTTAGTTGAAGCTCCGACAGCATTTTCAAGTTGGCTTCTTCTGAATCGAAAGAACGTGACAGCCCTATGTTGCGAAAAGCAACCGCCAGGTCCAAACGATCCTTGTTGCTGGGTTTAGGGTTTTGAGGATTTGCGGGTTTAGGATACGTACTTCTCATCGTCAGGCCACTGAACGTTTATAGGGTTTAGAAGACCTGGACCTTGGCTTTGGTTTGTGCAGGAACAGTCCTGGAGACTGGGGATCAGGGCTTGTGGACCACGTGCGTTGTTTGACCTTAGCTGAGTTCGATACCGACATGTATCGTCCGACCTCCCCACTTTCAAGAATCCTTCATCTGAGTGCAGTCTTCTGAGCGGCATTCTGTCATAGCCAGGAGCTGAACAGGACGGGATAACATATTCAGATTTTGGGTTGTTCGGTTTCCGGCTTGGCACTTAGAAATCGCGAGTTCTAGGCAAGACACAACTTGCTTGAAAGCAACCACCAGGAAGTTGCATCCACCCCGAAGCCAAACGCACAAGGTCTCCAAACTCTGAACTTCACGCGGCAGCCACTTTTGCTCGTGGACACCCGTGTGCAAACGCGACGGAATGATAAGTTTATGCTGCGAAGTTCTGTTGCCGCAGGCTGTGCTTGTGAGAAGGTGGAAGGGATGCCTGCAGACACCGGCATTTTGGGCCAGTTGCAGCAAGACCCCGGGAGGCCCTGCAAGATTTAGTGCCGACGTGTGTGGTGGGTTCCGTGCGGCGGCGTGTGATACGGTGGAGGAAGTGCAAAGGAAGAACCAGCAGCTTCGTGCACAGCTGAGCAGGTCCCCTTGGCCGCGTCTGTCGTTCTTCTCGTCGAAGGGGCAAAACTACAGCCTGCCGGTGCGAGCCCGGAGCACGGACTTGCCCAATCTGCCATCTGAACCAATTTTGGATTATTTGACGGGCTTTTTCGACGGGGATGGCTGCGTCTCTTGTGTTTCAAACTTGTCGGCGTGCTCTTTGACGATAGGGCAGTCCTTCGACCATGCCGAGGTCCTGGTCCTGTTTCGTGAGACATTCGGGGGAAGCATCACACGGCAGGGTGGCGGTCTTGGTCTGCGCAAGCCAACTCTCTCGTGGACGGCATATGGGCAGTCTGCCCGAAAGGCAGCTCAGCTGCTGTGGCCGCAAAGCATCACGAAGCGAGAGCAGCTCTTGTTGGCGACCCAGTGGCCTGAGACAAAGGCACGCAGACTAGAGCGCAAGGCCGAGCTGCGTGGCTTGAAGGAGTACGACTCCGCGATCGCCGGGCCGTGCAGCTGGGAGTATTTTGCGGGCTTTTTTGATGCGGAGGGATGCATCAAGCAGCAGTGCGGAGGAGCCTCGCTTGTTTTGGAAATCAAGCAAAAGCATCCTCGAGTCCTTACGTGCATTCGCCAGTTTTTAGCCCGAAGTTTAGGCAAAGATGCTGCCATTACGAAGTCTCGAGACTCATTGCATGTGTTTAGGGTTTGCGGGCTCATGTCCTGCAAGCAGATATTGCACCACCTCTTGGCCGCTGGATTGCTGCGCAAACGGAGGCAGGCAGAACTTGCCGTAGGCCTGACGCGGGAGAATGCGGCTCAAGTCGATGCCGAGCTGGGGCGTTTAGCTGGGAACCAGAAGTTGGGGCAGAGGCTGGACGCCAGCGGGCAAGAGAGGGCAAGGAAGATCATGATGACTCGACAGCAAGCTGCTCGCTTCAAACGGCATGGGCAGCTGGCAGAGGCTTTTGCCAAGCTGGGCGAGGTTGAGGTGCTCAAGGAGCAGCACGAGCTGCTCAAGGCCCGTCTTGAGAACCAGCATTTGGTGGAATATGCAGGGAAACTTCAGAACTTGCACCTTAATTCGTGGAACGGGCCATGTGCTCACGGCATGTGAACAAAAGTCACGGAACAGCAGTTGGACAAGTGCTGCGGGGAGCATTTTTGGGGCCCATGGAACACGAGAGACGGCCCCGAAGCCTCAACTCAAAGCCCATCAAGCGCCGACGCTACATTCCCAACCCTGAGCCCGAATCCCTTGATGCCTAGAAAACTAAAACCGTGCTTTGAGGTACGCTGTGGTCGGTGATGGGCATGCACTCACTGGGCACCGCCAGCATGCTCCCAAGCTTCGCTGAAGCTGCCGCTTGTTTACGGTCAAGAAGGCTTAATGGTTTAGGAGTTAGCGTTGAGCTTAGGCTTTGGGGTTGTGGCTTCACGGTTCCGTTTGAGGGATCATCACTCACCTCAAGCCGTGTATGCCCAAGCTTTCGCCTAAGCCCGAATCCGTAGCTAACCTCTGAAAGCCGTGAAACTCTAGCTACGAGTCGATCTCAAGCACTGCCCTTCCAGCATCCACGGCGTTGATCTGAGCATATTTGAGCCCCTATTCTCGCTCTTGATATTATATGCAGCCAAACTATTCCTGTGTAGGTCCTAGGTGCCGAATAGGTTTATAGTATGCAGGGTCACACAGGTTAAATTCAGGGACTGGAAAAGGCTGGTTCTCTGATGAGTGGCCCAGGTGAAGCTTTACAAAGAGTCGAAGTATGGATGCCTGCACCCTGGCATCAACGAGGGCTGAGAGATTTGTGTTCGGTGAGTTCGGGGCGAGGCTCGATGTCTTAGTTAGTGAATCGGCTTGCAGGCTTCAGTTTTTTGGGCTTTAGGTATACCTCGACCTGTTCGTTCATAGGGGTTGATGGGCTTCGTGGTAGGTTTTGCAGCCAGAGGTTGACGGCTACAGATCCAGGGTTCAAGAGGACGCAAGGTAAAGGCATATGTTGCGAGCTTAAGAGAAGATTTGAAGCTTCATATGGCCGACTTCGTGCGGACAGTTCGTTGCGGGTGTAGGCAAGGGTTAGTCACTTTTCTATAAAGTACCCTATACCCGAAACCCCAAACCTTAAAACCCATACCCTAAACCTTGCACCCTCGACTAAGCCCTCAGGATCGGCCATGACGAAAAGGGCGGCCTCATCTGGCTCAACAAGTTGAATGCAGCGCTGGAGCAAGACGGAGGCTGAAAGAGGGAGGGGTGGTTTAGGGCTAAGGAAAGTTGGGGGCCTTGAGGTTTGGGGGTTTAAGGCTTAGGGCTAAGGAAAGTTGGATCCCACAACCGCATATAAAACCCGAGGATGGAGGTTGAAAGAGGAAGGGGGTGGTTTAGGGGTTCAGGAAAGTTACATTGGCTCCAATAACCGAAACTAGAACAGGAAGATGGGGGCCGAAACAGAAACGGGGTTTTGGGAGAATGGGAGGTTTGAGAAAAAATGAGGAACGCCCTAATGTGGAACCCGAATCTTATCAGTGGGATCGGCTATTGAAGTAGGGAGTTTTCGGTGCAGACACCCGAAGCCAAAATCATTCCCCAACTAGCAGAAAGCCACCGTGAGAAACAGGGTCAGTGCTCTGTGGTTGAACAGCAGTGTCGTTGCTGTGTCGAACGGCTGGGTCCTTTTCTTTGATGTGAAAGTTGGGCAGGCTGAGAAGTGCTGTTTCTTCTTGAGGCGCCCAGCTTTAATAATGAAGGGTTCTCGTTTCCAGGTGCGCTGAGCAATGCATTGTGCGTGTTTGTTTGTCACGGGGGAAAGATCATGTCTGATGTGTGCGCAGTGACAAAGCAAAGTTGGTGGAGCAGCAGCGGACATACAACTGGCATGCAGCCGTCCTTGCGAATTAGACGTGAACAATGCGGCTACCACTCGAAAATTTGGGATTTTACCGATTACAATGTTCCAGTAGAAGCCGGGAATCTTGAGGAACAGCTCGTTGAACCCCCTTCCACGCAAAACAAGTTGATTCCTCAGGCTACAGCTCTGCAGAGGCTCTCACAGCCGCAGTGCCTCGACTCCGTTTTTGGAAGAGTGGGGTCAGTGCTGTGGCTTCAGGGTTTAGGGATGTTGAGGGTTTACAATGAGCTTACATGACCATGCCCTCATCTACAAGCGTTGGCATGCATGCAAGTGTATGTAGTCCAGACTCAAGCCAGTATTATACAGGCATCGAGCCGATCTGCCTGCCAGCTGCCAGTTCAAGGTATATAGCCCGTAACACACCGGTCAATCACAAAGATCAAGCCTGCTAGGATGGAAGGTATAGTGCACCCCGATTGTAAGGATCGCTCTGCTCTTTGGGTATCGCTTCACTTATATGCTGCAGTCTTGCATGTCTACATGCCGGTCTCTGAATACCAGGGGTGGAGCAGGGGAGTTGGTTTGGTTATCAGTACTTGGAGCCGGGTCGCGAACAAGTACAACTATAGCAGCCTGATTTACTAACTCCTGTGATCCCTCAAGGATACCCGAAACCCCCCACAAACCCTGACAACACATATAAAGCTCTGTAAGACCCTTTGAAACCCATCGAAACATCCCTCAGTCGCCTCATCACCTTATCCTCAATGCCCTAAACTCTCACATCCTCCAAGTCCTCGGATTACTTGTCGTGTCTAAGCCTAGGTGAGCTGCCAGAGCAACTCCAAGACAGACCGACTTTCGATCAGCGATGGCCTAAGCGGGGTTTCCAGTGACAAACTCACAAATAATATGTAAGCCCGAGAAATCCCTAGTACCACTCACTGTGGCTCCTCATTTTACACCGTACTGAACTGGATATTGTTTCTGCGAAGGCTATTCGATAAGGCCACTACATTGGTCCATTTTTCAGGCTTTTAGGTTCGGTTCCCCATGATACCCCTGTAGCCTTTCGTAGTGGAGTCTCCTTCTCAATCTTCACCAGGAAGGTGATACGGGGAAGCTACAGTTTAAGTGCTTCAAGGTTACCGTTCCCCCGAACCTTATCAGAGGCCATTGCATCCAGAATGCACACTTTACTCAACTACAGGACTCCGAGGAAGGATGCGAGGCAGAAAATCGGTCGGAGAGTATCCTTAGCCTTCTGCTTGACTTCCCTAGCCCGGATTTTGAGGACACTAATAACTAGGGCCCTCGCCCTAGACTAGCCTTAAACCTTCAGCTCAGGACCCTAGAAACCCCAAACGCTAAACCCGGGACTTTGAGACGGCTAAGCCCCTTTCATCTCGTTACTCCAGGAGTGATTCTCGTTTTTGGGGCATTGGCTGTCAGAACCCGGCCGCGAGCCAGAGGAGCCAGAGGTCCCTATCTTTCCTGAGCTCTGACCGTGTAGTTTCCGCCATAAGAAACTCCAAAGCCCAAAATATGATACGGAGGCCCCAACTCCGAAACGGAGACTTTAAATCCGAAGCTCCGACAGCTTCTGCCACCCAGGCGAAGAGTCCATGCCGAAGTTTCTGCCGGCCCCCGCAGCCCGGCATCGACCGGGACGTTTTTGACTTTTCCGCAGCTGCGAATATGTAGCAGTTTGCGAGAATAGGGGACCCTAAGATAGCACCCTAAATAGTAGGATCCTTATTATAAGGACCCCAAAATGGTACCTGCAATTTTCGGCAACTCCTATGTGAGCCTTGTTGCTGTTACCATTGCCTTTATATACTTGTTAGCCGCCAAATTGAAAGTATCTGTGACAGTGTCATCGCAGCCTAGTATTTTCAATTTCATACTCACCATTTCTCGTCCTGTGACTATTCATGCGGCGACAAAGCTCTTTACCCAGAAACCCTGATAGCACACCTCGTAGTTACTCCTATGGGGTCCTTCAAAAGAAACCCTAAAAATGCCTAAACAACTTTCTATGAAACCTTTACTCTGACTCTAGTACTTCTAAATATTAGCCCGTAACGGATCCCCCTAGCCGGAACCCTATACCCCTAAAGCCCTATAGTCTATAGCACCCTTTCAGGCCCCTATCTTTAGCGTGTCTTGTCTTATGTTGCTCATTTTTTAACCTTTGCAGGAAGCCCCTCGAACCCTAAATGCTTAAATCCCTATGCATCTTTTAGGCCTATAAGCCTCATGAAAACATATGTAATCATTAACCCCTAGGCACCCTTTTAGGCTCCTAGACCCGAAAACCCTATATTTAGCTTTTCTTTTACCCTAACCTTAAACCCTAAAAGCCCTAAACCCTAAACCTTGAACCCTAAACCCTAAAACCCTTGAACCCCTAAACACCAAACCTTACATTCAGCCTTTCTTTTCTTCCGCCTTATATTAAACCCGTATAATTCCCCTTATAGTAACTCTTATAGATCCCTTTAAGGAACCCTATTGGAGCCCTCTTTTGTTTCTTTTGTCTTCCGAGGCTCCGCGGCTCTTGGACTTCGCCCGCCGCAGCGCCAGTCTCGAGGGCCAGGGCCGCGAGGCTCCGCGTGGTGCGGAAGGGTTTACTATAGAGGAATTAGTAATTAAGGGTTCCTTTAAGGATTCCTTGACAAAGGATTTCTATAAGGGTTACTCCAAGCAAGCAAGCGGACGAAGTCCCGTCGGACGTGCCTCAGCCCTTAGGCTGACAAAAACATGCTGTAATTAGAAGAGCCGGCTAGGTCGAAAGCTGGAAGCCTTGTCGTATCCACTCCCTACCATCAGGGTTTATGATAGGGGGACGACCAGCACCTCTGCACAATTTAGAGGGCTCAGCGGCCTCAACAGCAATCTCCAGAGCTTCGCTCTCCGGAAAGAAGTAACGGGCTGACTTGCAGATGGCTCTCCTTTCGAAACTACTGGCCTCCAAGATGCAGAAAGAAAGCGACTCACAGAAACCTGAAGGACGATTCCTAAGAGGTCCAGCCTTCCTCACAACAGGGGCTTTATGGAAATTTCTGCGCTCTCCAGGGTCAAAAGCTCCCGTGTCATCAAACAGCTCCCAATCGCCAGCTGGCTGTAACATGACAACCGCCTGCGCGAGGCAGCCATTCGGACAGTTCAGGTGCTCAAAGAGGCGGCGGGGAGTCCAAAAATGCTTGAGACATATGCGACAGGTGGCACTTTGCACGTACTGCCACGCCACATTAACATGACCATGCACCTTGCCAACGTGACCCGCAAGCTGAGAACCTGAAACAGCGACGAAGCCACACTGTGAACAAACTAAGGTCTCATTGTCCAGGGAGGCCTTCGACCCTGAAACACCCCTAATGAGCCCAGCAGTCCTCCGTTGAAATTGCCAGAGGTCCCAAGCTTTCAGTGTGCCTGTTTGCGTCTTCCAAGCTTGACGAACCAACTTGCGCAAGTTGCACTCCGACAGCCACACTGCAAGCTCATCAGTCTCCATGCTCTCAAAGCGCAGCGCGCTCAAGTCCGGAACCCAGTACCGCAACCAACACAAGTCGATCCGTAGCTCACGCAACCACGAAGAATCGACAAGCTGATCTTCAAGCTCAAGAAGCCACCACAACGGAAAGAGGTCCAAGCTGACAACCCTTCCTGCATGTAGTATACGCGCAATGCTCCTCCTGGCTTGGGGCACCGGTAACTCGGCAGCCCCACAGAGTTCATAGACTGTGGGATGTCTGGGAGCATGAGTGCATCGATCATCCTGGAACAGCATGCGGTACATGCTGTCATGTCCACTGACCCAAGCACCAGCAACATCAACAGGCAAGTGACCCCAAACTTCACAGTTGAAACCCGCAGCAGAAGGTCCCAATGCCAAGCAGATGTCTTTCCTCTTGGCAAGAGGTACATCAGCCCGTCTCAAGACTTTGGAAGCCAAAGGTCGCAGAAGCCCTAAACCTTTTGCGAGCTTGCGTTGGATATCACTTCGGGGACTAAGGTCATCCGTAATAACCGTTCCCAAATGCGTGTACTGCGAAGTGATGTGGACTGTGTGCTGGGCACCCGAAGCAACAAACGTCAAAAGGCCAGGACCATCGAAAACACGCTTGCGCGCCTGTCTGGACCCCGACCCCCCATGAACCAAAAGACACTCTGTCTTCTCAGGTCCATAATTGGGCTCCAGAGCCCTCTTAGTGCACTCCAGGTGGACAATCTGGGCAACATGAGTAGCGACATCCTCCACATCACCAGCACATTCAGTCCAGAAAGGGAAACAAGCATCATCCGCCCACACAGGGTGTGAAGGGCTCAAATCCAGCTCCGCATACATGTACGGAAATTCCCGCCGAAGCTCCTCCTCAATGGCCTGCATAGCATCCGCCATGACCAACGAGAAAAGAACGTCGGCAATGGCGTCTCCCGGCCGTGAACCAGACCGAGATACATGCATGACCCCCTCCTGTGGTAAAAGAAAAGCTGAGAAACGAAAGAGCGAACGGACCACTCGACCAACGTGCCCATTCATCCCATCCAGCAACGACGGACCATGGGACCAACAGAGTATGTCTTGGAAGAGGGCTGGGTCAACCTTCATCTGAGTCAAGACGTCACAGATGGCCGCATCGCTCCAACAACCTCCAAGGAGCCTGCCTCGCAGGACACGGTAAAAAGCAGATCTCAAGTCCAGGAACAGAAGGCCTGCAGCATGTTTCTTGGCTTTGTGCACTTTCAACCAAGTGATGGCAAAATGAGTCAATGCAGCACTACACGATTTTTTCTTGCAACCTTGCATCATCGGGGATGAGTGGCGCATCAAATGATCGACCAGAGGTCCCCTCAAGCATTTCCTACTGGCCTTGCCGACGCCTTCCATGAGGAAAATCGACCTCCAGTTCTCAACACGACACATCAGACCTTTGCCTTTGTAGAGACAGTGCAAGATTCCGGTTGCAAGGCGTGCCGGCTCGCTCAACCGCACATGCGTCTTCAGCAATATCGGGTACCAGGCCCTTGCACTCACAACAGGGTCGCGAAGCCAGTGTTCATTGCGCACACCACTCGGCCCCGGGGCCTTGGACCTGGGCATCTTAACAATCGCTTGTTCCATGTCGAACAGAGTAGGAAGGTCACACAAGTCAAAAGTGTCACCACGCTGCTGCACAGGTTCCATCTGACAGTTGACGGCCTCCCGCGCGTCGCAACGCAAAGCAGCCTCCATGCTCCCAAAATGCCGTCCTTTGATCGCGGTTTGGGCTTGCAGGCAATCTGCCACCCGGCCATGCTCATCCAAAAGGAACGGGAGCGCCCTGAATGCGCTTTTGCATTTGCCGCTTTTACGGAAAAAGCGCAGCGAGTGCCATAACGCTCTAGAATCGCCGGTCTCAGCAGCACGACGTGCCTCGCCCACTAAGCCCTCGATGTACTGCCGCTTGTCCCGCGCCAACAAACCTCGAAGCCGTCTCGAGGCAGAAGAGATCCTAGCAGAGACCAACAGCAGCTTCACGCTCCACGAAATGACGGCACCTTCGTCAACGTGCGCACGGTCAACGTGAAAGGAATTGCCCGAGGCCCGAGCCCACTCCCGGAAACAACCGCGCAATCGAGCCTTCCTGAGCTCAGTGTTGCACCTGCGCCTTTCGGAAAGTTGCCCCTTTTTGAACACAACAAGCTCCCAAGTCTCCGCAGAAACAAAAGGTTTATTGGGTCGCTCCTTCTGTTGAGCATGTTGAGCCTCTTGAGCAACCTCAAAAATATGCTCCGCATGCCGGTGGACATTGCAGTTCCACCCAGGGCATTTGTGGGTCCGCTTCCGCACTCTCTTCTTCCGCAACGCAAGCTGGCTATGACCACCACTGCTGCAAGGAACCCTCACAACAACGCACAACGCTTGATGATCGTCATGCGGGTTACACAAGTCAACGTGAAACCTGTTTGACCTCGGCACCAACAATCAACGGGGCTGGTATCGCAATGTAGTCAAGGCAGCGGTCCTGCCACGTGGCTTGCATCTTGTCGGGGAAGTCGTGACAAGGGAATGTGTTTGACAGCGCAAGCCCAGCATCCAAGCAAAGGTCCACCAAAAGACCGCCCGCCTGGTCTTCAACACCACCGCTAGCAAGGGGCCCAACGACCATTTCTTCAGCGAAAACTACTTGCGCATTGCAATCAGCCATGATAAAGATTGGTGCCAAGCTCTTAAGCCTTTGCATGTCAAGCTTGGCCGCCTTCCACCAGCAGCGTATTTCTTCCTCCGGCCTAAGAGAGTGCGGCGCCCTGAAGGTAACAAAGATGCCGTCAAAAGTGCCACAACTAACTCGGACAACCAACCAGTCATGTCTTGCACTCAGCACCACCGCATGCTCAAGCCCAAAGACGCCAACACCAAGCTCCCTGCACCAACAGTCAACGTTCAACCAAAAGGCACAACCATCACGACCATGCCTAGCCGCGGACTGCACGACAATCCACCCGTCAGCAAAGTAGCAAGCATCCGACGACAAGCGAGTTTCCTGCAGAGCAACAAGTGCAACATGCTCTTCCTCAAACTGCTTTCGCAGGACGGGGCACTTGTTTTTCAGCGTGCACACATTTGCAGTGCACAGCCTCAAAGTGACTAACTTGGCCCTTGAGCCAACCTGCTTATTGGAATCATCCAGGATGGCTTGGGCACACTCAACAGGAACCCTGTCGGCAGGCTCATACTCTCCCTTTTGCAGTTGCCCTAAACTTACAAGGCCAGGAACGGTCCCCGAAGCCGCCCAAGCCCAAGCCATCAACGGATGGAGAAGCAACTTCGACAGGAAGGCAGGCATCCTTGCTGCACCGGGGCCAGCGCGGGCGCCAAAAGCCGCTGCCCTATCCGCCAACTCGTTGCCAAAAGTACCAACATGCGACGGTGTCCAACTCAAGCAAACTGGTCGCTGCCACTGCTCAAGCAACTGCATAAGGAGTCTGACAGCAACTGCTGGAGCCCTTCTGTCCGACAGACCAAGACTTCCTTCCGCACATCCTTTGGAGAAGGTGGAGTCAACAACGACTTCAACACCAACATATGGTGGAAGACTCGCACACCAAGCCAAGGCAATGACCAAACCCTGGCACTCCGCTTCATTGTTGGTGCCACCTGGGCCTGGCAAACCATCCGCCGCCCAACCGACGAAAGCCCAGTGAAAGCCATTCCATGCAAAGAGCGATAAGCCCCACCCTGCTCCTTTGTCAGCTGAGCCATCCACAAAAACACAGAAAGACACCGGTGTCCCAACGAGCTGAGGGCCATTCGCAAGGTAAGAGCACATTGTTGCGTCAAGCTCAAGCGGTGCAACATCACGCCTCCAAAAATCCAACCACGGCGCCTGTGCAAGTACAAGCAAGTGCTGAAGCTCTTCAACTGAATCACGGGGTGGAGCGGGCAGGCATTCATGAAGAAGGAGCTCCTTGGAAAAGCCTTCAAGGTGAGCCTTATCCTGGACGAAATGACCCGAAACCCAACCACAACTTCCTCCATCTGTGGCGTCAGCCCTGAAAGAAGCCACCGCACTTGTGGCGCTACAAGAGCCATCAACTACGTCTACCTGCCCAGCAAAGCGAACACGCAGACTTGGGCGCTTCATGTCTGAAGGCTCAAGCTGGAAGTCAGCTGCAGAGGAAAATTCATCCGAGGCAACAGCCGCACGAAGGACCTTTGAGCATCGCTTATTGGGGGGTGTCGTACCGAGCCTCCTTTCAGCACCAGGCTCCAGAAGGCCCAAACAACAGCTGAAACTGCCAATGCCTGCCTTCGCGCACGGGTGCCCTGTGCCGTATGCCTGGTCACTGTCCTTGCGAACTGCTTCCAAGAGCTGTGAAGAGAAAGACTGACGGGAATGAGGCGTGACAGACCGATTGCTGAAGATTGTTTCCGCATCCAGCATCTCAATCCTGGGATCCAAGTCCCAGCAAAGGGACAAACCTTGATCCTCAAATAAAACGCTGAACTGCCACTGCAGAGCGAGCCACACTGCAAGCATCGGGCTGACGTAATCAACCTCCTGTACTATACTATGCAATGGGAACGTCTGGGTCTCTGCAGGGTCTGAACGCTCCATGAGTCCCCGTAGGCTCGTCATGGAGCTTTGTGAGGGGGAGCATGTGTCTCCGCATCCTCCCCCGCTTTCCTCAACCTCCTCGGCGTCCTCTCTCTCTCGTTCAACTCCTCTACCGCCTGCTCCTTTGCAGCCTCCAGTGCGGCCAACAGCGCATCCGTCTGCACCTGCTGTTTTGCGCAAGCAGAAGCCACTGCCTGCACACTCGCGATAGAATCGTTCACCATAACATCGCTGTCGTCGTCTGACACATCCACGACGTCGGGGTTCTCCTTGGCAAGTCGAGATAGCTCCGTGGTGGCATCGGTAAGTGCCTGATGCCACTGAGTTTCCTTGTCCGTAAAGCTCTGCAAGACCTCGGAATGCTGTTTCACCTGTTCTTGCACCGTCGTGGCGACTTGTTGCACATAGGCCGCCCAAGACGCAGCATACTGGGCACGCTTGGTCCTCAGAGCAGCAAGCTCTTTCTTTGCTGCAGCCTGAGCCGACACTGCACGATGAAGGCTTTTGGCCTCCGTGGCAGTGTCTTCCTGCTTGTGTTGCTCCAGCAGCTGTAAGAGCTCTGGGGGTAAAGACTCCCTGGATGCACTCATCGCCTTCAACAGTGTGTCCAAAGCTTGTTTCTCCGAGTTGCCTGAAGAGCCTGAACCTGAACCCGCCCCACCACTCAGCAACACCCTTGGAGCACTGACTGTTGCCGCCGCCGGTGGAGCCGGCAAATCGGCTGACTTCGGCGCCACAGGAGCCAACTGACCATCCCGACCGGCTCGGCCCTGGCTTTTGGGCCTGCGTCTCCGCGGTGACTTGGTCGGGCGTGGCGATTCGGAACGACCCCACCACTCCTGCTGCTCCCAACTCTTGGTGCTTGATCTCCACGGAGCCTGCCCAGTAGGCTGCGAAAAGTAAGCATTGCCAGACTCTTCTGCCGTCCAATGCCTTCCGCATTGACCGCAGAAATTGCTGTTGGCTTTGACTTGCTGTTTGCACTTGGAACAACGCCAGCTCGACATGCTGATCAATATGTTCCGCCCTCTCCGTACCAGCTCTGGGAGACCAGACTTGGAATGATGCAACTCCAGCGCTCTCACAGCCTGGTCGATTGCTGTGTCTGGGTACACTGCCGTCCCAGATGCCGAATTTCTCAAAATGGTTCTGCTTCTTGTGCGCTGCTTCCTCTGCCTGCGATGTGCCGCTGACTCCCACTGTCGCGGCGTGGTGTTGCAAAGCGACTCCGCCGAACAGGCAAAGAACAGAAGAAAACACCAGAAAAATTTTGTATTCACTGACACCCATACACCACCCAATCCAAACCAGTAGGCCGATTTAACGACAGCTAAAGGCTGGAAGCGAGTCGGAAGCCAAGGCGCCAGGAGTCGCGGGCCTGCAGAATGGGCCTCGCCTAGGGTCACTGCCTAGCAGTGGCTGGATCAGCCCGAAAGCTGAAAACTACAGCCCTGCTTAAGCAGAAACGCCTGTTACTCCAAGGGTTTAGGGTATAGGGGCTTAAATAATTGCCGATACTATATTGGGAGCTCCTTCGTATAAATATAGTATAATGGGCCCCAAAGCCCTATTCTAAATTATTCAGGCCCCTGTATTTTGTCAGGGTTGAAAATTGGTTCACCAAAACAGAAGCAGCAATACGTGCTTAGAGTTTTTGTGTGTTGTTTTGTTGTTTTAAGTGGTTTCAACGGTTAGGGCTCATAGACGTTTGGTCAGTTTGAGAGGGGCCTTAGGTATTAGGTTTAGGTCGTCATGAAGTCTGAAATCCGAGCGTAAAGGCTCTGCACCTTGAACCTAAATCCCCTGTTCGGGATGCCGCAAGTAAGCCGAAACCTTGCAGGTTTTGGCCATGTTGGGTCAGCCTATGAAGACGATCTCCGACAGTTTCGTCTGCGACTTCGAGGACGGTTTTTTGGGTTGAAGGATGCCCAGAGACTCCACTATCCCTTAGTTAAGGAATATACCTTGAAATTATAGTAGGATCCCAAATGTGATTTAAGGTATACTCCCTAATTTAGGGATATTGGAGTCTCTGGCTGGAGTGTTCTCACAAAAGCTACACGCGATAAGCCAAGACCGAGGCCCGTTGGTGCCTATTCCCCGCCTCCCGAGGCCTGTATCTTGAGGGTTTCGTTTCGCTTATCCCTAAATGCCTACTATGGAGGCGCTAAATAACTAGTGCGTTGTTTGTCAGGGTTCGGCTTTTGGGAGGCGAAAGGTCCTTCAGTGTCTCTTCGGTTTATATATTTTTCTTGTGTCATTCCATGGGCACTTGGATCAGGATGCGCAAGAGCCCTGATTGTCAATCTCCTACACCAATATAGGATCCATTCAATAATTACCTATACCATTTTTGGTGCTCCTTATTACAAGTATAGTATATGATACACCGAAACCCGATTATAATTATTAAGGCCCTACATTATGTGCCAAAACTCCAGTACCGCGAACCCAAGACCGCCAGGAGTCTGTGAGTGTCCCCGAGAACCCCTTCACCACGGAGCGGCTCAAATCCCTTCCCGGGGGCATGACCCGCCACCCGGACAATTTCGTCGGGGTTCAGATTGACCCTAAAATTACTGAATCCCTCAACTCTAAGCCCCAATTGAGGGGTTTGAGAGTTCATGCTTATGGTCAGACTGGGTTGCTACGCTCATGTGGGGTGCGAGAGGCCTCTGCCTGCTTGGGGCTTCGACTTCTGAGTTAGCCCCGAACTTATACACCCTAACCTTTGTACATAGGCCCCTAGAAGGGAAACCTATTACTATGATGACTACTTTATTGGATGCAGTGCAGTCCGGCATCGTTCCGGAGTCAGGCCTGAGCCAGTGTGCTCAGAACCCCTTCAGTTGCAACTGCCGACTCCCGAAGCCCTGAACTGCGAAGCCCAAGCCCAAGGACCTACCAAGCCCAAATAGCCCTAGATACAAGGCGCACTTATAGCAGACAATCCGGCTGATGCTGAGACGCATGTAATACTTTGCCATCCCTATGTCGACATTCGAGCTGCGCATGTAGCCAGGAGAAACCCTCGTGTCAACTGCTGACCAAAGCAGTACGCCCGAAGATCCAAAGCCATACATGCCGACACTCCAAAGCCTGATGGTAGCCCTCATAGTCAGAAATGCGCATCTCAGGCATTGCCGGAGATATCATCAAAGGCAAGCTTGATGGCCATGCAGGGGCCTTACTATCGAGTATACTCGGGTTTTCTCTTTCTTGGGCTATTAAGGATAAGGGTTTATAGATTTAGGGTCGGCTTGCACGGGTTTCAGAGGCGATTCAGCACACATGAACGATTTAGGTTTCATCGGTCTAGTGCCACGGAGTTTGCTTTAATATGTGGTTTGGGTTTAGGTCGGATCTAGGGTTGATACACGGTTACCGGTTTGAGGCCGCTCGGGTTTGGGCGGACTTCCTGGAAGTATCAAGACTCTATTCTTTACCCGACCCTATGGCAAGCTCAAACCCCTGCACTATCCTGAGCTCACAATCGCCGCTTGGGCGTCTGTGGGTCTGCGACGTGGGCCTCCGGGAGGGTTCTGGTCTGATGTTCTTGGGTTCTCACATGGTCTAAGTACCCAATAGCTGGGTTCGGTGGTACCACACTTGAGTACTTTGTGCTTGGACCTGCTCCTTCAAAGGAACCATTATGAAAATGAGAGTCTATACTTGATACGTGCTTCTCCCCGGCTACTTCAAAGTCCAGTTAATCTCCTGCTCTCCGAAGTACTAGCCTACAAAACGACTAGCCTGAAGCTAAGTACCTAATTCTTGGGTCCTTGGGCCCTAAACCCTAAACCCTCAACCCTAAACCCTGCCATTTTGGGGTTCTTTGGACCCAAAGGGGTTTAGATTCACTTGTTTGAGCCCAGACTCTCAGGGTTCAGCTGCAGTTTGGGCCTTGGGCATGTTAGCTGTCGCAAGGATCCTTGTCTCAAAGTACCACTCCCCTCCAATTCCTAAACCATATTTCTAATAATAGTGCTAATACAAATACTCATACTATCACTAAGTACCCATCCTAAACCCTGAAACCACTTCAGCCTGAAATTAGTTGAAAGACCGGAAGAAGCGCCGAGGCAGTCTACTTGGATCAAGCCAGCAAGCGGAAAGGCCCGCCCATGACTTGATGCCAAGTGTCAAAGGTTGCAACAGGGTTTGGGGTTTAGGGTTTTAGAGTTTAGGGTCGAATGCTAAGGTAGGCTTAGGATTTCAAGGGCCTGAGCATTCGGCTTCTGCGGTTTCTGCGGTTTCTGGAAGAAGGAAATAACCCCAAGAGGATATCGAAGGGCGGCTAGACTTGTGGTGATCGCGCAGGGTATCGGGCTTTGTGTTCGGATTGCAGATGTCTGTGCGCACAAGTTTGAGAACCTTTCGGCGCGCAGGGATTTGAAACTTTGGCTGCAAGAAACAACACGAGCCTGCATGCTTGGACAGCTCTTGTTGCTTGCCCTCTGAGCCCCAAAGTTCCAAACCTTCGACGCCACTTTCGAAGCCACAAGCCTGAGATATCCTAGACCCCCGGAGCATAAACCCTAAATCCCGGAAACACAGCAACCCACTTGGAGGGTCGCGGGACTTAGTATGTAGGTAGTAAGTAGACTTATAAGTACCCTAAAAGGGACCCTAATTGGGGTTATGGTAGTTATAAGTCCCTAGAATAACCAGTTACTAAGTCTCCCGACCCTCCAAGCAGAGGCTCTGAACCGCCAATGAGCTTTGACTCCGCCCAAGCCCTAAACGCCAGGTTGCGGTCTGAAATGCCTGCCGCAGGACCCTCCAGGGTTCCACAGCCTTAACTTTGGTTAGTAGGGAATGGAAGAATGGTAGAAAAAGTAGTTATAATTGTATCCCATTCCTCCAGTCCCTACTAATCAAAATTAAGTTATCGGATTATTAAAGCCCCTAATTATAGTACCCTTATAGATCCCTTATACCCTACTAACCAAAGGTAAGCAGCTTCAAAAGAAGCGTTTGAGGGGAGATGGAGATGGGTTCAGGATATTTAGGGGTGTGGAGATACAGGGTATCAAAATTGGGGTTGAGGATGTTTAAGGTCCGGGGCGGGATAGCCGAGTTTGGGTTGAGGGTTTGCAGGTTTTCGGGTGGTTTTCGCGTGTAGTCTTGATGGCTTGGGTTGAGGGTTTAGTGGTTTTCGTGGTCTTACAGGAAGGTCTTTGGGAATCTGCAAGGTTTCCATGTCTATGGCATGACGGTTTTCCGGGCTTCAGAACAACAAAGGGTTCTTGGACGTTTCATAACATCTTACAGGTTTTTTGTAGAGGCAGCTTCCCCAAGAAGTAGAAAGCACCTTGAGCGACACTCACCAGTCGATTTGGAGCCGATTTGATTGGTTTGGGGCTTTCCGAAAAGAGGTGCCCCTTATTCAGTACCCTACACAGTAGCACCCTTCTTTTCGGAAACTCCCATTTAGTTTACGGCCGCGCTGCAGGACCTCGCATCTGGTCACCTGGAACCGGCACTGGGCACCCTCGATGAGCTTCCCGGCACCTGCATCTTTGCCAGGGCATGTCTAAACATTCGGCAAACAGGGACCCTTTAACTTATAGACTACTAAATACTTACCAATGCTGTTTTGGGGGGTTTGGGGGTTCCTTATTATAGTTATAGTAGAATGTACCACCAAACCGTATTTTCTGCCGAACCACGTAACAAACATCACTCGCAGATGTTACAGCACCATTCATTTTCGTGTACAGATGCTCGACAACTGGTCATTAAAATATGACTCCATGTTGCGAGACAGAAGGCATTCTGACCGTCCCTCTGCTGGGCATTTCTTGGCATCTGTGTTTTGGGCAAACTAGCCTAGCTACTCGTGGCTCATAAGCGGCTACGCTTTCTTTGGATGCACCAATCATCTTAAGCTTCGTTCGCCTCAGACGTATGTCCGATCCACCACCAAACCCTATTCTAATTATTCAGGCGGCCCCCATATTCATCTGTATGACAGGATCATGCCTATGAGAACTCCGAAAATGATCCCACACACACAGACACACTTACTGTACCCTGTCTGAAACGGCGCTCCTGATCCTCTATCCCCTAAAGGGGCCCGACTGTTCTAACGCTAAGTCCCAGACTTGCGATGAAGGGCTTGCGGTGTGCGGTAGCTGGAGACTGCAGGAACAGGGGACTTGACTAAGCAGGCACTACATGCGCGGGAGAGAGGCAACAACCCGAAGCAGCGGGCCCATCGTTCAGGATTCCTTAAACAAATCCCTAGACCTTTTTCAAGGATCTCTTCCTGAGATGCATGAAATTGTTTAGACATGCCTGAGGCTGGAATCTGAAGTGAAGACCTCCTGGTCGAAAGACCTGCAGTATCCCGGCAGCAGAGAAGAAAAGAGCTTCAGGCTCAGCCTGAAGTAATTAGCCGGTTACCCCATCGTTGGAATCTCTCTCTCTCTCTCTCTCTTTTTCTCTCTCGGTTTCTCGCTCTCTCTCTCTCTCTCTCTCTCTCTCGCTACCGCTCTCCCTTCCTCCCTCCCTCGCTCGCTCGCTCGCTCGCTCTCTGTCTCTCTCTCTCTCTCTCTCTTCCTCTCCCTCTCTCTCTCTCTCGATCGGCGCATATATGTAAAATACACACATACTCCAAGTCTTGTTCTAAGATGGGCTACCTCCTGGATCTGACACCCCGAAGCCACGGTTACAAAATTACGGTTCGGCCAGGTGCCTCTAGAAACTTCCCACAATATGGGGGCCTCATTAATTACCTATGTTACTTTGGAGGTTCAGTATTATAGATGTAGTAGAATGGGCCCCGAAACACTAGTCTAAGAATTAAGGCCGCAAAATACATCCCGTGGTTTGGCATCAATGGTTTCGGGCTAAGGGTTCAACAACTCTCTGTGATATCACGGTGGAACCAACCACAGCAGTAAGTCAGTCCGAAATCCTGGCTCATGTGGTAGCGAAGCGACATCGAAACTACGTCCTGGTTCTGAAGCCATAGCAACTAGGTTTTTCAACCCGATACACACCCGTCGCCATCGCCACGGGACCTGTCCGAACCCGAACAAAACACCTAAGCCGTAAAGACAAGTAGTCACCACCCCCGAAACCTCCCGCACCCTGAACCCCTAAGGCCCTAAACTCTGAACCCTAAATCCTACGTACCTGAACCCTGAATCCCTGAACCCTCGACCACTAAACCCCTAACCCCCTAAACGCCTAATGCCCTAAAGGCAAGTGGTCAGCATGCGGACGGAGATGCTCGAGACCGCCGACAAAGCACCCGCCGACCAGGGAGATGGCACACGCTTCTGGCTGCAGCGAGCCTCGGAGACGAATATTCGTTTGTTTAGGGTTTAGGGTTCAGGGTTTAGGGTTTAGGGTTTAGCTTATGCTCTCGTGTACACGTGTATGTATGTATTGCGGCGGCGATGTGCCACTGCACTCCAATTATTCGGGCATGCCCCAGTAATCCGAGTACGCCCGAGTTCGCGTATTCCCGGCGCATCTTATCGGCAGTCGCGCTTTCCCGCCACAGTGTAGACATGCGCATGTATATGTTTATGGACAATTAGAGTCTTCTTGCTGGTTTCACAAGTCTGTAGTGTTTGTAGTTGAGACGATACCCCGAGAAAATGGGAGCAGTGACACCTGGAACACGAGGTCGAATAAGTAGCAAGGGTAGTAGGGTAGTGTTCGCTGTCATAGAAGTCTTCGTCGGCGCGCACTACACCAACCGTTTCCATTGCATCCCAATGTATGTTTGGAGGATCATGGGACTTAGTGAGTAAGGTGGGGCTTTAGGTATAGTTACCCTAAATATAAAACCTAGTTACTAAGTCCCATGACCCTTCAAGTACCTCCCCCTAATAAAGCCAAGGAAGAGGCGGCATCGAAGGTCATCTTTGGCTCGAGTGGTGCGTAGGTGCGGTGCCTTGGCCCGAAGAAAGGAACTGAAGGCATACTACTACTACTAGTAATAATAATAATAGTAATAATAAGAAGAAGAAGAATAATAACAATAATAATAATAATAGTAATAGTAATAGTAATAGTATTAGTAATAATAATAATAATAATAATCATAAAGCAGTAATGATAATAGTAGTAATAGTAATGATGATGAGAATAATGAAGACTGCAGGTTTCTATTGGGTCCGGGTTCAGGGTTTAGGGCTTTAGGGTTTAGAGGTTGGAGAAGGGCTTGGGTTTAAGCGTGGGGTTCCTTTGAGGGTTGCTGCAAGCGTTCCCTTTAGTGGAGTTGGGGTGTAGTCTCCTCTGCCTTAGGTCTCTAAATCTTGTAAGTTTCGCTCTTGCAGGACAGATGTTGAGGGCTTTAGTGTTTTCATGAGGGTTGGGGTTCAGGGGCGTAGCTGCGTTCGGATGCCGGGCGCAGAGTCAGGGGAACAGGATTAGGAGCTGGTGGCTCAAGGTCCGTTGGGTTTAATTAACAGTGAGGCTCTAGAGTTTTTGGGTTTAGCTCAAACACAAGGTGTTTAGTGTTTAGGGGTTCAGGGTTTAGGGGTTTCGGTGCTTGTCGCAAGGCTTGCTTAGTGCTGCTTGTCGAGGCGGATGAGGCTGATACAGATACCGTGCCGATCAGTGGGGGTATTCCGGTAACCAACGTATGAGACTGATCCAAACCGGGGTCCCTTTCCGTCGACACGGGCAGCTTTCCAGGAAAGCTCAACACCACTGAGCCCCTGAAAGTCCAAAACGACGCCCGAAATCGCTAGAGCACACCCACACCCAGTTGATATGCCAACTCACAAACCAGCGATCGCTGATATTGCCCCTTTGAAATCGTGACAGCCTTCAACATACTTTAAACTTTAATCAACCCTAAGATCTGATTAAAGACGACCCATCTACATCGTTTGCCGAGGAGCTCGACAACGAGCGATTCTTCGAAGGCTGCATCGCCGCGGTGAACAAGGCCGGACAGGGCGGATTCGTAGTAGTAGCAGTGGTAGCAGAAGTCGTGCTCCTCGTCCTAGTCGTCGGTGTGGTAGCAGCAGTAGTAGTGGTAGTAGTAGTAGTAGCAGCAGTAGAAGTAGCAGTAGCAGCAGGAGTAGTAGTAGTAGTAGTAGTAGTAGTAGTAGTAGTAGTAGTAGTAGTAGTAGTAGTAGTAGTAGTAGCGGTCATAGCAGTAGAAACAGTCGCCGTCGTCGGCATCGTCGTGGCCGTGGTGGTGGTCGTGGTGGTGGTGGTGGTGGTGGTGGTGGTGGTGGTGGTGGTGGTGGTGGTGGTGGTGCTGGCGGTGGTTGTGGCGGTCGTGGCGGTGGAAATGGTGGTGGTGCTGGCGGTGGTTGTGGCGGTCGTGGCGGTGGAAATGGTGGTGGTAGAACTGATGCTGGTGCAGGTTGTGGCGGCGGCGGTGCAGAGACACGTTTTGTTTAGGCTTCAAGGGCTTGATTGAGCCCATGGAGTCGTGTTTGTGCCTTCGAAAATGTGGACAGCCGCTTCTTCTGGAGTTGTTGCTGCAGAATTTCTGATGTTACCAGATGTATGGCACTTCTTCGCTTTATCACGGTCACATACAACTATGGTATCTCCATCTCCAACGTTGGGTGTAAGCCGTATATTATTGAGATCTAGTGCGGATTACATCAATGTTAAACGGTTTCCGAAGATAAAGACAAGACACACAGAAAGTCCCACACACCGACACCGAAGGCCCAAATACAAAGCGTCGACCCTGAACCTAAGTATGAGCGCTTGCAACGACACCGTAATGATTTCCTCGTATCAGTGCATGACAGTAGTATCGGTCTCTGAATAGTAACTTGAATTTGCTCAAAGATGTCGGGTTCTGCGTTTACAGTTAAGCTTCATACCTACATGTTTAGAATCAGGGCCACATTACGGATATGCAAAAAATAGCACTTGGCTCTAAAGGGTTGGGTCGCCACGGTTTCTGAACTTTGTGCGCACTTGCTTATTACTTGTACTTCGTGCGCAACCAAGTCACAGGTAGAAAGGTGGGACTTGCTCCTGGCTGTAAAGTCAAATACACTTCCCATGGGCAGACCTTACATGTCCAGGCTTTCTCAGTTAGGATTCAGGTTCCCATAAATCCTAATAGTTCCCATGTTATCCCAGAATCGCCCATGATGTGCGAGTCGGAACAGTCGCATTGTATGACCCCTGCGAGCATGTCGTCCGCATCCGACCTCAGTCGAAGGGCTCTGGTCGGTTTAGGGTTTAGGGTGTTTGCATTGCAGGGTTCCGGAATTCTCGTTTGAGCAGAGCTTACAAACCCTGCGCCGACAAGCTATTCAGTTCATGTGGGAGTTTGGGTTTTCTTGTTCAGAGCTTGGAGGGTTGATGGTTGAGAGTTTGGCGTCCGGTTTTCGGTTTAGGGGTCTCTTACAGCCGTCTCGGTGCACAGGTCTCCAACACAGCCAGTGCCCAGTTAGTTGGGCAACGGATGCTGGGGATGATGCTCTACGTCTGCCGTGCCGCGGTGTGCAACGGGTGCTTGTAAGTTTGGGGTTTTGGCTTTTGAGGCTTGTGCGGTGGTTTAGAGAGTCCTTGAGTTCAGTAACAATAATGTGTAGGATTTCAAGTCTCTTCGCCCTTCGAAACCTAGCAGTAAAGCAGACAACCTGCTAACTTTTTTCGGGTACTAGAATGCCTATATAACCTTTATCCTATTGGGGTACTACATGCCTATAATATAATTGATTCCAAGGTACTTCCACTAGGTTAACCTTAAGTTGTCAGGTGTAGAAGGCAGAAGCTTCCAGCACTTGAAATGCCAGATACCTTTCGGCTCCATCCACGAAGCCCAAAATAGGAGTTTGCGATAATTTAGGGTACCTTATCTTGGGGTTCTTAGAATAAGGATCCTGCTATGTGGCGTGCTATATTGGCCCTATTTTCGGAAACCCCGAATACATCGCAAACGCACCTCCCGAAGTCCGGAAGCACTCTACAACCTCCACCCCCACGGCTTGTGACATCGTTCAGAAAAAGTGAAGCGCATGAGATCCTTTCAAGCGCCAGGGAAGCCTAGTCTGGTATAAGTCACATATATTGAAGCACATGAGATCCTTTAAAGTGCCAGGCAAGCTTGGTCTGGTATAAGCCGCATACATGGGAGTTTCCGAAAATTAGGGGTACCTTATTTTGGGCTCCTTATAATAAGGATCCTACTATTTAGGGTACTATATTAGGGTCCCCTATTTTCGGAAACTCCCACATATCATCCGAACCATCTTTTTCCACAAGGCGTCCTAGCCTCTGATCTGCTACCCGAGACCTCTACACCATTGAATCCGAGACCTCAAACCCCCCGATCTCCAAAACAGCAATTCCGAAAGTCCAAGGCCACACCCTGCACCCCAACAGAAGCGATACCAGCGGAATCTATGTATATAGCTAAACATCTAAAATTCGTCCAAGTGCGTGCTCGCAGCTTCGAACAAAGCCAGGAAATCCTTACCAGCATTCATGGTTACAGCGATAAGCACTGAAAGCTGTAAACTCAGGCCGAATCTGGCCTGAGATATCCATCCGAAGCAGAGCACCAGAACCCATCGAGGGTGTGTACTGAGGGTGTGTGAACAACCTCGTAAGCACCAGTGAAGCGACGCAGACACAAGCACCATCTCATGCGAGGGGGTTGGAGGTTTAGGGTTTGTGTTTAGGGTTTAGGGTCTCTGACTTTAGACTGATAGTCGTAAGCAACGACCGAAGAGAGACGCTTGCTGAGGCATTGCTCAGGCGCAGCTGGCCCTGGGTTCCCTCCAGGACTTGCGGCCTTTGGTTGACGACTATTGGCTTTAGGCACTTTTTGGAGTCTTAGGAAACAGGTCTAGCAGCGGGATACAGTGAGTTTTCAGAAGGCCGAAGCGGCAAACTCCTTGGCGTGACCATACATCCGATAGTATACACCCACGATGCATTGAACAGGCTGATGCCGTACACCTGAAGCAAAAATCCGCGATCGAACGCCAAGAAGATGTTTGCAGATCTATGTTGGGCAGCAAGACAGGTCGTGTAAGCCTCAAGGTCTTCAAGGTCTCTGCGCCGTCTTGATCCTTTAACTTCATCTTTACCAAGCCTCAAGACCCAAACCCTAAAACCCTTATGTAGTCCTTTCAGGATTCACAGACCCAACGGATCTTAGGTACTGTCATGTGGGAAAGTACAGTCATTCCTAGTACAGAAACCCTGCATGCCACTATTATTGTAGTACATTGTAGTAGTATCCTCTTATACAAATCCTACATTCTACCATCATAACAGTAATTCCTACTATAAACCCCCCCTACATTCTACTACATAGGTACCCTAAACCCATGAACGCACCTTAAAGGAACCCTTAAGGTAACCTTAAAGCTTTGGGCGACCCAAGCGCCCGGAGGACCTTCGCTCCGCGATCCGGCGCGCCGAGCTCCTGGGACGATGAAGTTATCCCAAAGTTTTCAATTACTGCCTAGTACTTAAAGGATCATGGGACTTAGCAACTAGGGTTATAATTAGGGTAACTATACTTATAACCCTAATTAAGGTACTTATAACCTTACTTACTAAGTCCCATGATCCTCCAAGTAGTAGTCGAGTAGGCAACCTTTAGCCTTTTTTGGGCAGTAAAGTCCCTATATAATCCCTATATACCCAAAGAGGTTAACCTTTAGTTCCCCATGATACCCGACAAACAGGACTATCAGGGTTTAGGGTTTATGGCTTTAGGGTATAGAGCTTCAAAAACAGACCCTTCAAGGAACCCTAAATCAGGGAGCCAAAAAGCACATAAGCATGAGGACTTTATGGGGATATCCCTGCCTTATTGGGGTTCTTTGTAAGGGGGTTTATATGGGGATCCCTATCCTAACTTTTGCTTATGCTCTTTTGGGGCCCTACAAATGGTCCAAGTACCATAATTTAGGGTTCAGGGTTTAGGGTTTAGGGTATAGTAGATATTATGCCATTACTTGGACCTTTTGGGGAAGTTATCTGGGCTTTTGCATCTGGATTTCTATCAGAATTCTGTGGAGCTCTTGGGGTTTGCAGGGATTTCTTTGGGGATTTATAGGGGTTCCTTGGAGGTTCTTGGGGTTTTGTTAGGGGCTCCTTTAGAGGGGTTCAGCCGAGAGATCAATCCGAGAAACCGATTGTTGGCCGCACGGCTTTGCAAAGAGCAGCAACTTCCAAGGAAGACTGGGGTGGATGAGGTGGTCTCCAAGGACTCTGCAACAGAAACCGAATGCCCCCACTAGATTCAGTATTTGCTATTCAGATCAGAGTAAAGCTTTGGACCAACCTAGCCCAGCCTCTCAAAAGCTCAGTTTGCGAATGGCGAAGTTGGCTCGAAACCCTAGCCGCACTAGCCGTAAGCCTGAATACGGAAAACAAACGCCAGTGCCTCAAAAAGCCAGCGTTGCCCAGAGACGACAAAACTGATCACTAAAGAATCGACTTGTTCATAAATGAGGGACCCTGAACATTATGTTATATCCTTATGTAAGCGGGCTTGCCGTCTCTGGGTTCGATCTGTTATTTCGGATGACTCGGAGTTCCAGACGGACCAAGATGCGATTGGCTCACGGTTGCGGGGTTAGAGGCGCAGGGTTAAGATTTTGGGATAGTCTAGGGTGTAATGCAGGGGCCTAAGTGCTTACCAACACTATTTGTAATCATGAAGGCCCCTATATTACTCGTCGAGTGACAACCAACTCCGAAAATGCACGACTCGATTTGGAAACCTGGCTTAGAAATTCGGGAAAATATCAGATAATCGCTTCGGATGATTCAGGTCCCTTTCGGCTCCACCATAGTAGACCCTCAGTGATGCCTGAGCAGGAGTTGCAGACGCTGGCTGGTCGTTTGGCCGTGTTCTTGGGGTGCAAGAGGAGAGACCGGGGTCTTCAGCACGTTCCTCTTTTGGGAGTTTTAGGGTGTTAATTGTGGCTTGGGGTGTAGAGTTTGGGGTTTGTGTTGATCTTGTTTTGTACACGGCGGTTAGCAGTCGGCTAAGCCCTAAACCCTAAGACCCCAAACCCGAAAACACGAACCCCGACCCCTGAACCCTACATAGGAGCAGCCCGGCAATAGGCCCCTACGTAAACCGTAGTAGAGTAGATATCCTTTTCACTTTTTTTTGGGGGGCGGGGGGGGGTATTCTAATCCCTTTCTACTCCCAATATGTTCGTAAAGGATAATCTTTAGTTTCCCAGGATACTGCACAAGAAGGCCTAAATTGCTGGGAGGAACTACACCAACGCTGACGGCAGTACAGACATCTCCCCTGCGTTTCTGCTGTCGGAGCCCCGGGAGTGTCTTTTAGGGTTTGGGGGTTTAGGCTTAACCCTAAACCCTTAACCCCTTAGTGGGATCAAGGTTCAGAGCTTGACGTTTAGGGTTTCGGGGTAGGGGGTTGTTTTTGCTGCCATGGCAGCGGCTTATTGGGATTTGTATTATGCATGCGAGAGCAGTGGGAAGCCTGATTAAGAAACCCTGGGTTTGTATTCGGGCCTTGATATGAGCCGTAATAATATGGGGCTTTTAGGGCCAGGATTCTTAAAGAAGGTTCCTACATTAGTACTTCACCTTTATCGATGCTCGAAGTTGTTAACGCTTCTACCGTCTGTAGGGCTTCTGGCTTTATTGCACTTCTGACACCTAGTTCGGGACTGCTGGTCTGTTTCCCAAACGGTCCTAAGCATCTATATAGTCGAATGATGTAGAATGTAGGGTCTCTACAACAATAGGAACTGCCAGCATGGTTTGGGCAGGTATCCCCCATATAGGCACTCAGGGCCCTTTAGGTTTCCGGAATTCAGGAGCCTGGGGCTTAGATACTACGCTTCACCACCAATTAAGACTGATGCGGTAATTACCTGATGATTCTTTTGTTGTTAGGGCCCGAGTCTTTCGAATAGGACTTCATGGTATAGTCTTATCAACCCTTGAGTCCGATATCCTAGCAATGCAGGTCCCCAGAAAATATCATACGGCTACCTTCACAAGTAGAAGAGGCTTTTGAGATGCGATTACTACCAGGACGTGCTGTTCCTCATTTTTCCGACCCTCCACATATTTTCCCAGCCCATGGGGCGAGCGATTTGGTGTTGCAGAGAGTTCTCGAAGCCGGGTCTGACTCCCAAAACCCAAAGCCGAAAGTCCCGAAGCCCCAAAACCCTATCGATCGAAGGCACTGAACCCCCAAAATCCTAAGTCATCCGAACCCAGAAGCCCCACACCCTAAGCGTAAACTCCACGCTCCCAGTCCTGACTCTCTGTTGACCGCTTTGGAGACAATGCGACCGCCAGGTTCGAATATGTCACCGGCTTTCTGGTGAGGAAGCAGCAGGTCGGATCAAAATTGTCTTTGTGTGCTTTTTTGTTGAAGCAATAATGACGTGGCATGGAAGGAGTTGTACATGTGGCTTTTGAGGTGTTATAGGGTTGCTGTGAGGGTTTTTGGGTTTGGGGTTGAATTCCTCCAAAAGGAAGGAAGAAGGACTTATACAGCCGTGGATGATGAACCCTGAACCCAAAGTCTCCTTAAGGTCTTATATCCTAGTATGCTGTACGCCAAATACCTGCCAAAGCTCTGAGGGGCCTTGCCGAAACTGCTTGTGCAATCCAAAAGCACGTGCTGCTGTCCTTTCATTCCGTTACAGAGACTCCCAACAAAGTTTGTAAAACCGTGAAACCCCACAAGAATTCTCATGAAGTCCTTCAAACATGGTATGACATCCTCATAACTAAAGTTGTGAAACCCTGACAAATAGTACAAGACCCTTACACGGAAAGAACAAAGAGCGCTAAACCCTAAACCCCTAAACCCCTGAACCCCTAACACAAACCCCTAAACCTTTAAACCCCTAAACCTTTAAACCCCTAAACCCTGAACCCTAAAAGCTAAACCATATACCCCTTAAACCCCACCCTGAACCCAAAGCCAGGTCACGCTGATCCAGACGTTCGCCAAGGAAGCCTTTGAGGGGCGCTCACTGGTGGCGCAGATGATCATGGGCGCCGAAGCGGAGTTTGCGAGGGTACTTTCTTCGGGTGGGGGGGGGGGGGGGTTTGGGGTGATTTGGGGGGATTTCTGGCGCTTCCTAGCGCTTCCTTGAAATGTCGAGCCTTAATGGTTTTGGGCACCGAAGCGGAGTTTAGGCTTGGTTTCGTACAGGTTGGGGTTTCGTGCAGGAGTTCGGGCGTTTCGGGTGCTCGGGGCAGCGAAGCTGAGGTAGTGATTTTGGTTTTGGGCCAGTTTTGGGTGGCTGATTCTGGATTTGCCCGCTATCCTGCCTTGAATTCTCAATCGGAGTAATGCCTGCATACTTCGTCCCCTGAATCCACCCAACCCCGAAAGCTTGGCCGTGCCCCCTCAACCGCAAACCCGAAGCCCTCAAAGCCTAAACTGTGCAACCTGAAGCCACATTCGGAAGTCAGGTGCGGGCAAGACCACATGCATTGCTCCAATGTTGACTTTGCTGCGTCTTGTTGGCACACAGGAGTTTTTGGTTTAAACTCAAGGGTGAATTACCTTGTTTGAGGCGTTCCTAATCATTGACAGCGGGAATCCTACCGTTTAGGGTCGTAAACAGGGTCCCATTTCTCTTGTATTTCAGGCAGGGATTGCCATGGACCTGAGTACTAAAGGTAGTCGGACAAAGCTACAGTGCAAGGACAGATATTCCTGGCAACAGCCGTACCACGATTCAGCTACAAATGTGCGCGGTGCGTTTCCCTTCAATGGTCGTCGCAGTATGAGCAGAGTGAGACTCTCGCTGTGGCGACAGCATCGGCCACTCCTACCAGAGACAAACACTTTCTTGCGAGTGCCCACAAATGGGATGACAGCATCTGACTTGCCGTCCTGGGCCTCTCACTTGTTACATTTGCAGGTTAGACCCATGTGGTGTTTGTACTCTTGCTGCTGTCAGAAGTGCTGCCAGAAATCTCTACCTAAAGCCCCTATCTTAAAGACCTGCAGCCCTGACACCTAAAGCCTGAAGCCCCAGAAGCCTACAACCCTAAAGCCAGCCCTACACAGCCCTTACAGCATTAAAGCACCCCGTATAGGAATCCCCAATAGGAGCCCTCAAAGAGACCCTTGAAAGAACCTTTTTTTTAATTAAGGCTGGGCAATGACGGCCGCCTGGTGCTCAACATTGTGCCCAAGGCCTTGTTGGCACAGACGCGGAACGTGATGCGGAAGCTTGGCTGAGGGTCCGTGAGGGGAGATCGCTTAAAAGCTGTAGCTGTTCCTGGCACGATTCTAGGTAAGGGTTACGAAACAGTCTTATACGGGTTACTCTGGTGTTGGTGTGTTTGGGTGCTTTAAGGTGGCTAAGGACGGTTGTGGAGGGAACATAGGGATTATTATGCAGGAGCTGTATGGGAAATATAGAAGGCCTGCTGTTGGGCTCCAATCCCCCACTCTTGCTTGAGCACCTCTCGGCCGTGTAAGACAAGCGGAGAAGTAAGGAGAGGTGTAGACTCCAAGGAATCACAAGCTGTGCGAAGGATCTAGTTTCGGGTTTTGAGGGCATAGGGTTCAGGGCCAGGGTTTAGGGATCCTGCCACAGCTGACAAGAATTTGACACTAGCATTGCGAACCATGTTTACATGGACAGAGCTGAAGTCTTCAGACTAGAGCTGAAATCAATCCCACTCACCTACGCTCGTCGCGCTTGAATGAAAGCTGGTACATGGACGATTCTCAGAAAAAAGAGTCCATCACATAGAGGCCAGAGTGTGACGATGGTCAGCAGAGCATGGTCACCATGAAACTGTAGATGAGTAGGATGGCCCCTGTCGCTGCTTACTACGTGCTCCCTCTTGCTCATAGCCTGTCATCGAGGGGCCATATTTAGACATGATATTCTCCAGGTCTCCTTAATTAGCAAACTTTTCTTACCAAATCCCCAAATCCCTAAATCATGAGGTTTTCTAGAGGCCCCTTCAGTGCGAAGGAAGATGTTCGGCCAAATCCTGGCCAAGCGCGTGGTGACCCTGGAGTTCAGCAGAATGATGGGACAGGCCAGGTTCTCCCACCGAGCTTTGGGTTTAAAACCCTGAACCCTTAAAGCAGCAAAAAAAGCCCTCTTACCTTAGGGTTCAGATGGGTTTAGGGCCGGAGCCCCGAAGCGGCTTTGAAGGAAGCCGTATATCGTATATAAGGTGAATCGTTAACTTACCGTAGCTGGGCCGAAAAGATGGTCAGCTCCCGCCGTGGCGGAGGGTGGAGTCTTCTGAGGTTCTTCTAGGACCTAGAGTAGGCCCTAATTCCCTTTTTTACGGTGTAGGTTCCCTTATAAGCCCTTTAAACCAAAGAGGGCACCCTTGTTCTTTCCAGGTTACTCTTGGGTCTAGTCTTACAGTCTAACTCGAAGCCCTCGGCTGGTTAAACCTTATTAAGGCCTCATTAAGGCCATGTTAAGCCCTTATGAAAGCCTGACTTTGGTCCTTATACTACCTCATTAAGGCCTTTTTAAGGCCATGTTAAGCCCTTGTTTTAAAGCGTTATTAATGCATGATAAAGGCCATACAAAGCCTCTAGCATTGAAGTTTTGAGTGTGGGTCTTGAGCATCTGAGTCTTAACGGACGGATAGCTTGTGTTGGGGAGGTCCAAGGACCTCTTCCATGCAATCAACGCAGTCCTGTTTCTAGGAACCCGTTTGTAGCAAACAGTTGTGCATGCACCGACACCGGGACACACGCCGGCATATCTGGCATGGCGCTCATGCTCGCATTCTTCCATGAATTGCATAGGGCACGTACAGACCTTAAACCTTAGTGAGCCAATCTCTGAGCAGGATGATATTACCTAAAGAGCTTAACCCTAAACACCAAAACCTTGCACCCAAACCTGAGTCATTCAATCTGTGGGCAGGATGATCCTTTCGATGTGCAGTTGATCAAACAGCAGCTCTTCGACGCTCAGCGCGATGCGGCCGTCGTCTGCACCACCCCAGCCGTCCGCCCTGCCTCGTTTCCGGGTTAGGGTTTCAAGATCAAGTAAGAACCGGGTTAGGGTTTTAAGATTAAGTAAGCACCGTTTTAGAGTTTTCAAGATGAAGTAAGCAGGGCAGGTAATGACAAGGGCGACGAGGGATTGATGCCGGACATGTACGTAGTGATGTGCACTCGACACTGTAAGCTATGTGCTGACTTGATTGAGCTTCACAAGGGTTCCAAAGGTGTTGACTTTGGTGAAGAACGTTTACAGCACGATCTCTGTTTGGGGTTACGGAGCTTTGATGGCAATCTCAGCTGCTTCCGCTTTCTAGTGCACGATGCCAGGCCATCAAGTCCATGTTCTTGCGTCATCTTGAGCTGCTGCAGCTGAACCACCTGCACATGAACACCCAGAAGAAGTACAAAGCTGAAATGCACAAGGCGTCGCAGTTGTGGTTTAGGGTTTAGGGCTAGGCTGCACACTTGTAGTATTTCCGGGCCTATGTAGCCCCACTCTAGATATTACGACTGTATAGCTCTTAAGGCCCGGTTCGAGTTGTTGAGGGCCCAATGAAGCTGTCCACAGAAATGTTCAGTTCAGTTTTGAAATTCCTCGCTTCCCTTGCTGACGATCAGGGCTAAGGGTTTCGGGTCTAGGGCCTCAGCCCTAAGCCCTAAACCCCAAGCTCAAAACCCTAAACGTTCGTCTTTGATCCTAGTTTTGACACCCCACCTCCGAAGCAGCATGCTGCAGAGTTTAGGGTGTGCCTTGGAAAGCTATGTAGCAACCTACATCTTTATGGGACTATGATTGACGACTCAGTGAAGGGATCCTTCTGAGAAACGAGGTTCATTGAAGCGAAGTAGTGATACTGCTGACGCCAGGAATAATGGCAACCAAAAAACTCCAACCCCCCCAAAACCCTGGCCCTCAGCCCTAAACCCTAAACCCTGAAGCCCCAACCTTACTTAAAGGATCATGGGACTTAGTAACTAGGGTTATAATTACGGTAACTATACTTATAACCCCAATTAAGGTAACTTACTAAGTCCCATGATCCTTTAAGTAGAGCTTAAACCGCGGATTGTCAGGCCAAAGATTCCGTGTCCCAGACGCGACTGAAGAAGCGAATGCAGGATGTGAACAAGGACGGCCTGTGGTTTAGGGTTGTGGGCTTTATGATATCTTTAGGGTTTAGGGTATGGGGGGATATCCAGAAACCTACTATATAGTCTGCTAGTCCAGAGGTGAACAGCTGATGGCCTTCGACAAAGCACACCCCATCCAAAGGCAGTCAAGTAGAAACGGATAGCATACGCAACGCTTGCGCCCTAGACCCTACACGAGCCTTAAACCGTATAAACCCTAAACAGTCCCGGACCCTAAACCTTAAAGCCGTATAAACCCTCAACCCTAAACACCACCTGGATCAGATCATGTCGGTTTTTGAGTGGCTTAGTTTGATGTCTTTCTGCATTGCCATGCTTGTCTGAACCCGTTTTTACTTTCAGGTTTCTGGGTTCCGGTTATCAAATAAGAAGCCTAAAAAAGTATATACCTTTTCCCAGTGGGTTACTGAACGGCCTAGATAATCAGAATGGGGTTTGGGGATATATTATACTATAATTACAGTAGGGAGTCCCCAAAACCCCTCGGGTTAAAGGTTTTGGGTTTAGGGCTCGTCTAATTATTAAGAACCCTACCCTAGCGATCAAGACAGCTGCACCCAGCATCACTTGAATTTGTCGGAGTGGCAACTGTGTGGCAGGAGGTTCATGGGTAGTTATAAGTAGGGTAACCCTAATAATTAAGACCCGTATTGGGGGACTGATAAACCCACTTATAACTACCCATGAACCTTCAAGTAGTCACAACGAGTCCAGTTCAGCCAATCGTTTCCTGCAGGAGGTGGAGGGCAACAGGGTCATGGCGGGGTTCATCGGCGACGTCTTGGCTGCTCGACCTGATGAGCGGCTGAAAACAATCACTTAGAAGCTGCCCCCAGCCTGTAATAGTGGTCTAATAGGAATATAATAGGGCCCTAATATAATCCTTACAGTCACTACTACAGGGTGGGGGCAGCTTCTAAACAATCACCCACATCCTGCCGTCAGCCCCCCGAACCCTGAAGCCTAAACACCAAGCCCCAAAACCCGGACGCCTAAATCCTAAACCCTAAATCCTAGGACCCCGAAGCCGAAATCCTGGTTGGATCTGCGTGTATCCGTCTGCAGCCTATATGTACCCCTAAGGGCCCCCCTAGAACCATCCTAAAAGGCCTAACTAAGGGGCCATATTCGGGGCCGAGGGATTTAATTTCAGTTGCCATAATAAAGAAACCCTGTTATTCATTAGAGATCTGTATTATGGTAGCTTAAATTACCTTCCTTGGCAAGAACTTTTCCTTCTAACCTTGGAAGTCTGCAGCCTGACAGAGCCTTGGCGATCCGGAGCTTGAAATGTCTTCGGTTTGACGGGCCTGTTTGGCAATATCTCTTCTTGAGGAGTTGGGCAATACCTCTTCTTGAGGAGTCAGCAGCTCGGGGGAAAGATATATGTGTGAGTATATATATGTATATACACGGCATTCTAAATATACGTATGTACAAATAAACATATATGATCTGTGTGTAGAGCGCATACGATATGTGCGATGCTACTTTGTATTTATAGATAGTCTATCTCCTGCTGTTTCTGCTGTGGCTTACTTCGCCTTTTCCTCCTGTCTTTCTCTCCCGTCTGCGTTCAGCTACCTGTCGAATCTAGGAAGACGACTGTTGGCAGCAGAGGTGTTGTCCTCACTACTTGAAGGATTATGGGCAATTAAGATACTTATAGCCTCACTTACTAGGTCCCATGATCCTCCAACTAGCATCTCGGGCGGGTCTCTCTGCCAAAGACTGTCTGCCAAAGAGTCTTCGCTGGTCACTGGCCTTCGCTGTCGATGTATTGACAGCCGCCTCCTGCTCTCCATGTATAGCCGAAAGCTGGATTGAACACCCAAATCCCCACCAGGTTCCAACTTGCAACATGTGATCGTCAGGCGATGCTGCGCCAGAACAGCTGCGCCCTTATCGATGAGGCAAGGCCTGGGCAAGTAGTTTCGCATTTCTGCCCACGAGCCCTCGATTCCCTTGACTAAATAGCACTTACCCAACAGGCTCCCTAGACCATAAACCCTGAAACCCAACCTCCAAAGCCCTGAGCGAAAAACCCAAAGCCCTCAACCTGCAATCTGAACCTTTGAGGTGCAATTTCGGTAGTTTCGTGCATCAGGTTTGCTTCATGTACAGCGATCGTATTCAGACTTGTGGCAGCACTTCGTCACCAGAGGCCTCAAAAACTGTCTGAAGAGGAGAGGAGTATTTTCCGGAACTTGGCTAGCACAATCAAATATGTGTGTGAGCGTGTGTCGCTGTGTGTGTGTGTGTGAGAGATCTTGTTGAACACTTTGCTTGTTGACCTGGTCCTACCTCTGCTCGTTTGCCTCTTGGTCACTGTCATCGTCTTCGTCGGCATCAAAGCATCGATCATCGCATTCATCACCATCATGACGATGCTGCTGCCGATGATGATGATGGAGATGAAGATGACGAAGGTGATGGTGAGGAGGATGATGGTGATGAGAAGGGGCATCAGGATGAGGATGAGGAGTGGAAACATGATAACCGTGGTCATGGTTGCAGTGACAACAGTGACAGGACTGTCTGGAAGAAGAAATGATGATGGTGATGGTGATGACGGTGATGACATGACAGAGAGTGTTTTTTTATCGCTGTCGTCGTCGTGGTTGTAGTTGTCTCTTGCTGTCGTTGCCACAGTTGTCGTTGTCACTGTTGTCGCCACGGATGAATGTTGTTATTATTGTTGTTGCTGCGGTGATTTTGTCCGGTTTTTGGGCCTGCTGTTGTTGGACGCAGGTGGACTTGGTCCTGCACCCGTTGAAGTCCGAGCTCAACTTCCCTATTGGCAACTTCGAGATGCCCCTTGTCTTCAGCTCGGGTAAAGAATATTAATAATTAACAACTGATTACCCACACTATTTTGGGGGCTCCTCATTGTAATTATAATATAATGGCCCCAAAACCCTATTCTAACTATTCAAGCCCCTAGATTAGGTTGCTGAACAGAGCTGGCTGTACGAAGCCTGGGGCTCTGCTGTGGCTCGGCGGACCCACCCTAAACTAGATGCAAGCGTCTCGGATGCTCATTGCTGCACATCCCGAGCCCTATACGCCCGCGCTGCATCTCCCATATCTCAGGAGCCAAAAAACTAGAACCTAGCCCCCACACCAAGCCAAGAGCTCTGAAACATGGCAGAACCCTTCTTTGAGGTACGATCTTGGCTGCGAGCGTTGGAACTTGGCAGTTCATCTTCTGGATGCCCTCTTCCTCAATGACGAGGGCCACGCTGCAGCAGGCCAGTTGCTGCGTGCATGTTGATATAGGGTTGTGGTTTTAAAAGGCTTCCGACTGATCTTAAAAGGTCATGGGTAAATCCTGCTGATACTTTAAAATTACTTCAAACTTCAAACACTTTATCGGTAGGTGCAAGACCTTAGCTGGGAAAGTGGGGGTAGGCCAACGGCTATTTCAGCTCTTCCGGCGCGATGATTCAATTTCAGTGTAGCCGATGTCAAGACCCGTGCGCCTTGGTCTCCAAGACCCTCGCATCTATGCCGTGCCGCTAGAGGGCTTTTCGACGCCGTGAGAAGTTTCGACGATTTTCACGAGATTGTGAGATCATCAAGACACTGACTGCAAGTAAGTATGAGCCATAATTATCAAGGTATTTATGGTTTCTGTCTCGAGGCCTTGCCCCAAGCCGGAAACCTTCTGGAATCACAGTACCTGAAACCCTACTAGATCCCTCTAGAAATCCCCAGGCCCTTTAAGTAACCCTCAGCCCTAACCTAACCCTCCCCCAGAAACGCAGCACCCTAAGGCCTTAGCAAGGATGCCGGATGCCCTTTAGAGAGTCCGAGCCCTAAACCTTAAATCCTAGCCCTAAGCCCTAAACCCTACTTAAAGATCATGGGACTTAGTTACTAGGGTTGTAAGTAGGGTAACTATACTTATGACCCCAATTAAGGTACTTAGAACCTTACTTACTAAGTCCCATGATCCTCCAAGTATGCCCTTTTATAGAGTCCGAAGCAGGCACCTTCTACCCGGAGATTCGGAACTGCATCGGCAAGGCTCGCGTTCCAAAGCTTGGGGGTGGAACCCTTCAAAGGATTTAAGGGTTTAGGGTTTATGGTTTAGGGTTTAGGGTTCTGTTGTAAATTATAACGGAATTCAGGGTTTTTATGAAACCTTTTAGGGGACCTTGAGGGTTCTAAAGAGGGGTTTAGGGGTTGAAAGCTTCTAGAGTCTAGGTTATGTGCTTCGTTGGTTTGCAAGAGTGTATTATAAGAGTCTAGGACAAAGACGTTTTCCCAAGCCCTCAACTCCAAAGAACAGGGGCCTTGAACTCAGCTAGGTATCGATTTTGGATGATGGTTAACTTCCCTTATTGCTTTATTATATAGAGCCCTTTTTATGAACGGTATTGTGGAGACTGTTGAGATCGACACCTTGGCAGGTCTCAATGTGATATGATGGCGTACGCGCAGATGTCGAAACCCTAAGCCCTAAACCTCAGAACCCTCAACTTTGGAGCCTAGCCCCAGACCCTAAACCTAAATGCCTGATGTTCGGCAGGCCGGTGATGCGGCAGCCGCACGCATCTCCCAGCTGGAGGAAGAGATTCCGAATATCGTCAGAGAAGGCATTGGGCGGGGTTCAGGCATTTAGGGTTTAGGAGTTTTAGAGTTTGGGCTTAGGGTTTAGGTTCAAGCAAGGTTAGAGAGTATCGAAGACTTTTTGTCCAATCCAGACCGTTGCTTTTGGATCCCACTTCCCAGCTGAAGGCTTTCAGGCCAACAGGGCGGTACGATTGATGATATAAATCCTGCATTACCCATAATAAGGAGTATACCATAATTCCCATAGTTAAGGGCCTTTAAGGTAATGCAGGATTTTTATCATCAACAGTAGAAATAGGACTATGATCCTGCATACACTGTTGCCCTAAAGCATATATGCGCACCTACAGGTACCTAGAGGCTCCATAGTAGTTCCTCTTCGTGCGGGTACATTTTTAGGATCCTACAAGGTAATCCCAGAAAGGAACCGAAATGGAGCCTCCTATGGGTATAAGCATGCCCATTCACAAAATTGCGTTTATGCACGATAACTGCATTGATGTACAATCCAGCAAGCCTTCCAGAAACCATTTCTCCATCCAGGCATGGTGCTCACAGCAGCCCCAAGGAATCCTATCAAGTCCCGCGCTCAAAACTCCAAACGCCCCAACATCTCATGCCAAGGAGTCCTGACTCGTCGAGACTTAGACTCTAGACTAGACTTCAAGCCGTAAGCCCTACCCCTTGGGTACTGCCCTCACTCAGTAACAGTTGGATAATATTCATAATCTAGATATATAAGGCCCTTAATAGTAGCCCTATTACAGTGTAGACTGTTACTATATGGGGGCCGTACCCAGCCTACGCCTTATGTTGCCTTCGATCCGGAGGTTTGAGGCCCTCATGCAAGCGCTAGGCCAGAGATCATAGTTTCTTTCTTCCTAAACCCTGGTTTAACCTAAGTCCTAAACCCTAAACTCCGAAACCCAAATCAAAACTCGGTAGGGCCCTGAAGCCTAAATCCAGCAAACCTCATGCACCCTCAAGTGAAAGAGGCTACGACCACCCTAAACCCTCAACCGAAAGAGGCTACGACGCCCTGACTCTCCAAAAGCAGCCGCACCTGGTGCTCTTGAGCCGGCCCTGGTATGATGAGAAGCTACGCAGGCGAGCGATGATAGGGTTGCAGGGTCCGAGGGAAGGAACTGCGTACACACAGGCATATGTCCAATACACAGGCATATGTCCAATATATATATATATATATATGTATATATATATGTGTATACAAAGAGAGAGAGAGAGAGAGAGAGAGAGAGAGAGAGAGAGAGAGGGAGGGAGAGAGAGAGAGAGAGAGAGAGAGAGAGAGAGAGAGAGAGAGAGAGAGAGGGAGGGAGGGAGGGAGGGAGAGAGAGAGAGAGAGATGGGTTTACATTAGGGCCCTCCAAAAGGTTGCATCATGCCAGGTTGAGGTATTAAACGGTTTTGAATGGTTAGCTGCAGTAGTTATATATGACTGTATTGCTAGTGCACTATGCCCCAATACTGTACTCTCTTCTGGCATAAGTGTCCCATTATAAAGACCGCAACAGTTGAAGCACATTTTGCCTCAATACCCTCTTCCCACCACAAGTTTCCCACTATGCAAGCCGAAAGCAGGTTCCTAAACTCTGCACCTTCACACCTACTCGGCAGGCCGCTTGCCGAGTGGCTGGCCTGTTGGATTGTGACGCGACCCGAGGACAGGGTTGCTCCTTGCGGGAAATTTCGGTGTCTGAAGACCTCGAAGCGCAAAGTGTTGACATAGAAGCTTATCTAGTTACACATATAATCATGTAATTCCTTAGAGATCCTTGTTTCGATAATTTTACTATGACGGAGGCCAAAACCCCGTTCGAATAACGAGGTTCCTACATTATGGGTTGTAGGCTGGCAGCCCACCTTCACTTGAAGCCGTACCTGGGTTACGTACAGCTGCAGGTACTTAAAACCCAGAGCTAGACATTTATAACTAGTTATTCGCTAAGTCCTGCGTCCCTAAACCCTACGAGCCTTAAACCCTCACCTCCTACTCCTGATCCTTCGAGTAAGGCAAGGAAGAGTGTGGTTCAGCTGAACCCCAAACCCATAAACCCTAAACCCCTAAATCCATGAACTGACAATACATGACCCCTAAACCCCTAAACCCTCAATCCTGAACCCCCTAGACCCGTAAACCCTGAACCCGTAAACCCTCAACCCTACACCCTTTGGAGGCCGAGAAGTTCAGACAGGCCGTGGAGTTCAAGGACGTTTGTGACTTCTTGCCCCTTGGGAGGCGATTTAGGTGGCTCTGTAAGGCCGACCACATGAGGTACTATGGCTTTACGGCTTTTCAGGTTGAACCCTAAATCCTAAACCCTCAAACCCTTGACCCCTAAACCTTTGAACCATAAAACCTAAACCCTTGAACCCTAAATTGGGGTCGGTTAGGGTTTTCGTTGCAGGGCTTGGCGTGAGGTTGTTGTATTGGAATTTAGGGCTTCGACTTTGAGCTGTAGACTTTTAGGGCTAAGTTGCCCAGAGGCCCCAAAGTAGTGCCTTTTTTGGGATTACCTTATAGGATTCTATATATGAATCCCGAAAAGGAATTGCTTTGGGGCCTCTGGGTAAGGGATTCGGTTTAGTTTAGGGTTTAGGTTTCAGGGTCTCGGCTTCCGTAGGTTTCGTAGTACTGGCTTTCTTGCATGGCCATCACAGCTCAGCGCTTCAAGGCCGAGGGTTTTCACTGTTTGAAGCTATTGCTATGCGTATCCGTATGACTATAGTTGTTTGATGTCCACCCGCGCTTGTTTTAAGCTACCATAACCTACTTTCCGTAGCAGGCTCATGCGGAATTTTGAGGGACCTGCCCATGAGGACGTGTCTTTGAACACCTCCAGGGTTTCAGGTTTGGGCTGTTGGGGCTCAGTTGGACTACCGTAAACCTCCTCCCCCCCGAGCACTTGAACAAAACGAGCCCTTTACATCCTAAGCTCTCAGACCTTCTACATCCCAAAGCTTCGAAACCTTATACACCCGAAGCTCCACACACCCTCAAAACGGAGTTAGAGACCCCAAACCCAAAACCCTTCCAAATCAAAAAGCCCAAGACCCTCAAACCTTCCAAATCCTAAACCGAAAACCCTAAAACCCTAAGCCCTTAAACCCTAAACCCTAAATCCTCTAAGCCCTTAGCCCTAAATTCCCCAAACCCTAAATTCTGTAACCCTTAACCCTACATTCCCTAAACCCTAAACCCTCATAGTAACCCGTATAGTAACCCTGACAGTAATCCTTGCAGATGCCTTTAAGGAGCCCTAAATCCCCTGAGCCCTAAACAGCCGAGGTCCATGGACCTTGCGGAGCTCCTGAAGTCCAGCTGCAAGGCGAGAGTCGAAGTCAAGGCCGCGGGGCTTTAGGATTTTAGGATCATTAGGCTTCTAGGATTTTCAAAAAAGGACTTTAGGATAGGGGCTTTAGGGTTTTAGGATTTTTGTAGGGGCTTTAGGGTTTAGGGTTTTTTGGGCATGAAGCTTTTAGGATTAAAAAAAACAGGCTTTAGGATAGAGGGTTCAGGATTTTTGTGGGGGAGTTCGGAGTTTAAAAACGGGCTTTAAGTAGAGGGTTTCGGATTTTATGGGGGATTAGGATTTTATAGGGCTTTAGGATAGAGGGTTTAGGATTTTATGGGGGGGCTTAGGATTTCATAGGGCTTTAGGGTTGCGGGTTTGCGATTTTATGGGAGGATTAGGATTTTAGAGGGCTTTAGGGCTGAGGGTTTAAGATTTTATGGGGGGCTTAGGGTTGTGGGTTTCGGATTTGTGGGGTTTAGGGTTCATGGGGCTTAGGGTTTCAGGGTTTAGGACTTAGGCTTGAGGGATCCTGTTAGCATGGCGGTGTAGCCAGGGATTTGGGGGTTTCTTACCTTTGGTTGGTAGGGAATGGAAGAATGGTAGTAATAGTAGCTATAATTGCACCCCATTCCTCCATTCCCTACTAACGAAAATTAAGTTATAGGAGTATTAAGCCCCCTATATGATAGTACCCTTATAGTAACCCTTACAGATTCCTCCATTCCCTACTAACCAAAGGTAAGGTTGGGGTCGGAGGATGGCAAAGCGTCGACCGATCTGAAGCACGTGCCTGCAAGACGAAAGCCCAAACGCAACACCCTACTTGGAGGATCATGGGACTTAGTAAGTAAGGTGATAAGTACGTTATTGGGGTTATAAGTATAGTTTCCCTATAGCTATAACCCTAGTAACTAAGTCCCATGATCCTTTACGTAGCGCCATTTCGAAATACCTTGAATCGTCATCCCCCGGGCCCTCATTAAACGTTTAACGCTCAACCCCCAAAGTGGTAACTTCCTCGAAGGCAGACGGCATCCTGGGCAAGCTCCTCACGTTGGGACGCGAGTGACTGGGGCCTTCATTAGTTCATTATCAACGGCAGTCCTCTAAATTGGGTTCACTTTCTGGGGTCTTGTTCATTTTTGAGTGCCGTTTTATTTGAGGGACCCAAAAGGGTCTTGCCAATATTGTTGCTCAGGGCTCCTTGTTAGTTACATAGAACATGCCCTCAGCAATGTTCCTATATTAAAGCTCTCCCCGGTTAGCTGAGATTGACAGTCTCTGCATTACTTGGAGGATCATGGGACTTAGTAAGTAAGGTTATAAGTACCTTAATTGGGGTTATAAGTATAGTTACCCTAATTATAACCCTAGTTACTAAGTCCCATGATCCTTTAAGTAGACCCTAAAACCCCTCTTCTCATAGACCCCCTAAAGATCCCTTTATATAGGAGCCCCAATTATAACCTTACTTACCAAGTCCCATGATCCTTTAAGTAGGCCCTGCAGTCAGCTGCTTCCATGCAACCCGCAAGCCCCCGCAACCCGAACCTCCCTTGCACGGTTTAGCGGAGCTCACGGACCGTTCTGATTTTTTCTTCCCGTGTTTTGAAGTAGGACTCTTTTCTATGCATCGGAAACAGGCAACATAACAGAGAGAGCGAGCGAGAGAGAGAGAGAGAGAGAGCGAGAGAGAGAGAGAGAGAGAGAGAGGGAGGGAGGAAGAGAAGACCCGAAGCAAAGCAAGGAGTAGAGTTCCTGCTACATTTGTAGCATCGTGCCATCTCAACAAGCCCGTGCTCTGATTAGGAAGGCGCTCTACTAGGTGTGTCTCCCACGTGGGAGATTCCGAAAATTAGGGGCACCTTATTATGATCGGGATCCTACTATTTAGGATACTATACTGGGGTCCCCTATTTTCAGAAGCCCACATAAACCCTTGCAATGCCCTCTAAAGGAACCCTAATAGTACCGTTATAGTAACCCTTCAAAGGAGCCCTTATAGTACCCTATTGTCGGAAACTTGCAGGTGGCTGTTCAGCCTGGTGCCGCATGTCATTTCGAAGATCGATCGTGTGCAGCCGCTGGGACGGCAAGGCTGAGAAGTCGGGACCCAACCTTTTTAGCGTTGAGGTTTTTCCGAAAGTTAGGGGTTCCTTTAAAGGGATCTATAAGGGTTCCTTAAAGGGATGTGTAGGGTTTCTAAAAAGGGTTTCGGGTTTGGGGGGTTTCCGAAAATTAGGGGTACCTTAGTTTCGGGTCCATTTGATAAGGATCCTAGTATTTAGTGTACTATATTAGGGAGTGTCTTGTATAGGGTTTGGGACTAGATTGTAAGTTTAGGGTTCACGGCTTAGTAGTATCGTTGCAAGAAAGACTATGAGGGATGTTGTTACAATTGTCCAGGGATCAGGATTCAAGGTTGCAGCATGTGGGGCGAGGTAGCGTCCTTCAGTTGATGATATAAATCCTGCATGACCTTAAGGACCCTAAACTATGGGAATTATGGTATATTCCTTATTATGGGTTATGCAGGATTTATGTCATCAACCATTGCTCTCTACGTACTCCGTAACCAGATCTGTGACGTGATCTAGAAAATAGGTCGCACGAAGGGGTCTTCTTACGGTTGTATGGGTCAGCAGACAAGGGTTGTCATGGTTCCAATCTCAGTGCCTCGGTAAGCGGGCATGCCAGCAACAGATACTTGAGGTTCGTGGGCAGTTAGGGACTTATACCCACAGTTAGAACTACCCATGAACATCCAAGTAGGCCCTAAACCCTATACCCGTATAGATTCCCTATAGATCCCCGTAAAGGGACCCTTAAAGGAACCCTTACAACTACCAACCCTCCTTCGGTTTTTGTCAGGTCTGCGACGGAAGAGTTTCCCCAAGAAGCGAGGCGATAGGTAAATTTCATACAGTCCCAGCAACTTTGCATTGCAGGCAAAACACTCCGATACAACTTCCCAGACCGCAGGGCGGATCCAAAAAGTAGATCCCTTAATGGGGGTTCCAAAAAAGTACCCTTAGTAGTATAGGGCCCCAAATTGGGGGATCTACTTTCCAGATCCTCCCGGGGGTCTGGGTTCAAGGACCCAAGGATGCAACCCGTTGAGTAGGTCGCTATATCTGCAGCTGACCATCTCCCTGACCCTGAGCCGTGTTAAGCCTCTTTCGGCACTTTCCAAAACCCTTCACCGAGCCGGGCTGCCGGCCCCTACCGATAGCAGGCGACACAAGGATCCTCAAGCTATGCAGCATTTCACCCGCGTGAAGCAGACGGCTAAAGCCCTAAATCCCATAAACCCCTGAATTCCTTAGCTTTTCGGCTATCGCTCCGACGCCGCTCCCGCGGATCAGAGTGAATGCGGCGTTCAACCAGGTGCTCACCGGGCTCGGAGTTTCGTCTCCAAGCCTCATCAACTACACCCAGGTCTGCACGTTAGCGTGGCACAATTACAACATTGCCATGCTGGCGGACACTCCAGAATTCAAAGTGCAATGGGTGAGTCCTGTTGCGAAGCGTGTGTACGCGGGACCTCCAGGATCCGCTGTGATCGATTACATGGAACACGCTTAGGAGATAGCTGCTGCTAGTGTGATTTATGTGGAATTGCCGGATGGCAGCACTCAGATGCCGCTGCCATTCGCTACCTATCAAAGTGTCCGTTGATGCTTCGAGAACACGAGCTAAGGCCCAAGCTCCGAAATCCGCAAGCCAGGCCCCAGACCTTGATTCCCGGAACCCTAAAACCTTAAAGCCCTGAACGACCCTGCACCCCAAAGACCCGAAAGCTGAAAAACCCTAAAGCCCTAGAAGACCCCGAGGTATGGCCTCCTCACCGAGCAAGAGTTGCAGCAACCGGAGAACCAGAAGGCGTCCCATCCTGTTTAGGGCTTATGGATTGAGTTGTCGGTACCTTTTTTTTGGGAGTGAGCGGGTTCTGAGTTGGTTATGTTTCTGGGTAAGGGAGTGTTGGGCTTTGAGCTGAAAGGCGTAGGGTGACGAATGTGGCTCAAAGGTTTCGGCACGGTTTGTCGTCGCCATCTTCAGCGTAACTACCCACAATAAGCGGCCCACAATCAAGGCTCGGCAGAGTGACATTGATAGCCATGATCAATACGAGAAGCAAGGGCGGAAGCTATCATAAGCGAACATGTTGGCCGTGGGCTTGATACAAGTGCTGTGAGAGAAGAGAACCCTGATCAAGGAGATAGTCTCGCTTCAATACATTTAGGGTTTGCAGGCTAGGTTTCAGCGATGAGAGACAGGGTCTTGGTAATCAGGGTTTGGCCTGGATAGAGTGGAGAAAAGGAATGGACCAAGATCAACAGCGCTGCGAAAGGTTGCTAAGCACGATCAACCGCAAGTTCCGGAGGCAGCAGAACCAACGGAACCAGCAAGCAAAGCATGAAGATGCAAAACCGCAGAAGGTTTTAAAGCCCTGCGAGATCTTGGATGAGAGGCTCCCTCCAGCCGCCGGCTGTTGGCGGTGCCCTTCGTTGCGAAGGCTTGCATTTGCTGGATTGTACGGATTTTGAGTTTCAGGAGTTGCAGTCTCGGGCATCAGTGCCCAAACTTCGGGGCATTAGGGTTGTTCGTCGGTTGTTCTCATTGGGCAGAGAAGTATGTCGAGCAGCTGTAAAGTTCACGATACATAGCTAGAGCGATAAAGCCTAAAGCTTGCAGTCGTCGTCGGCATCTGGGAAATTTTGGTCATGGTTTTCGTTGTCGTTGTCGCCCTCATCTTGTCCGCAACATCATCATCGTGTTCAGAGGGTCCTCATCGTCATGGGGGACCTCGAGGGCCAAGCCTTTACCAACCTAATCTAGGTAGGGCTTTGGGACATTTAATTTAATATTTGCTCTTATTGGGTTAAAGAAGATCTTACCTACTAATATTTTCCAAAGGCTTTAGAAGCACTTCCTAGTAATAAGTAATTCCATCATATTTTTCAGCTTCAACATCTCCACCTACAAGCACTTACAAAAGCCTGGGGGCGAAGGTTCGACGTTGAACTTAGGGCTCAGGGTTTCGGAACCCTGACTGATACATTCGATCGCCAGACCGTTTGATGGTGTTCAAAGCTATGAAGTCCTGACCTACGCCCCCGGCTCCACATTGTGCCCTAGCCTGTGACAACTAACACCTAAAATCCTCGTCTCCCGAAGCCAACTAAGATCCTACAAAGTTGGATATTGCATGGACGCCGGAATACGATACCCCCAATTGTCTGAAACTGGTGAGGACAAGCCCAGCCCCGCCGCGGAGTTTGCGCAGCCGGATGTGTGGCGCGGCAAGTCAACAAGGTTTGTTTGTTTCGGAGGGGGAGGGAGAGCGGGGGGGGGAGGTTTGGTTGCTTTTGGTTCGGCAGCCGGTTGGAGAAGGACCATTGTTGCGATGCACTCATGCAGCCGCAAACCATAAATCCATCTAAGCGCGTCCTATATCCCTGTTACACAAGCCCAAAGGGTCCAAAGTACTTAAAAAAGCAGGATGTAGGGATTCGATGTAGGTACTAAGACGAAGGATCCTTAAGGGGCAGATTTTACTTGGAGGGTCGGGGGATTTAGTAAGTAGGTAGTAAGTAGCCTTATAAGCACCCTAAAACGGACCCTGATTGGGGTTATGGTACTTATAAGTCCCTAAAATAACCAGTTACTAAGTCCCCCGACCCTCCAAGTACCGAAGCGCCCCAAGGCTGATCGGCTTCACCGTGCCGGGATCCCCAGCCTGTGCCCAGAGACTCCAATATCCCTTAATTAAGGAATATACCTTAAATCATATTAAGGATCCTACTATAATTTAAGGTATATTCCTTAATTAAGGGATATTGGAGTCTCTGGGTGGGGGTGTCAGTCAGTAGCAAGCGGCGGGTTTTTGCCATACGATAGGGTTCCTTTCATAAGGGTACTATAAGGGTTCCTTGAAGGGATCTAGAGGGTGTAGGGTATAAGGGCTTAAATAATTGCCTACACTATTTTGGGCGCTCCTTATTATGATATGCCCTGAAACTCCATTCTAATTATCAAGGCCTACAGTATTCCAAAGCCTGAAAGCCAAGCCCCTAATCCCCCAAACCCGAACCCTAACCTCGAAGAATCCTCGAGGGCGTCGCTTTCGCTGCCGAGACTGCTGAATTAGTGTTGATGATGTAAATCCTGCATTACCTTAAGGACTCTAGACTATGGTAATTATGGTATATTCCATATTATGGGTAATGCAGGATTTATGTCATGAACCGTAGGATGCCCAGCAGTACCCTTATTCCCTTTTTTGTAGTCCTAGGTTCCCTATACGGTGACCCAATATCAAAAATGGAGCCCTTCTTATTCCTAGGTTACTGGGCATCCGAGTGAAGGGATCCAGGGCTGTAGTACAGGGGCCCACAACTACTAATACTATTCTGGGGGTTCCTTATTGTTATTGTATTATCATGGGCACCAAAACCCTGATCCAATGAATAAGGCCCCTGTAGTAGTAGGACCACAAATGTCTGGGGTGTATCAGTACTCATAGCTGCTATAGTAGCTATGGTTACCACTACCATGTGGTACCCTAAACCCCCTAAACTTCTAAGCTTATAACTCTACCCAGAGGCCCCATAGTAGTTCCTTTTCGGGATTACCCTATAGGATTCTATATATGAACCCCAAAAGGGAACCACTTTGGGGCCTTTGGGTAAACCTTACTTCGTCCCCTGATCCTTTCTAAGCTTGGGTTTGCAATGAACGAGTGTACACAAGGATGTAGGGTTTGGGGTTTAGGGCCAGGTGTAGTATAGGGGTTTAATATAGGGGTTTAGGGTTTAGGGACTAGGGTTTAGGGTTTAGGGTTCGGGTTAGGTAAAGTTTTATAAGGGTAGGCTTGAGATTTTATAGTGGCGGTAAGGGCTTTTCAATTCAAGAGTACTTCTGTTTGCGGAGAACTGTAGGGTTTTGGAGTTTAGGCCTGGGACTATGCCAAGGAAGAAAGTTGATGAGCTACGATGATCATGAAGCTGCTGGCAGCACCGTAGGTTGGGCTTTCGAAGAGGCATCGCCGACTGCAGGAGGACACTGAAAGAGTTTGATCCTCAGCCGGCTGGTGGTAAGGAATTGGAACCACTTCCGTTTGCGAGTCGAGGCTGCGCCAGCTGCTTCGCGAGAAGGGGCTCGAGAGCAGAGGGCGCAAACCGAAGCTCCTGACAGCCTACTCAAAGGATCATGGGACTTAGTAACTATGGGTTATAATTAGGGAGGCTATACTTACTTCCCATATTAGGGGACGTAGAACCTTACTTACTAAGTCCCATGATCTTCCGTGTGTTCGGCTCCCTGAACCTGGTGCCGGTGCTGCTGCTTTCGGGCAAAAAAACCTGGTAGCACACCTGGTACAGAGTAGGCAACCTTTAACCTTTTTTGGGTAGTATAGTCCCTATATAATCCCTATATACCCAAAAACCCGACAAGTAGGCACACGACAGAAGGCCCAAAGAGTCGGAGTCAGAGATGAGACTGGAGGCATGGAGACAGAGGATGCATTAGCCGGAGTTGCTTAACTCCTTAGGGTTTTAGGGTTTAGGGTTTAGGGGTTTAGGTTTAGGGTTTAGGGGTTTAGGGTTTAGGGTTTTAGGGTTTAGGGTTTAGGGGTTTAGGGTTTAGGTCTCCTTTCGCCAACTGTTCTGGGGCAGAAGTTGCCCGCACGCCGCCCACGAGGAGGGTGTAGCCAACCAATGGCGCGCTTCCGAGTGAAAGGCTGAAGAATTCCGCTTGCATGTAGCCTTGACATTCCTCTGTAGACCCTGTGCAGTCTGAAACAGGACTGCGTTTTGCAATTGCTTCTAGTCAATGTTCACTTCTGTAGGAACGGACTAGCGCAGTCAATCAAAGCCCCAAGGCTTAAGCCGACCGACTGCGCATAGCATCAGTTCTGCTATAGTTATGCCCTTGTCGTATCACAGGACATTGAATGAGGGGTCGACACCGGGTTTCTACGCTTTCGACCCCTGTAAACCCTCAACCCTTTAGCCTGGTCTGAAACTTTAAGCTTCAACACTAAGCTTCATGAACCTCTTCGCAGGTCGGCTCCAGGTGAACCTGAACCCTCAAGCCTAAACCCTAAAGCCTACTTGGAGGATCATGGGTAGTTATAGTGTTATAAGTCCCCTAATATGGGTTATAAGTATAGCTGCCTTAATTATAACCCTAGTTACTATGTCCCATGATCCTTTAAGTAGCCCTCTTCACACTTCGACTGCAGCGCTGAAGGTTGGCCTACCGCTACGAAGGCCTCCGCCTGTCGGACACTGTCCAGATGCTGCACCACCTCCAGATGAAGTCTGGGAGGGTGCCTGGGATTCGCCTTTACAGTATTGATCGAAATACTGACAGACCCCTTGTTTGGGGTTTAAGCCGTAAGTCTGGAAGGGTGCCTCGGATTTTTTGTTATTGTGTTGATCGAGAGACGCATAATTAATGCGCCACAAGAACAGGAAGGACATATGTTTATACATACGTGTTACACACTTAAATTTATCTTGCGGCCCGAAGAAAAAGCTCGGGTTTGGGTGGGAGTTCAGGAGTACGTATGTACATAGTATTTGCGTACCTATATATATATATATATATATATATACACATAAAGGCACGCATACATACCCGTTGATTTATCCAACTATTTATGTGCTCATTTCAAAACAAAAGTACCTATATATCTATATGTGTATATACACTCTCTTCATGTTTCTTGTCTTCGAGTTATCTTTGCAGGGTTTCAGCTCCTCAGTTCAAGGCGTCGTGTGCCGGGCTCAAGGTTTGTATTTTCGAGATCCCTGATAGAACCCAGGTGCGGGGTCTAGGGGAATAAGCCCCTAAACCCTGAACCCCTTTACAAAAACCAGATTAAAGGAACCTCATTGGAGGGGACCTACAAGCGTTCGTGATGTTGTGTCTTGGGCTGGGAGTTTGGAAATTTTCATTTTCGTGATACGAAAACCTAAGCCCTGAACTCCAAACCGTAAACTCTGAACCCTAAGCCCCGGAACGCTATAAGTAGCCTTCAGCCGCGCTCAGCCAAAGCGAAGCGCGAAGCGACGAAACTCAAGCCCCCATAAGCATAGCAACAAACAGCACTTACACAGCAGGCCCTTTAAGCATCGGGAAAACAAGACATCAACCATGCAACCCCATCCACTCCAAAGCTAGATAGGGATATATATATATATATATATACCATGTGTAGAGTTTGGCAGGCTTGGGTGCACATGTATCATCTGCGATCGATATCATGCCTTTTGGTTCAAGCCTTGGCAGTTGAGCCAAAAAGGCAGGATTTGTTGCCCGCCCTCCCTCCCTCTTACTGAGACGATCCCCCGTGGGGCTATCCTCTCTCTTAGGGTGGGCAGCGAGAGTGTTCTCGACTGCATTCGGAAGGGATATCGAACCGTGTTGGTTCGGGGTGGGGCTTGCAACCCGGAGGTGACCCGGGTTTGCTAGCCCCATTCATCCGGATGTTTTACCAAAGCATTTCCCGTAGTAACGGGTTCTACAGACTGGGACGGCACTGGCGATGTGAAAAGAGTGGTGTGTGCAGTAGCCTCTCTGATTCGATTTGCGGATGTATATATATATATATATATATAGACCCAAGGCTCGAATCCCCAAGACCGTAGCCCCCAAACCTTTCCCCCCCCCCCCCCCCCACCCCGTAATTATGTGTAAGTGTTCTCCCTAACCCCTTAAGCCCTGAACCTAAACCCAAAACCCTAAAATCCTAAACCCTAGACTCCATAAGCCGTAAAACCCTAAAATCCTAAACCCTAAACCCTATAAGCCCTAAACCTTAAAACCCTCAAACCCGTGGATTTCACCCTGAGGAGTCAGGGCCCTGGAGCTCGCGTCCCACCTGCGTGCTCTTTGAGCGATGGAAGGCCGTCTCCCAGGGTTTAGGGGTTGGGGGGCTTTCGGGGGATTCAGGGGGGTTTAGGATGGTTTAGGGGGCGTAGGATTTAGGGAGTTTAGGGTTTAGGGGTTTAGGGCTTAGGGTTTTAGTAGGGTCCTCATGGCCCTTGATTCGGTCTCCCAGGGTTTAGGGTTTTAGGGTTTAGGGTTTAGGGGACTCTGATGGGGCTTCAGACGTTATGAAGGGCTTTTAGGGAAGTCTTGTGGGTTATACATACGTATATATATATATATATACATATATATATATGGAGATATAGAAGTAGATACAGATACAGATATAGATATAGATATAGATAGGTGTCGGATCAATCTAGGTACCGGGTCCCTTTAACAGACATTTTGGGTTTGACAGGTGTGTGTTCAGGGTCACTATAAGGGTTTATATTGGGTTTTTAGGGTTTGGTAACGTGTTCATGCGGGGTCTGAGTGAGGTTTGCATAAGAGTTCTAGGCTTCAGTTTGATTTTAAACTTATCTACAGTCTCCACTGTAGTTCCTATTTTAGGGTTACCGTAGAGGATCCTAAACATGAAACTGGTTAACCCAAAAATGGAACTACAATGGAGACTTTCTAGGGCCGGAACGATCAGATTCATAGCGCCCGCTGCACAAAGCCTAAACCCTAAAAGTGACAAAAGCCCAAATTCCAATACTTATCTACAGTCTCCATTGTAGTTCCTTTTTTGGTTTAACCAAAGATATACTAGTGATCCCATAAGGTAACCCCTAAAAAGGAACTACAATGGAGACCATAGGTAGGCCCTGAACTCCAAGCAGAGTCGAAGTACCAACGCGTCTCCCGGCGGGAGGATTTGGGTGGCAAGCGCTACGAGGAGAAGGGTGGAAAGTCGTCTGCTGGAGGCGCTAGGGTTCTGGATTCAGGGCAGTTCTTAGGGGTACTTAGAAATATTTGCGAATTTTTTGTTATCTAAGAAACAGCTAAAACTATAATTTTTGCTAGGGTTCTAAGTTCAGTATAGAGTTAATGGCCGAGAGTTCAGGGTTTCCGGCTTTGGGATGTAGGGTTTATAAGAGGCTCAGTCAGGTTCATGGTCTACTGGCAGACTGGGGCCTTTACAGCTCGAAGTTTACTCCCTTGGAACTCAACTTGCAACCTGCAAAGAGGCATATCGTAGACTACTACCCCGGAGAAGGGCATGTCCATTATTCAGAACTTCATAATGTTCATCTAGTTTTTATGTTTGAGGTCGAGCTCAAGAAGCCTGAACTCTAGAGTCCCAGAGTTGTCCTGAATCGGGTGGGGTACTGTAGGGGCCCGAATAACAAGATTAGCGTTTCGGGGGGGTATGTTATACTACAGTTATAATAAGGAACCTCGAAAACCCTATTCTACTTATTGAGGCCCCTACATTACCTTCTTTACGGTATTCTAGAACGACGAGGGTATCACGGCTTTGCTTTCCTCAAGAGATAGTCCTTTCCTGGAGCTAGTCTGGAGCTCTGAACCTACTTAGTGATAGCGTGAACTTTAAACTTGTGGGCCTTGTTTGTCAGCTCTTCTAGAAAATTCGAACTTTTTGGGGCCCGGTTGTTGAACAAGAGAGACTACCGCTCTGAAGACCCGAACCCAGAGATGCTGGTGATTTCTTGTCCCCAAGTACTTTCGGGGCGTGAAATTCTGTACCAAGTCTCTTTTGGGGCGCGCCTTATTATGATTATCGTACAATATACACCCAAACCCCCATTCTAATTATTAAGGCCCCTAGAGTAGTGAATCTTTATAGCCCGAAGCCACAAAGCCCTACATCCCTAAGCTCTGGCCTCCTCACCTTGAACCCAAGGCTATAAAACCGTGTGCGAGCCTGCATAGGGGTTTTCGCACCTTTTTTGAGCTTGCATGTGAACGTCAGGGTTTAGGGCTTATGTCCGCGTTTGGGTGTATGGTTGCCGCCTGAGGATTTAAGTAGCGAGTCGCGTTCGGTACTTGTAGGTGGTGCGTCGAGCTTTTCAGTGTCTTACTTCGCACAACATCAACGGGTTCTGTGTGGTTTGTACATGGCCTCATAGTCGTATTACAGAGGCCGGAATTGTTATCAATATTATCCCTAGGTTCCGTCTCAGAGTTATACCATGATGTACCCCAAAGCCCTGATCCAATTGTTATGTATTTTACATCAACGTATCTAAAATCATGACACAGCACCTTTATTTTCAGTACAGCACTTGGTTTCGATGTCGTACAAACAATTTAGGGTTCAAGCATTTGACCTTCAAGGGTATGCGGTTGGGTCAACACTGTTGAGGGTTTCAGGGTTTAGGGTTGGCTTCGATTTATTATTTCTGTGGCAGAGCCCTAGGGAAGCATATAGCCAAAACGTCATACTACACAACAAGAGAAGAGCTGTGAAATCCGTCGTATGTCAAAAGCCTGCAAAATCATCTCAGAAACGGATCTGTCAATGCGCCTCATGGTCCACAGGACCGAACATAAGTAGATACATGATGCATAGATTCAAGATAGTAGTCTGGTGTGAAGGAGAGTGTGTGGAAATTGCATGGTACTAGGAGCAACATACGAGGAAAAGACGAATACACCCAGGAGAGAAACAAGCAACAAATTCAGGAAGTGGTGGCAACCCTGAACCCTAGCCCCCTAAACCCTAAACCCCGAAACCCTACACCCCGAAACCCTAGCCCTAAACCCTCAAACCCTAAACCCCGAAACCATTCTAAACCCCTAAACCCTAAACCCCCTAAATCCTAAACCACCCTAAAAACCCCTAAACCCCCCTAAACCCCCGAAACCCCAAAACAACTTTGCTCGATGCCCCCGACCGCAGCAGGCCTTGAGCCGCTAACTTGGGAGGTGCACCTGGACGACGAGTGCCTGGGTTCTGACTTTAGGGGTTTAGGGTTTACTGTAGGCTTTAGGGGTTCAGGGGTTAGGGTTTAGGGGTTAAGGGGTTTGGGGGTGTAGGGCTTCAGGGTTTAGGGGTTTACGGGGTTAAGGATTATAGGGTTTTTATCAGGGAGACCCCTTGAAGGGTACCCTTCTTAACCCTACTCCTGGCTCTCTGATAAGGGACCTGACTGAGAGGGTCTATATCACCAACGGTCCCCCCATTCCTAACCCCTGCTGTACATTCGGATTGCATGGGGCTGCAGCTTTAGAGCTTTAGTCTACTATTGCTCTTAGGGTGAAGGATTTACATGGGAGTTCGGAGTTCAAGGTGTTCTGGTTTAGGGCGGGTTTTGCATGCATGTTCAGCTTGTTGTTCCTGGCACCTTCATTGAACGGGAATTGTAGATTTTCCTCCTGCCGTATGTTCTGCATCGAAATTGAGTCTCGTCCTTCGTATGCTCAACTGTGCAGATTTCCAACGGTCACACGATTGTCTTGCTGGCTCGTGAAGTCTGATTTCTAAAGCCTCAAACCCGAACCTAGAGCACCGGAACAGTCGAAAGTGCATACTCATCCTTGCTTGCTGTATGCCTTACACAAGCCCCAACCCCGAAGCTCGAAACCCATAACCCTAATCCCGAAAGCCTTAATTAATGCGCTGAGCTTTGGAACCTCGAGCCCCAAACCTTCTATAGCCACTATCAAAAAAGGTTGCACTAAGTATAACCAACCTTGTAAAGCCACTTCTAAAACCCGTTGCACGGAATATAAACCGCCTTGTGAAACCAGTACTTAAACCCGTTGCACTCAACATAAATGTCTAAAACAACCACACTGTCTAGCACTTATAAACCGCAGATCCCAGGTGGAAGAAGCTGCCCAACTCCATCACGGAAGCTTGGCAGAGAATTTTGCCGAAGGCCCTTTGGAGGATCACCTAGAGCTATTTACACAGTGATGTAATTTAGGGTTTGGCTCGTGCACGTTCCGGAAGATGTGGAACTGCTGGTGGCGACTTGAGGGCGTAGGGGTTTAGAGGTTAGGGTTTTAGGGTTTAGGGCTCTATGGTTTAGGGTTTTAGGGTTTAGGGCTCTATGGTTTAGGGTTTTAGGGTTTAGGGTTTTAGGGTTCAGGGTTTCTGAGGTTTGGTTCGTATAGGACTCCTTCAGCGTTGCTTCTCAGTCTTCATGGCCTTGGGCTTAGACTCGACCTGAAACCTTCAGCCCAAGCCTCAGCCGAAGCCCTGAAATCCTTTCAGCCCCAAGATCTATACTATAGGGCCTTAATCATTACCCATACTATTCTGGGGTGTTCCTTAGAATTATAGTATAATGAACCCCAAACCCAAAACCCTTTTCTAATTATAAAGGACTCTATATACTATTCTGGGGGTTCCTTATAATTTAATATATAATGAACCCCAAACCCAAAACCCTATTCTAATTTATGTAAGGCCTCTATATTAAGACCTGAAGCCTGGAAACCCAAGACTCTACAAGTTGAAGCTCTGAATTCCAGCACAGAAGCCTTTCAGTCTCTTTTCTTTCTCCCGAAGCCCTACGAGTCCTATTCGGGTGGTTGTCAAAATTAGGGTCCATTTTTGGGGTCCTTATTATGATACGGCACCTATATAATGTTTGGGTTGGCCCTGATTTTGACAAACCACCCAATTCTGAACCTCAGCTTCAACACCAAACCGTAAGAGCGCTAAACCCTCGAATCCCCGAGTTCATCTCAGGAAAAGCTTCGTGAGGCTGTGGCCTTGAAGCAGACCAAGATACGCTTCAAAGGCCGGCAAGTTGGGGTGTTAGGGGTTTAGGGTTTTGTAAGAGGACCGGACCTTATTCAAGGTCGTACGGTTGATGATATAAATCCTGCATTACCCATAACAAGGAAAATGCCATAATTCCCATAGTCTGGGGTCCTTAAGGTAATGCAGGATTTATATCATCAACAGTAGAAGTCAGCCAACAGGAAAACATGGCTGATAAAGTGGGGACTACAGTTTGCAGTCATAGAAGGTGTACGGATTGGGGTTAGACCTTTCTCACCGCGCGGTAGTATGCTCCAGAACCGCACGAACGCTGCACCTACGTCCCGCGAAGCCTTTTGTGCGTCTTCTGCCCAGATAACCCAAAACCCGCAACCTCTCACCCGAACCCTGTGCAAAAGTCGTAGATTCCTCTGTCTTTGCGCAAGGCTTCGGAGCTCAGCCCTACGAGATCGACTTGGAGCCGTGTCGAGCGAATTTGGTGCTTCGGGAAAAGCACGTCGTCGGCTTTTGGGTTTGGGGTTTTGGGTTGGGTGGGCGTGCTTTACGGTTCCTAGGACCCAGAGTAGGCCCTTATGCCCTTTTTTGGGATTTATGTTCCCTTTTTACACCCTTTGAGCCAAAAAGGGCACCCTTTTCATTTCTAGGTTACTCTCAGGTCTAGGTTCTCTAGTATAGCCTCCAGACCCCCAGCCCCCAGACCCCCACCCCGTTTACGCTTTAGGGGTTTAGGGTTTAGGGTTTAGGGTTTAGGGTTTAGGGTTTAGGGTTTAGGGTTTAGGGATTAGGGTTTAGGGTTTAGGGTTTAGGGTTTAGGGATTGTTGGTATGCAGGTTCCAAAATCATGTGCACACTAGGCCGCTAAGCTGACCAGGCATCCCACTCTCGCACCCAGCTACCTACTAACACAGGGCTGCATGTGCACGACATCCTTCTTTCGGGGCTTGTGGCTATAAACGCTCTTTAGTGAGACATGAAAGACATCGAGCATGGCGGTGACATATGTAGCCACAACGAATTCTGTTGCGAGGAATATCAGAACTTTTGCCAGGCTGTGTACAAATTCACTGATAACTCGGACAAGCAGAACGCTTGCAATGAGCTATGCAGTGCCGGTGCAGCTCCAATAGCCACCAATCGCCGTTGTCGCAATCAGAAACACCAGCAGCCAAACTGCACGAGATGCATTCGAGTAGTAGAACAAATGAGGATGTCGTATGGATTGCTACAACACCATATTTTGACCCTCCACCCTGAACCTGAACCGCAAAACCGAAAAATCTACAGCGAAGGAAGCAATGGTCCAAGTGAACTTGAAGTCACACAAAAAGCGGGACATCCGACAAGTGGAGTCTTCCGCGAAGAGGTGCCATGCGGATCTTTAGGGCCGGGTTTTGCACCCAAGCCGTTACAGGTTGTTTGGGGTCCAAGTTCCTGGGTTGCCAAGGTTATAGGGTTTGTTAGGGTTTAGGGTTTAGGGTTTAGGGGGTTTAGGATGTAGGCGCTATTCCAGGTTTGGTGAGGCCTTCAAGATTTCATGGCTTCAATACTCCATGGGTTTAGGGGGGTTTAGGGCTCTACACAACGGGTCAGAAAACCTTAATCTGTGACTTACGAAAAGGCTTCAGACTCAGAGCAGCCTGGGCGCAGAGCGCCTCCAACATGCGCGCTTACAAAGTTTCGGATTTTTCTGCTTTGGGGGTCTGTTGGACTGCGCGTAGCGCTGAATCTTGAACCAATCAGCTAATCGCAGTGATGAAAGGTGTTTCCACCTATGAGTTATAAATGCGGTGTCTGCTTCCTGCGCGAGTGTAAGAAGTTTCCTGCAACTTTAGCGTTTCGGTTTGGAGATTCTGGGCATGCGGGAGAACGCTAACTAGCTTGTTAGGTTATAAGATTTGTGAATTTATGTTTCAGGGGCTGAAGGGATAAGGGCTTGGGGTTTAGGGTTGTTAATTTATATTTCTTGGGCTTTCGGACTGGGGGTTTAGGGTTTAGGGTTTGGGGAAGTATCGTTTATGTTTTCGCAGGATCGAGGCAAGGTGTCTTTGGTTTGTCTTTTCTCTGTCTTTCGCCAACGTGGTCTCGCATAGAGCGCCCATGCGACTTAATATCCTCGATTCTAAACCACAAACCCTGAAAATCAGATGGTCTTTAATAGTCTTTAATCGTGAAACCGTGAAAGGGAGCCGGAACTCCCTAAAACGGAACATAACAAGCATAATAAAATCATGTCGGAGCATAACAAGCACAATAAGTACTTGGAGGATCATGGGACTTAGTAAGCAAGGTTATAAGTACCTCAATTGGGGTTATAAGTATAGTTACCCTAATTATAACAGCAGTTACTAAGTCCCATGATCCTTTAAGTAGACCCTAGAAACCCCTCTTATAATAGAACCCTATAGATGCCCTTTAAAGGAGCCCTTTAAGGAACCCTAGTTACTAAGTCCCATGTACGTGACGTCAGGGGTGACGACTTGAAGCTGCCGGAGCTGCAAGCGCTATCCTCCTCGACTGGTGACGAGGCTTCCGCTTTATACTACGGTTGATGACCTTTAAAGGGATCTATAAGGCTACCTTTAAGGGGCTCTTTATGGGATCTATAATAGAGTTTTAGGGTTTAGGCTTTAGGGGTTCATGACATAAATCCTGCATTACCCATTTCAAGGAATATACCATGATTCCCATAGTCTGGGGTCATTAAGGTAATGCAGGGTTCATGTTATCAACCGTACCTGCTGGTGACGAGGCTTTCAGTTTTCGTTAGAAAGCCCTAAGGGCCCATGTGCCCAAACAGCATATGCTTTGGCCTCGAAGTAGTCCCTATTGAGGTACTTCGGGGCCGAAGTATATGCTATTAGGGTACATGGACCCGTAAGGCAAACCCTGCAGCAATACTACTTGCATTACGCCTGTACTGGTATTGCTGTTGTCCTTACCGCCATTACCATTGATACTGATACCCCTGCTGCTCCTGCTACCGCCACTGCTGCTGCTGCTCCTACTACAACTACTACTACTACTACTACTACTACTACTACTACTACTACTACTCCTACATACATATATATATATATATATGTATATTTATACCTGCGCCAGGAGAGCAAGAAGGAGAAAAAAAAGAAGGAGGCAGAGGACAAGCCGGAAGGCGATGCTGGCGATGCAGCTCTGGCAGGCGAGATATAGGGGCCTTTGTAATTAGAGTACTATAGGGGCCTTAAATATTAGAATAGGGTTTTGGGGCCCATTATACCTAATTATAATAAGGAGCCCCCAAGATAGTATAGGTAATTATTAAGGCCCCTATACTAGTAATTAGAGTAGGCTTCCTTTGAAGGGTTCTAAAAGGGTTTAGCATAGGGGTCGTTATAATCAGAATGTTTCTTTTGGGGGGTTATTCCACAGTTGTAGTAAAGCTTAATAGGGAACACCCGAAATAGCATTGGTAGTTATTTAGGCTTCTACATTTCGAAGAAGAGGGCGAAACTGAGCAAAACAACACGTGCGACTATTCATGGCAAAACAGGCATGGCAAGGAGAAGTACTCAGAGTACGTATCACTAACCTAACAGCAAGTAACCAGAAGAAGAATCACTTGGGTACTGCCCCCACTCAGTAACAGTTGGATAATATTCATTAGTATAGATATATTAGGACCTATGAATAGTCGCCCCTATTATATACTCTTACTGTTGGGGGCAGTACCCATTCAGGGTGCTGTTTAGACCACGAGAGTTCGAACGACAATAGAGGACGGTGTGGAACTTATCGCGTAATATAGGGGCCGAAATAATTAGCAACACTATTTTCGTGTTCCTTATTACAAGTATTGCATCATGGGCCCCAAAACCGTATTCTAATGATTAAGGCCCCTATCTTAGTAGCAGCAAGGAACAGGAACCGTGCAACCAGCCGTCATCGCTGTTAGCAGTACTTCAAAGTCAGGTTGCCGCTGACGCGCAGTACTTTTAACAGGTGGCATGGTACCAACTCGTTTTCCGATCCCTGTGTGTAAGCAGTCGGTAGTCCTTCCTCGTCTGCAATCATCGGGTGTCTGGAACATTTTCAGAGCTAAGCCAGCGAGTGTGAGGCACTGTCTCAAGTTCAAGATTTGGTTCCTGAATAATTAGGACTCCTAAACATGCAAGCGAATGCGAGTCTTCGTGAAAGCCGGCTCATCTACAGCCTCATAGGTCTGATAGGTGCCAGCAACTTTCTCCAGTGAAAACTGGAGCTGCTGCAATGTCGTACTACTTTTCTGAATATATGTAATCTCCCCCTGAGTAAAGGATTCTAGGGCTGAAGGTTTATGGGATGAGTTCACGAGAGCCGCTGGGTTGCTTGCTTGTCTTGCATTTGGCTTGTAGACTTTGTACTTCGTGTTCGTCTTCTTGTGACCAGTGCAGTACCTGCTTCTTTTTGTTCACTACTAACCCCTGAAGCCCTCGGCCCCAAACCCCTGAAACCCTAAACCTTTGACATGTTTGCAGGTGGAACGGTGCAGGAAAAGAAGCCCGAGGGACACGCACAGGCGGCGAAAGCTCCTCACCGGTGACAGTGCTCGAGCCACGTCCAGCTCATAATGCCGAGGTTCAGGGGTCTGCACAAGACATAGAATATACATACATACATATACATATGTATGTATGTTTGTATACAACTAATTAAAGTGTATATATATATATATATATATACATAAACGATGTGTATAAACATAACTTCATACGTAGTTGTATGGTATGGTTGGTCTCGACGTGGTGGTTTCTGTTCACTCTGTCTGGGGCTTCACGTTGGGGAACCACCAAGCTCGTTGTCGCACCTGGAGCCTCAAGCAAAGTTATGTCGGTTTAGCGTTATGCGCCCTGTTCGGTGTTTAGGAGCAAGCATATCCTGAGCCGTACTTAATCCTGAACGGCCAAAACCCTGAAACCTGCACTCCAAATCCGCAAGAGGCCTAAAGGCCTCAAGCCTAAAGCTCAAGCTGTGACACCAAACCCTCAGCCTAACTTTCAATCTTGAAACCCTAAAACCTACATGGCACTTGGCCAGTAAGGTTATAAGTACCTATAATTGGGATTATAAGTATAGTTACCCTAATTGTAACCCTAGTACTAAGTCCCATGATCCTTTAAAAAAGCGCCAAGTCTGGAGCCGTCGCAGGTGGCCATGGAACTCCTGGGTCCCGTCCCAGAAATCGTGCTGTGGTATCTGCTGACCATGGTCTTTGATGCAGTGCTGCTTCTTGGCTTGGGTTCAGCATTTTTTGACGCGTAGAACTTAGAACCTCATAACCTAGAACCTCCATCTACCCTCTATTAGACCCTAAATGCCCCTTATTTGGGACCATATACCCCTATTTGAGGGTACAAGGAGGGTCCTGGAAGACTTGATTCGGCTGTGTGAGGCTGGGGCATCATGCAGGTTCGCTGGTTTTGCCCGACTGCTCCGCTCCCGTTCTGGTTATCGTTAGGGCGCTGGTTCAGTCCCTCAAACCCTAACCCTTAAAATGCCTAAGTCCTTAAAGTTAGAGGCGAAGAAGCCGAAAGCAAGCTCTGTAATTAAGCGGAGACCCTAAACCACAGCCCAGCAGCACTTCGACAAATCCTAAACCTTAAACCCTAAGCCCCAAACCCTACACTCTAAACCCTAAACCCCTAAACCACTAAACCCTAAACTCCTAAACCCATAACCCCTAAACCCAAAACCCCTAAACCATCAAACCCTAAACCCTAAGCCCCCAACCCTGAACTCTAAATCCTAAACCCCTAAACCACCAAACCCTAAACCCTAAGCCCCCAAACCCTAAACCCTAAACTCTAAACCCTAAACCCCTAAACCACTAAACCCTAAACCCTATCAGATCCCTTAAAGGAACCCTTATAGATCCCTTAAACCCTAAGCACAGCAGTGAGGCGACAGCAGCCCTATAAACTCTCGGCCACCGGACAAGAGCTGGGCTCCTCGATGCTCTTCTCTTCGCGCATAGGCCCGGGCGCAGCTTCGGGGCTTCCCCTTCGGGCTGTTTTGGGGTTTAGGGCCTTTAGGGCTGTTTTGGGGTTTAGGGATTTAGGGTTTAGTACAGGTTTAGGGTTTGGGGGTTTATGGTTTAGGGGTTTAGGCTTTAGAGTTTAGGGGTTTTAAGTTTAGGGGTTAGGGGTTTAGGGCCTTTAGGGTTTAGGGTTTAGGGGTTTAGGTTTAGGGGTTTAGGGTCTAGGGTTCCTTGCACTGGTGATTAGACTCCTGCTTGGAGGTTCATGGGTTATAAGTCCGATGATTTGCGTTATACTACACTAAAACTATACTAGTTCATACTGTAAGGCCCTTTTTGAGAACGCCTCCTGGCAGGCTTCTCCGGTACACCGTCGTCGCTGCTGCCCGAAGATCTTGGCACCTGCCTCTTCGAAGCCGAGAACGAAGGCTCAGACTGGGGGCGGGGCGTCTCTACTTAAAGGATCATGGGACTTAGTAACTAGGGTTATAATTAGGGTAACTATACCTATAACCCCCCATTAAGGCACTTATAACTTCACTTACTAAGTCCCATGATCCTCCAAGTAAGCGTTAGCTGTTCAACTTGATTTGAGCCGTGGGTGCGGGATACCGCACAGATACATGATGCACATGTCCATCCATGGACCGTAATGTTGTGTTTAGGTTGCAGAAGCATCATGTCCACGCAAACGGCATGCTACTTCAACTTCTGGATTGCGTGAGCACAGTCCGCCAGACAGACAAACCGAAGCTGAGTTTAGATGCCAGAGCGGTGCAATTGCAAACCTTGCCGACTGACCCCCAACCGTGCTGATAGTGGCCGATCTCCTGAACATTTAGTAAGGGGCGCGTGTCCCCAATGCCCTTTCAAGACTTGCCGAAGGTGAGATCTTGTCCGTCTTAAGTGACGAACAGCACGTGGTTCCGCCTCTCATCGAGATGGCAGCTGACTGGTCCCCCGAGAGCATTCTGCCGCCTGTCAGCCTGGGGAAGAACAGCGCATGACAGGCTATCTCTGACAGTGACCGGGGGAACTTTAAACTTGTTGGCCTCATGTATTAGCTCCATCTTAGAAAGTTCGAACTTTTTGGGGCCCGGTTATTCAAGAAGAGAGCTATTGACTGCCTTTGCCTGTCCGTGCTTCGCCGTTTCTCCTAAGATTTGTCTTGTTGTCGCCATCCTCCCTCCCCAAAAGCGTGGTCAGATACATCTACCTGTCTTCACATGGGAGTTTCCGAAAATAGGGGACCCTAATCTAGTACCCTAAATAGTAGGATCCTTATTATAAGGACCCCAAAATAAGGAACCCCTCATTTTCGGAAACTCCCACATGTTCTTACCGGTGCCTGCCGTTCGGTGCCACTTCCGGCCTTCTAGCAGCCTTGCAGACTCAGGCAGCTTTGGGTCAGACTAAGCCTTGAACTCTTAACCCTAAAGGGAACTCCAGAAAGTTGGAATATGGATTAATGGTAGGATCCCCTATAATTTACATTAAAGGGGTTACGATAATGATATTCCAACTTTCTGGCTTCTACTGTAAGCCCTAGCGCCCTTATTATGTTTTGTGTTTAAAGAGGCCCCTTGGTTCTGCTAAACAAGCCGTTGTAAACCCTCGATCCTAAATCCAAAACTAGGAGAGTAAGAAGGTCATGAGGCGGCTTAGGGCAAGGTCTGCGGGTTACAGTTAAAGATAAAGGCTCCTTCACAGGGTAGTATGAGGGTGGCTGATGGTTGGGGGTTTAAGATTTGGGGCTTAATGTTTAGGGCTAAGGGGTTCACTTAGAGTTAGAGGCTCAGTAAGTAGGTTGTCAGTAGAGTTATAAGGACCTACATGGCGTTGCCCAACTACAACCCGACTTATACCCGACTTACTAAGTCCCCTTGGCCTCTAAGTAGGGTTTAAAAATTTAGGGTGAGACCCAAACCCTAGACTAACAGGGCAGATTAGACAGCAATTTCGGGTAAGATGCAGGGGCCCAAAATTTCAACCTGTAAGCCATGGACTTCAAATCGGAAACCCCAAACTCGAAACTTCAATCCCCAAACCTGACCCCTCAAAACCCGTCAACCCTCTAAGGAGCACGGTGGCCAAGAGCAAGGACGGCGTTCACCCAACGAGAGATGCCGAAATCCAGTACGACACATTTTTCTACTATCCGGGTTTCACCTAGGACCTAACTCGTTACCCATAGGCCCCAAAGTAGTTCCTTTTTGGGATTACCTTATAGGATTCTATATACGAACCCCCAAAAGGAACTACTTTGGGGCCTTAGGGTGCGAGGTTCCAAGCTTTAGGGTTTAGGTCAGGGTGCTGGTACTAGGGTTCAGTGCGGAAGGTCTCTCGTGGTTTCGGGGCTAACTTTTAAGTCATGGTCCAGCATAGATCCTGGGAGTCCCAGAGCCAGACCCCCGGGAGGATCTCGAAAGTAGATCCCCTAATTTGGGGCCCTATACTACAAAGGGTACTTTTTAGGAATCCCCCATTAAGGGATCTACTTTTTGGATCCTCGCGGGGGTCTGGGGAGCTGCTAACATGGAACCTCAAGCGAATCTTGTCTGGAGCGAGAGACATGGTCCTTGCTCATATTCTAGGATGCCCAGTAGTACCCTTATTCCCTTTTTGTAGTCCTAGGTTCCTTGTAAAGTTACCCAATACCAAAAAGAGAGGCCTTTTTATTCTTAGGTTACTGGGTATCCTAGTCATATTGTAGGATTCGTGGGCTCTGTTCGAGCTTTGCCCCAAAACCTAAAGCCCATGAGACCACGTTTGAGTTGTCAAGGCAAGTTCCATGCATCAGCCGAAGAGTTTATTGCGGAAGGCTAATCCCGATTAAACTTTACCATGTCATGCATTCCGTGCCGGCTAAAAATCAACGAGCGTTGTAGGACCCTGTGTACCACTGCCTCATCGACACGGGCGCACTGGTGATGGGCTTCACCAACGACGAAGTGGCGAAAGTGCTGCTGAAGATGCTGCCAGAAGAGCTCTTCGATTCTAGCCACATCCAGCGCAAGTTGCGGTTGTCGAGTTGAATTTGCGAGAACATATAAGGCAGTTCTGAAACCTTGCAAGCCGACCTTGATCGACAGACCTCCCAGACTAAACCCCAAGGCCACTGTACTAATGCCGGCAATTTCCACTGAGGGGACCATGCGCGCATAGCAGAACTCGAGGCATACTCAAGTGGAGCAGAGACCCAGCAGCTCCAACCTGAAACTGTAGCTTGAAGAGGTCTTGTGCTCTTTATCAAATCTGCCTGCGTCCCTTACACCTTCATTTCCCTCTTTTCTAGCCGTGTTTTCTGCTTCGAGGCCAAGAGCTTGCCAGATTCTTTCAGGGATCTTCAGCTTCTCTAGGTAGGGCTTTGGGACATTTCATATTTTCCCTTATTGGGCTTAAGAGGATCTTATTTGCTAATATTTTTCAAAGGCTTTAAAAGCCCCACCTAGTTCTGGTTTCGGAGTCTGAGCACTTGACTTTGGCACATCCATCTCTCCCAGCCGAGCGTCTGACCGTCAATGAGCCCAGTTCTGTGACGGAAACAAGCCCACTGCAATGCTCAGCACACTCTCCCGAAGCCTCACACCTGCAAGCTAAACCCTGTTTCAAGCTCATGTGTTACGTCGATATGATCAGGCTCCAAGCTACAGAGAATGAGAAATATGTTAACAAGAAGAGGTGACTGTCGTGACTCGAAGCCATGCTGAAGCATCCCATCACCCGATCACGGTGCCCAAACCCTACAGCCCAAGCAGCAGCCACAAAGGATTCAGGGCTTATAGGGCCTAGAGTCCAGAGTTTACCTCCGAAAGCTATAAGCTTCTAAAGCACCGAACCCGAAGATCCTCTTCCTGAACCGCAATGCAGGTTCCCTGATCCTTTAGGGTTTAGGGTTTAGGGTTTAGGGGTTCCCTGATCCTAAGCTCAGGATGGTGTCGCCTACTTTGACGACCGCGACGCTCCCATGGTCATTCTTCGCGGGGCAGTCAAACCGGTGACTCAGCAAACGTCTTTGGTGGAGGGCTCCTGGGTTGTTGGATTTGGGGCCTAGAAGTCTATGGTTTAGCTTTTAAGGGTTTAGGGTCTTACCAGTAGGGTGTAGCACTCAGAGTCATTATGTGCCGTCGCGTGCACTTTCTTGATTAATATCCCTTGTGAGAATCTTATGATAATTTGTCTGGCCCTTCTATACCTAGTGTTGGGCCGCGCAGTTTTTCCTTTGGAGTCAAATCTACAGATAAGACCTCGCGCACCAGTCCAAGCATGAGACTTCTCGAAATCACAAACATCAAAGACTAAGCATTACCCTGCGGCCCAAAAGTCATGATGCCGAGTCGTGTACACAGGGTCGTCACACCCTGGTTTACACCCTTGGACCCCGGAATCCTGCAATATTGGCGCCTGGGTAAAGGCTAATATTTTCCATAGGGTTTCTTGGCCTGATTACACCGTAGTAATGTGCCTCAGAACCGCAGAAGACGGCTTATAGTAAAGTTTTGAGTTGTTTAGATCGCCGTCAATTTTTCTCCAGAGCCTTCCCTTCCTCGAAACCAGGTGCCGTTCAATTTTGTCTTTCATGCCTATGGAACCTTGAAACAAGGCTTTGCCGCCGCGTCTTCGGCACAACCTGGCGTAAAAGATCATCAACAAAAAAGCTACATACAAGCTGAGCTAACTTTTGTTCTAAAGCCTGCTAAAGGGTTGAAGAGAGTACTTGTCACTCTATCGGGTCCTAGCTCCTAAAACCTGATCCCCCCAACACCTACGAGGCCCTGATGAGAGCTAAGCATCCTTTTCGAGGCTTTGCTGAGCGAGGCGGGCGTTCCCATGGACCGGCGCTTCACCTTCTTCGATCAGGCACTTGCTGGCGGGTTTATTGGTGGACCATATGCAAGTCTTTTCTGATGGTGTTCTACGGTTTCATAAGGGTTTACAGCGGTTCAGGGTTCAGGAGAACCCTTCATCAACAGACTGCCTACATCGATCGTACTAGGTGGTTAGGGCTTAAATTAAGAATTTAAAGCGTCAGGCACATTTGTTTGGGGGGGGGGCCCGAAGGGTAAAGGATTGAGTTATCAGCTGGTTTTGGTTTTGGGGCTGGTGTTGTATGGGTACTGAAGATGCTGGCTACAAGAGCTTCATTCTGCATCTTGAATGGGTTCTAGTGGCTTTAGGTTTCGGTGTTCAGCCTTTTCTGGTGACCAGGGCAACAGCACAGTCAGACGGGAGAGCACGCAACCAGCAGAAAACGCGATTGTGCTAATGTGGCCAGATAATCCAAAAAAAACATCAACAGCGTTCGAATACGAAAGGGTTTGCGATGCCAAAACAGCTCCAGAACCATCTTGTGGCAGGCCCGTGCTGTTAACGGCTTCGGCGTAGTTGAGGAAGTGGCTCCTCCACCTTTCCTTGCACCCTGTGCATCGGATGTTGCGAGCAAGTCAAACGACACTCGACACAAAACTGCCGAAAGGCACCAACAGGTCCCGGCTGAATAGAACCCACCCCCCCAAAAAATTCGCTGTCGTCGGCAAGTTTGCGTGTCGGCTTCGGTCTTTGTACAGGCGAGTTGGAGTCAGGATTAGGGTAAAAAAGTTCTGAACAATTCATAACCCAAAGACTCCAATATCCCTTAATTGAGGAATATACCCATATTAGGGATCCTACTATAATTTAAGGTATATTCCTTAATTAAGGAGACTTTGGGAACACTATTCCCCCGTGTCCTAAAACTTATTACAATTCTCTGTAAGGTCTCTGGCTTGTTTGTGTCGTGCCATCGAGATCTTCAAGATGCCCAAAAATCTGGTTCAATTTCCAGTCGTCTGTGGTAAGGTGCCGGATCGAGGGCCCAGGCCATCACAGTACTGCAGGGATGATATAGAAGTTCTCTCGCACACAAACAATTATGTCAAGTCTTTTCACTTGATGAAAGACCTAATTCATCAAAATTTCGTGTGCACTCATAAAACCCTATGAGCGCTCAAAACATCCGAAAGCGAAAACCATATGAGCGCTCAAAACATCCGAAAGCCCTGGTAGGTGCACACCACCGGCACCGACACGAAGCAGCCTCTTCAAAGCTATGCAGCCCTCACCCTGTCCGCCTCCATGACCTTCCGAGACTACGCGCGACTTGGGGGCTTTAAGGGGATTCTTTGTGGTTTTATAAGAGCTCCTTTAAGGGGATTCTTAGTGGTTTTATAAGAGCTCCTTTAAGGGGATTCTTTAGGTTCTATAGGAGCTCCTTTAAGGGGTCTTGAATTGTTGAAATTTTGGGGCTGTTTCCTGGGTTCCTCTAAATCCGGTTGCTTTGGAGATTGAGGTTCAGGGCTCCTTCAAGGGTTATGAAGACTGAGCCTTAGCGACGTCTTAGCTTTTTATGTTTTAGGATTGAACGCTTCAGGGTTTCAGGGTTTAGTGCAACCCTTAACCCTCCCACCGGAATCGAGAGTTTGCGAGGAGTATCACGTTTTTTGTAACTTCCGGAACGGGTGCCACGGACCCAACAGATGCTGCAAGCTTCAGGTTCTAAATCCGAAACCTGAACCGACATGTTCTCTGGTCTACCGAGGTCCCGGTTAGTTCTGCGGACACGGGCACCGAACAAAAGAAAGTTTTATGTACCAAAGAGCCGCTATATCCCTTACAGTAAGTCATCCCTGAACCCTAGAGTTCTGACTTGCTTACGCCCACACCCCGCCCAAGCCAATCCAGGGGTTCGGGTCACCATGAAACTCGCCAGAACAGTTCTGTGAGGGCACTAGATAAGGGTTCCTTGGGGTTTGGGGTTTCCACAAGGCTTCCACTAGGACCTAGAGTAGGCCCTTATTCCCCTTTTTAGGGTTTTCTGGTTCCCTTATTAAGCCCCTTTAAACCAAAAAGGGCACCCTTTTTATTCCTAGGTTACTCTTGGGTCTAGTCCATAAAGGTGTTATAAAAAGGCTTGTTTTTCGCTATTAGGGTGCAAAGACTCTGAAGGCGGACTTTTTGTCAGGGGTTGAGGGCCTTTATCGTTTCCATACTACAAGGGCTCCAATACAGAGCTCGCGATGAGAAGTTACTCGTTCAAGATTTGGGTCCTGGTGACGGCTGAATAGTGCTCTGCCTACATACTCCGCATTGCAAGGCAGGGTGCTTGGCGCATGCGCGGGCTGGGCAAGGGCCAAAAGCTCCGTGACATGGCTGAAAGTGGAGCTTATAGTAGTAGATTAGGTAACCTTTGTCCGTTTTGGGTACTATAAGCCCGAATGTGTGTGTATATATATATATATATATATATACGTACATATAGTCCCAAAGGTTAACCTGTAGCTCCCCTAGGATACTGAACAGGTGTGTGGTGTTCAGGGTTCAGGGCTCCTTTCCCTCTCAGCCTTGCGTGGGAGGAAGGCGCTGCTTAGACCACTTGGATCAGTTTCGCTTTTGCCGCTGAGCCTAAGCTTGTGCCATACTGGCACGGGCTCCGTGCACTGTGCAGGTCTAAAGTGATGGTGAATCGTCGAATGCTTCCGCTGGACCATCTCACTTCTGCAGCACCATAGCATGACTCAAACCCTTCAGAAATCCCATTGTCCTCCCGAAGCTCGCTCTGAAAGCCTACGCACCCTCACAACCCAATTATACGAATGAGTTTGTCCATAATTCTTGGAGATTTTGTGAGAATGACAATGAAAAGGAACACTAGAGAAAGGCCGGCCTGACAGACGACACGGCCATGGACTCTCGCAGTCGTTACAAAGTCGTCTCAATCGATACATAAACGACTAGGCTCCCTCGGGTGATCTTGGGGGTTATGCTAGGTATGATTGCGAATTCCGACTCAAGTCTACAAGGGCCAGAAAAAGGGCCCCTTCACTGTTCGGATTCCAATAAATGGTTGTCTTGGGCTTGACCCGAGAAGCGTGCATAGAACCTCAAACCCCACTTACAAGCCTTCGATTTTGGACGAGTGTCTTCTGAAGGCAGGGCGCACCCTACCTATTTCGCAGCAAGCAAGAATCGTATTCTGAGCTCTTCAAAGGGGGTTGACACATAGGAGAAAAAGACCTGGAAATCTGCTCGTTCTTTTATCAACGTTGAGGCATGGAACATCAACGGCGAACCTTGCCAAAGGAAGCAGGGCCTACACCTTAAAGTCCGTAAATCATAGCACATTGAAGAGGGAGATCGTACACGCACAGGCATGATCATCACGCCGGAGCTCGCCAAAAAGGCAAGCGGCAAGCTTTGAGTCTGTCTGTGTTTGGTTCCATAATCCTGAAACCTGAGTAGCCGCAACGTAGTTGTGTACCTTAATACCGGTTTAACCAAGGTTCAACTACCAAAGAGGAATTCGTAGTATAAGAGCATACCATAGGCTTCGATTGAAGGGTTATTGGGTCCTGCAGGAACTCGGTACCGTGCCGACTACTGCAAATGCGAATAGAACACGCTCGGCAGATATCCTCCAGAATGTACAGGTCTGTATGAAACCCGATGTCCCTGGATAGCATCACTCCTATGGTCTCCATTGCAGTTCCTGTTGGGGGTTACCTTATAGGATCATTAATATATAACTGGTTAAGCCAAAAAAGGAACTACAATAGAGACTACAGGCAGTACATTGCGTGATCTTGATCACGCCTCGCCCAGAAGAGCCCGAATCCTGAAGTTCCTTTGCAGCTTATGGGAGCCCTCATACTCAAAGGCTCCTAAGTACCTATGCAGCAGAGTTTTGGGGGTTTCTATATCAGGGATTACTCTTATGGTTTGGGTACTTCTTCCACATATGGGTACTTGGGACCCTTTAGGAAAAGAGTTAAGGGGCTACTGGGGAACTTAGATGCAGAAGCCTGAATGATTACACACATTATTCATGAGCTTAGTATGTTTATACCATCGTATACCCCTAGGAGCCCTAAACCCCAAAAGTACCCAAAACCCCCAAAACCATAACCCCTAAACCCCTAAACCCTAAACTCCTAAATCCTAAACTCTAAACCCTAAAGAAATTCTGCGGAGGTCCAAGGCGCCGTGAAGGCCGAGGGCACCCTTGGCCTCCACGACGCGGTGGCCTTCATGCCTTGACCTCGGGCATTCTTTCAGATCCCCGAACCCCAAGGGTCCAAGTACCCAATAATGATATACTCTCCAAAATCCTAACCTACATAACTACTATCCCAAAACCGAGTACCTGATTATTGGGTCCTTTGGACCCTTGGGGAAAGAACACAAGCAAAAACTTAGGATAGGGTATAGGGTTTGGGGCCTTAAACCCTGAACCCTCTCAGGGCCCCCCAGCAAAGCAAGTGGGCAAAAAATAGGATAGGGATATCCCATATGCACCCCTTGAAAACGAAGCCCAATATAGGGATATCCCATGTAAGCCCACTTTATAATGAAGCCGAATAAGGATAGGGATATCCTATATAGATGCCCCTTATAATGAAGCCCAATAAGGTCGGGATATCCCCGCAACATGCTTATGCCTCGACATTGGGCATTCTTGCAGGGTTGAAGGGCTGAATGGACTCTCTTCTTCCGGTTAAGGTTTAGGGTTTGGGGGTGTGGGGTGTAGGGGTTTAGGATATAGGGGTTTAGAGATCAGGCTCTGCGTTTACAGCTTAAGGGGCTTCAGATGTCGGAAACATGTTTCATTCCAGCTGCTTCCCTTTGAGCTTGAGTAGTCCCTACACTGAATCCCATGCCCCGGCCTCTGCGGCCCAGCTCAAACCGTCGTCTTCGTTTCGGATCATTAAGACCAGATCCCTCCCGTTTGGGGCGCAGTAGAGCCGATCCTAGAGCCCAAAGTCCTAAAGCAAACGAACAAAGTCGCACACACACACACACACACAGAGACACAGAGACACAGAGACACAGAGACACAGAGACACAGAGACACAGAGACACGGAGACACAGAGACACAGAGACACACACACACGGAAACAAAAAAAACCTAAACATAAAACACCACAAGAACTTGAACTCATACCTCAGATGGCAATCTCACAAAGCTTGCTTTCACAAGGCCTAGAAGCCCCAGAGCACGAAGAAGCAAAGACCCTTAGCCCTAAAACTCGTGTAAGAAAGCATCCAAAAGCACCAAAACCCAAGACTTTCAAGCCAAAAAACGGAAGCCCTGAGCCTAAACCCTAAACCCATAAATCTAAGCCCTAATCCCCTAAATCCCAAAATCCGAAGCCTGAGCCCTCAACCCTAAACCCAAAAACCGAAGCCCTAAACTCTAAGCCCCTAAACCCAAAACCGAAGCACCAAGCTGCTCCAGGCTGTCAAACCAGTTTGACTCCGAAGGCATCTGGGCCTGCACCTACCTTCCTTCCAAATGGGTAGTTGTCAAAATTATGGTCCCTTTTTGGGTGCCCTGTATTTTAGGTGCCGTACTATAATAGGGGCTCAAAAAGGGACCATAATTTTGACAACCACCCAAAATGGCCTACCATTTCAGGGTGCCTTCATATGTTGTCTGTATACAAGTCCTTAAAAAGGTAGGGCCTAATAGGACCCTACTGTACCTTCATCCCAAGTAGCCTGCCATTCTAGGGTGCCTTTTTATGTTTTGCGTACATAAGTCCTCGCTCGAAAAGGTAAGCTTTTATAGGGTCGAGGTAGGGTTTTGGGGCTGTTTTGAGGGTTTACAGGGCTTCTCATGGGTGTTGAGAGGGCTTGGGCTTTGATGGGGGGTTTAGGTTCGCGGATTCATGCCGGGTTTCGCTTGCGTGGGTTGCGTATATTGCGGGCAGACGGGGTTCTCCCTTTTGCAGGCTTACATTCAGGTTCATAGTAGGATGTTCAAAATTCTCAGTCCCTGGTGGCTTTGAGTGTCGGGTCACAAAGGGGATAATGGGGTCGAGTCTAGCATTGGGTTCGGGTTTATAGGGGGTTGATAGGCTGTGGTGTTGAGCTCCGAGGTTTAGAGCTCAGGGCTGCAAAGTTAGGTGCGTGTCTTGGGATTGGTCCAGCTCTGTTCTTGAGGCAAATTGGGGGTATCCGAAATAGGGGACCCTAATGTAGTACCCTAAATCGTAGGATCCTTTTCATAAGGACCCTTAAATAAGGCACCCTAATTGTCGGAAACTCCCAAATGAGTCTTTTGTGCCGCGTCACTGGCAATATGGGTGTTTGCAAAGCCCCTTGCAGCAGGACCCTGTTGCACTTTCAGATTGGGCCTGACTTCCCACTTTCCAAGGCCAAGTGTTTAACCCCCACATGTTATACCAACCTTCATGAGATGCCCACCACTACTAGCAGCAGCTTGAAACCTAGCAACTGCCACGCCCACCAGCAACACCATCAGCCTGTGAATGGTGCGCTTCTTCAGTCTGTGCAACATGCAAAGAAAACCGCTGACATCTACCTTCGAAACTATGAGCAATAAGAACAAGAGGGTACTCCGCTAAAACATGTACCCTACTTGGACGTTCATCTAGTAGTGTTAAATGGGTTATAAGTCCCCTAACATATTTTGTGTTTATGCTTACCGTACTTATAACCCCACAAAATTACTACCCATGAACCTCCAAGTAGGCCCTAAAAACCCTTTACCCCCATAGAATCCCTATAGATCCCCCTTAAAGGGGCCCTTAAAGGAATCCGAACTACCCTATAGATCCCTTTAAAGGGGCCCTTAAAGGAATCCTAACTACCCTATAGATCCCTTTAAAGGGGCCCTTAAAGGAATCCTAACTACCCCCCCATGCCGCCAAGGGAAGCAGTTCGCAGCCTTGCAGCTTCAGAACCTCGCGACTGTCTGGCGCAAGCACTCCCTCAACAACCTGATGGCAGAGCAGGAGGGTGTGCTGTTTGGGGATCAGGGTTTAGGGTTTAGGAGTTTAGGGTTTAGGGGTTTAGGGTTTAGGGTTTGGGGTTTAGGGTTTAGGGTTCAGGGTTCAGGGTTTAGGGTTTAGGAGTTTAGGGTTTAGGGGTTTTGGGTACTTTGGGGGTTTGGGGCTCCTAGGCTTCAGGGTGGGTTTCGGGGTCGAAGGGTTTGGAGTTTCAGGCGTGTCGACACGGAGATGATTGCAGGAAGGGTCAAAGTTGAACCACCGACGAAGACGACGCTGCTGCTGGCACTGCAGCTGCGGTAGTAGTAGCAGCAGCAGTAGCAGTCGTAGTAGCAGCAGTAGTAGTAGTGGCAGTAGTAGTAGCGGTAGGTATTTCCCGGGCTTTACTGAACCCCGGAAATTCCCAGCAGAGCTCCAAAGCCTAAACCCTGCAGATAAACCCCAAGCCGCTGTTCTGAGGAGCCGAAGAATCGCGAGGAACTCCGGGCTGAAGCTCTCCGACTGGCTTGGGGCCGTAATATCGGGGCCTTAATAATTAGAGTAGGGTTCCTTGAAGGGTTCCTTTAAAGGGTTCTATAAGGGCTACTGTAAGGGTTTAGTAAAGGGGCCTTTCTATTGAGATTGGGGGTGTACGATATTTACATTCAGGAACCACCAATAGAGTATAGGTAGTTATTAAGGCCTTTGTAGTAGGGTTTTGGGTTTCGGAGAGGATTCAGGGTTTAGGGGTCCTGAGGTTTTAGAGTTTTCAGGTTCAGGGTTTGGGGTGTGCAGGGTGCAGGGTTTAGGGTGTAGGGCTTGTCGCTGACTCTAGAGGTTTTAGGGGGGGTTCTGCTTCGGTTTCCAAGTGTTGGGTTAAGGTTACTTAAAGAATCATGAGACTTGGTAAGTAGGGTTACAGTTAGGGTAACCATACTTATAAGCCCAATTAAGGTACTTATAACCTTACTTACTAAGTCCCGTGATCCTCCATTATAGAACCCTTATAGATCCCTTTAAGGATCCCTTTAAGGAGCCCTTTATTATAGACCCTACCCTTAAAGGAACTACTAAGTCCCATGACCCGCGAAGTAAGGGATTCTCTTCCAGGGATTAAGTGTGTGTGTGTGTGTGTGTGTGTGTGCGCAGTACGTGGCTTAGCTTGAACATATTCCGAAACCCTTAATTATAGAAAGCCGTTAGCGAAACCCTCACGAGACCCTGATGTCTAAACCCCTTCCTTTCCCTAACCCCCCCAAAGCCCTCAGGTGGAGTCCTTCTTGGAGTCCTTGCGCTTCCCTGTGGAGCCAAAGGTCGCGTGCCCAAGTATTCGAAGTTCTTGGGGCTTGGCCTTCTACTATACCTTAACCCGGAATAACCCACCTGGTTTTCATGGACTTATATGAGGAAGTCATAATAAGGAACCCTAAAAAGGTAGGTTATTCAGGGTTAAGGTAGTCTACTATACCTATGGTCTCCGTTGTAGTTCCGTTTGGGGGTTACCTTATAGGATCACTAATATATAACTGGTTAAACCAAGAAAAGGAACTACCATGGAGACTATAGGCAGGTTCTATAAGGGCTTTTTTGGCTTGTTCTTCATCATGGGGTTTGACAGGATTTTCAGCATGGTGATGTAGGAAGGGGCTTCATACGGCTGTCGTAGTGCAAAGAAGCGGGTGTAATTGACTTTGCCTGTTATTGAAGCGATGTTACCGTAGAAGTAATAAGTGTGCATACGCCCCTGTCTTTTTGTAGCATGTCGAGGGTTTCATAGTGCTCTGGGAGCTTACAAGGGCTTTAGGGTTGAGGGGCTGGGCCTGGCGAAAGCATTTTGGACAAACATTTTCATGGCTTTAGAAGTTATAGTTATAAGGTTTAGGTCTAAGGGTGTTGTGGGTTTAGCTTTTTGGGTTTGGAGGTTTAGTTCGGAAATGTCATAGGATCTTAAGGGTTTAGCATCCAAGGCCTAAAGAATGGTTGTCAGAGCTGACAGTGACCACCGAATAGGGCTCGAGGTTACGGGTCAAGGTCTTCCGGTGCAGGATGTAGGGTCGGGGATTAGACTAAGTGCTCCTTGAAAGTACTCTCGTTTGTGGCCGTGCAACATGCTTTGCCACTGGTGTTCGCTACATCTCTCCTTCCTAGTAATGTTGATGCTTTCCATTTTTCCTCAGTAAGGTTATGGCTGTGACAACCTTAAGCCCGAAGCGAAAACCTGCTAGAGACCTTGACATCCACCCCTCGATTCCCTGCAGTTACAACCAAGAGGAGCGCCTTCGAAACACGCTCGGGACCCAGAACCCTACGTCCCTAAAATCTTGATCCCAAAGGTAAGCCACACCTTTAACCACCAAGCCCAAAAGACAAACCAATACAAACACAGACCCACATAAAGGTGCGAGAGCCACTCCGTTTGCACGAGAAGATGCAGGAGATGGTGAATGCGCAGGCAGGGGATATGTATCGGTTCTGTGTACGGAGTGTATGAAGTGCAGGTACACCTTACATCATGTACTAGACTTCAGAACAAGTTATAGCCTGAAGCAGCGAAGCCCCGAATCCTAAATCGTGCTTTGATTCTCGCCTACTTGAACCTCAAACCTTCTTGGTTTCTGCAGGCTCACATCATGACTGCCGACGAGAAGGCCGCCTTGTGTGAACTAATGAACCACGGGCTTGGTCGGTTTAGAGTTTCTCAAAAACAAGACGACCGGTAGCCAACTCAGTTTGGCCATGACTGTCATAGTATGGACTCAGAACACCGGTCACTGTCTAGTTTTCCCTTGAGCAGAAAACACCTCATAAATAGCAGCCACATCAACGAAGATGGAATCGTCATTTTTAACGAGCAGCAGCAGCAGCAGCAGCAGCGGCGAAAGCACCAGAGAAATTGCTACGCCTACCACCAGCAACCTAACAAGAGCACCTGCACCACCTACAAGCACTAACCAAAGGAGAAGCACTCAATACACCAAGCGCGACAAGCATGCAGCAACGAGAGCCACGGCCACAAGCCGCAAGCAACAGTATATAGTATAGACCGTGACATGGACACGAACGCAACCAGCTGCACAGAAGGAACACAAACGAGCCGCAGCACAACCTAAACAATACTGCACACATCACCATGACTATACACAGTTCGGTCAACACAGCTCTCAAAACTGTAATGATACTTCGTAGTGGCAATAATAGTCATAGCAACGATAGCGGTTAGGGCCTAGGGGGGAGGCGGGGTAGGGGACTATACTTCCTGAAATAGGCAGCATTAAGTATTAAGTCCTTAGGGAGTTAGGGGGAAGGGGCGGTAAGGGACTGTACTTCCTTGCATAGGCCGTGTTAAGTCCTTAGTATATGTATGAAGGTTCCCTACCCCCCTCCCCCTACCCCCCTAAGGGTCCTTTTGAATTTTCGGGCGCTAGAGATTGAAAGCATCATGAACATGGGAAGTGCGGAGTGCAGGCCCTACATGTTCTAGCTTCAGAACTTTTCAGGATGCCCAGTAGTACCCTTATTCCCATCAATACCAAAAAGAGAGGCCTTTTTATTCTTAGGTTACTGGGTATCCTAGCTTTTCAGGTGCCACCAATCCCAAACCCTTGCGACCTTGTCCAAGACACAGAAAAGCCCTAGAACTATCAAAGCTCCATGGGCTTCCTGTAACGTTTTCAACAACCTACTGTAGGGGCATCAAAATTACCTATCCTATGTTTGGGGTTCCTTATGGTAATCATGGTTTAATATACCCCAACACCACATTCTAATGTATTAAGGCCCCTATAGTACTTCTATCAAGGTCTAAGCCCTAAACTCTAAACCGTAAGACCCAGGACGCTTGCGCAAAGCTTATCGATGCAGCGGCCGGGGGCGGTGGTGGCGAGGGCGGTGAGCTGGGCGCGGAGATCACCCGACAGCAGGATTCTTGGGGTTTAGGGTCTAGGGGTTTAGGGATCGCCCGACACCAGGTTTCTTCGGATCTAGATGCTTCAGTTTACCTAATGTTGGGGGGTTTAGGGTTTGGCGGTGATCCCCTACCCTAGGACCATGAAGCACAACTAGCCGTGTAAACTAATCAAGCCGCATCGCTTGCCTGCTTCTTGGACTTTTATTTGTGGGGAGCAACGGTTGTGGAAATTGATTTCAGGGTTCCAGGCTTTGGCATGGGTTGAAGCATGGGTTCATGTTGACACTGATTTGGATGAGGAAGGATACCAGATGGACTTCTTGATGAACATGCGCTGCTTCTGCTGTGGGTCATGATGATCATGATGAACATGATCGTGTGATGGTGATACACTGATACACCGCGAGTGCTACCGACTTGGACGATGATGGCAAGCATGTCAATAGGATGACACATAAGTACGGCGAAGAAGACTGTTGCAGTCAAACTGATGTTGGCTACGGCCACGGCGGTGCTGCTGATGATGATGAAAAACATGTGAGACTATGCCACTGTTGCGCCGCTGCTTCCACGGTTCCAACTCACACTGCAGAAAAGCTTTGCTGTAAGTTGTTCCGGTCTCGCTGCGTCACTAGAACCACTAGGTCATAGGACCTAGTTCAGGATTTAGAGTATGATCGCTGCGAGTTTGGACTTTCCAGGCTCAGGGCGTTTTGGCTGAGTGCTCCTGCTCAGTAGTAGAGATAGGTAGCCTTTAATGATTCTTAATGTTTTGGGAGTACTGTACTCCCTATATACAATATGACCCCAAAGGTTAACCTGTAGCTGTGTTATGAAGGAACAGCAGTTCTATGTGAGGGTTTCCGAAAGTTAGGGGTACCTTAGTTTGGAGTCCTTGTAATAAGGATCCTACTTCTTAGGGTACTATATTAGGGTCCCCTATTTTCGGAAACTCCCATGTTCTGCATCAACTCATGCACTGCCATTATGGATTCCGACCCCAAAAGACCATCCCTATTATGGTTCTGGGGACCTAGACCAAAGTTGTTGCATAGATAGGGGCCTTAATCAATTAGAATAAGGTTTTGGGGCCCATTACACTATAACTATCATGAGGAGCCCCCAAGATAGTAAAGGTAATTATTTAGGCCCTACTCTAAACCCCTAAAATACTCCTGATAGTATCCCTTCTGGACACCTTTAAAAGGAACCCTTGAAGGAATTCTTAGGTAATTAGTTAGGCCCCTATAGTATGTATGATGGAGCGTTGTACCTTAAACCCTGTAGAACCCTTAAAGGACCCCTTGAAGGAACCCTTATAGGGACCCTTAAAGGACCCCTGAGTGAAAATGGGAGTTTCCGAAAATGAGGGGACCCCAGTGTAGCACCCTAAACAGTAGGATCCTTAGTATAAGGATCAAAATAAGGTACCCCTAATTTTTGGAAACTCCCAAACTCTGAACCCTTATGGAGCCTTGTACTTTAAACCCTATAGAACCCTTAAAGGACCCCTTATAGGGACCCTTAAAGGACCCCTTAGTGTACAAGGGAGTTTCCGAAAGTTAGGGGACCCCAATTTAGTACCCTAAATAGTCGGATCCTTATTGTATGGACCCCAAAATACGATACCCCTAGTTTTCGGAAACTCCCATATGGAATGGTTGGGTAAGGAGACTTGCAGGTTCCTTTCTCCTCTAATTGTTCAGGAACTTCTGCACCGTCGAGCTCGGAAAAAGAGCCCTAAACCCTAAACCTTACTTGAAGGTTCATGGGTAGTTCTAATATGGGTTATTATGGTTACCCTACTTATCACTCTACTTATATCTACCCATGGAACCTCTAAGTAACCCTTAATCTTAAACCCTAAGCCCAAGCGATGAAAGGGCAGACCACCACTTGAGTACAGGCTGGAGAAGGATGATCAGCACTACAAGATCATCCACGTCCGAACCGGCAGTGCCCGAGCACCGACAGCATAAACCCTGAACCCCGGAGTTCATCGACGATTCCTGGGACATCGAGAACAACCACTCCACAGAAAGCGCTTGCCCGGTTCTTCGGAGTGGCTCGGATGTCACGCAGCAGCGGAGAATGATCAGCGCTGTCCTGGGCCGAAGCAAGTTCGGTGCGATCATTCAGCTTGCTAAGAATGCTTGGTGTAAGTATGGTTATGAGTACCTTATATAATTAGGGGTATAAGTATAGTTACCCTAATTATAACCCTAGTTACCAAGTCCCCATGATCCTTCAAGTGAGCTCCAGCTCCAGCTGCACTCGACCCCAACAGCCTTAGCAGCCCGAACTTGACTTCGCAGCCCTGACCCCCGTTAAATCCTTAAACCTCTCAACCCGAGACCCCCAAAGGCCCTAGGCCCCTAAATCCTGTTCTGTTCTGTTGTTGGAACTGTCAGACGATGTACTCGCACCTAAATCCTAAACCGATCCGAAGCCCCAGCAGCGAGGATGCTGGCAAGGGCACGTTGGTATTCCTCTAAGTCTAAAATGGGTACATTTTTCGGATTCCTTTAAAGGGACCTAAAAGGGTTTCTATAAAGGTACATTGGGGTCCCTTTTGGGGTCTTTCTATCACGGTGCCGTACAAGTTTGGGGGGGCTAGAAAGGGACCTGATTTGCATTTTCCCCTTCCAGGAGAAGGAGCAAGAGAAGCAGCAAGAGAAAGAGAAGGAGGTGGAGGTTCATGTTGGGCGAGAACGTGAGCGAGAGGCGGGATATCAATACCATTTTTTGGGGGGGGCTCCTTACTACAATTATAGTATAATGGGCCCCCAGAACCCTATGCTAATTATTAAGGCCCCTACATTATTAGCCTCGCATGGGCAGCGACTGGACTTCAAAGCTCTTTGAGTGCATCGAAAGTCGAACGATCCAACCTTCACACCCTGAGAGCTCAGCCCATCGACGCCCTAAACTTGTGCACCAACGACCTTTAAGCCGATCTTTGCCAAATCTCTGACGTATATAGAACCCAAACCCCTGGCCGTTTCCCGTCGCCCCACAAACTCCTCAGCCCTGAACTCTAGACTTTCAGCATGCGCCAAGCAGAAGTCCTGGTTCAAATCCCAAACCTGAGGCTGGACCCTGAACGATGCATCCCTCAATCCGAAAAAATCTGTCTCAATACTACATACAAGAAATACTAGACCCTATAAACCCTAAACCCCTAAACACTAAATGCTGATCCTGATAACTCCAGCCTCGACCCTGGTCCAAACTGAAGCCTTCATACAGTAGAAGCCCAAAAGTTGGAAACCCCATAGCCTCAATCCTTAAGAGCAAGGTAAAGGGAATCCCAGCACTATTTGGCCTTAATCCGGTTTCCAACTTTCTGGGGTTTGCTGTAAACCAATCAAGCCCCCACGCCGACCGAGTCTTTACCTTCGAGTCCTTAAACTTACCTCCCTCGACCTCGAACCAAAACCCGAAAGCCCAAATGCCCCAAGTCCCTAAACGCTTAAATCCTCAACCCCTTAACCCGCAACTCTTGAATAGTAAATCCGGAAAACTGAACCTCTCGAGGTGGAGTGGCCTCTCAAAGCCTTGGGTGACTCCGACCTATCGGAGCAGGCAAGACAGGAGTTTTGGGTTTAAGGAATTTAGGGTATTTAGCGTGTACGTTTTCGGGAGTTTATGTATACTGTATAGGCATAAGGTTCCCCAGTAGTACCGAGTTGCCCTTTTTTGGGGGGCTCCCTTATTAACACCAAACAGTAGGGATTTAGGGTTTATAATAGCTGAATTAGGGAGTATACGGTCTAGGCTGTTTTGGGTTTAGGCCATTTGGGGCTGAAGATGTTTAAGGTTTTGGGGTGTTTAGGGTTGAAGGTTTATGTTTGAGGGCAGGCACGTGGCATGCAGAGATTTCGGGTCAGATAGACTGAGATTGACAGGTTGGAGGGTGTTGGATCACATCAATTTGTTTGGTTTGCATGAGGATCTATGGGTTCAATTCTGTTGGGGGCTGTGTCTAAGTTGTTGTGAGTATGACTCATGATCAGACGTTAACATTGTCAGGGTTCAAGGGCTTTGGGTGCATGGGTTTGGAAATCAGGGGTTAGTAGAGTTTCTCCACCATCCTTATCTTTTATCATTTGTATTTGAGCTTTGTTCGTTATATTCTTCGCAGTATGGATACTCATGATAACCTTGTTATTGTTGTCATGTTTATTGTAACTATGATGATTATCATTTTAACTGTGATTGGTGTTATGTTTGTTCTGAAGATTGTTACGACGATTCTGATGACTGTTCTTACGAGTATATTTTAAAGTATGGCTGTTGCTTAGTGTTACTCCTTTTCAGAAAACCTGCAGGTCTTCATTAGTCTTGTGAATATCCTCATGATTGTTCTTTCGTAGCTTATTCTGGGCAATACCAATACAACAGAACTTGCTGGTATCATAGTAGGACCCCTTTTTGATATAAGGAATATTCCTTCATTAAGGGATATTGGAGTCTCTGGGAACCCAAAGCCCTGCCAGGTCTTCTTCAAGCTGTCAAACTTCAAGATGTCCGGTCTAAAGACCCGGCTGAGCCCTGGGCGATGACAGATCTTATCTCAAGGTTTAGGGGTAGGGTTAGGGTTTAGGGTTCCTTTATAGGGTACTATAAGGTACTATAAGGGCTCCTTCAAGGGATCTATAGGTTTAGTTAAGGTTTACGACTTCGAAGTCTAATTGCATGCGATGCAATGTGCGTCACCTGCTTTGCCAAGCATGATGGGCATGACCTTGCCGCATCGTGTCGCTAACTCTATGCACCAGCTGTTTTGTTTGCATTTCTGCATTCGTTTCCAGTTCTAGGCGCATTGCCATGGAATAGGTTCCGACCAACCCCCACATTGTGCACATCCTTTGATATGCTCCTCTCACGAGTCAAACTTAGAGGCAAACAGGAGCTTCACTTGATCCTAGACCCGGCAAGCTGCTGCGACCTCATCAACTCGACACCCTCAGACCCCATTGTTAATGCGCATTCGGTGGTTTGATATTAGTGCCCTTTCCATTGCTTTTCAAGCTTTCGATGTTCAGATAGTTTGGTTGCACTCCTTTCAGAACCACATGTATGTCTGTGAAGCTTCGTATAAACTAAGCCCTACAAATCCTAAAACCCTTGCGGTGGTAAGCTGGCCGAAATCCTAAACCCTATGCCTTTTTGAGCCCTTATAGATCCCTTAACGGAACCTTAAAACCCTGAGGAAATGCAGCGGTTCCGCGCTGATCTCCTCCAACCACACTGCCAATGCTCTCGCCTCGGTTTGGGCAGGGTTTCGGATCTCGAGTCCAGCATTGCGGGGCAAAATAATAGTAGTATGCACAAAAAGAATAGTAGGAATATTCATAGTAATACTATTTGTTAATAGTAGTAATAGGTTTTTCTATCTCTTGTTTGGGCTTCAGGGCTCAAGGTTTCGATTCTCTGCTTTCGGCCTCAAGGGTTAGTGAATGGGTTTGAAGGGCTTGGGGAGAGTTTATGGCATTACCGTGCTGTCCTTGTATACTTAAAGGATCATGGGACTTAGTACCTGGGCTTGTAAATAGGGTGACTACACGTACTTATGACCCCTATTGAGGTACTTATAACCTTACTTACTCAGTCCCATGATCCTCCAAGTACATGGGGTTTTTGGGTTTGTGATTTAGCTGGGTTCACATCGCAGCTTCCAGAGGTTTAGTTTACGGTTTGGGGTTTAGGTAGTAGAGCGTATTGCAGGGTCTTTTCCAGGTTGAGAGTTTATTCCAGGCTTAGAGTTTAGTAGAGGTTCTTGCAGATGCAGGGATTTCGTAGGGTCTATGTGACATTTGAGAGTTTCCGAAAACTTGGGATACCATATTTTGGGGTCCTTATGATAAGCATCCTACTATTCAGGGTACCATATTTGGGTCTCCAATTTTCGGACACTACCTTATAAACCTGAAGCCCTAAGCCCTAAACCCTAAACCCTGACCTGAAGATGCCGATCTGGCTGCAGGACCTTTCATCGCTGACAGCACGCCGGATGAAGTCCGTGATTCTCCTCTTCGTGCTTCTTGCATGCCATAAGGAGTACTTTACACCTTAAGCTTCTTTAAACTTTAAAACCCCACCTGATCCTGAAAGCCCTACCTTTTTCAGGACTTCTAGAGGGAGATCATAATACGGAGCCCTAAAACAGGTAGGTTTCTTAGTGTCCGGGTAAAGGGTGCGTTCAACTGTAAGCTTGCTTGAAGCCTGAGCCCGATCTATAGTCCTGGTTGGACCTTTAGGGTTTAGGGTTTAGGGTTTAGGATTTAGGGTTCAGGGTTTAGGGTTTAGGATTTAGGGTTTAGGATTTAGGGTTTAGGATTTAGGGTTTAGGATTTAGGGTTTAGGGTTTTCTTGGAGGATCATGGGACCTAGTAAGTAAGGTTATAAGTACCTTCATTGGGGTTATAAGTAGAGTTATCTTAATTATAACCCTAGTTACTAAGTCCCATGAACCTTTAAGTAGGGTTTAGGGTTGAGGGCCTCCGCTCTCGCTTGGCCAGATCGTCGGAATGCGAAGCCGGCATCAGGCAAAGCTAGTTTCACTCTTCAGCATTTAGGATTTACCGGGGCCCTGTGAAACCTAGACATGACTTAGGGATACTTAGGGCTCCTTATGATGATTTCCTTAGATACGCCCTCAAAATGGTAGGCTATTCCGGGTCCAGCTACTTGGAGGTTCATGGGTAGTTATAAGTGGGGTTATAAGCAGGGTAGCTATAACTATAACCCATACTAGGGGACTTTTAACCCCACGTATAACTGCCCATGAACCTCCAAGTAGGGTTCAGGGTTCCAATGCTTCGTCTTGGTTTCATGCATAGAGAGGTTCACCCTATCCCTGGGGCTCCACGTACCCATATGGGTGGTTGTCAAAATGAAGGGCCCTTTTTGCGCACCCTAAACAATAGGTGCCGTATTATAATAGGGACCCAAATTTTGACAACCACCCATATAGTATAGACTGAGGCCTTACAAAAGTTCCTTGTTTAATTCTTGGTGCTTTAAGGCCCAGGTGGTACGAGATTCAGCTCGAAGCGCTGAACCCTACATCCACAAGACCTAGGATTTAGGAGTCTTGGGTTTAGGATTTGAGGGTCTAGGGTTCAGAGGTTTAGGGTAGTACTCCCGCGAAAAGACGAGGCATGCTGCAAGTAATGTTGGGGTGTTGTGGTACATTACACTACCGTGGAAACGGAAACTGCAAGGAAAAGTATGAGGAAATATCTAGGCTTTACAAGACCCAACTGAGTCCCCTGCGTGCTAACATCTCCTCCCCTTCCCCCGCACATAACCTTCTGGATTCAAAAGTGAAAATGGACCTTTGCTGTGGGTCTGACTATTCGTGTCGCTTGTTTCTGTTGCTGCATTTGTGATTCCGGTTGATTACATACCGTGTGATTCTGAGAATTTGCTTTTGAATGTCAGTTCTATTCGTGCATTGAATTGCCTTTAACCCTCAGCGCCAAACCCTCAACAGGAACCATAAACCCAAAGCCGTAAACCCTAGAATTACTCGTCTAGCTGAAAGATCAGGCTTCCTCACTCCAGCGGCACGAAGACAATCGCTGTGTCCATGGCAGAGGCTAGTAGGAGGGTGTAGTTGCCGCAGAGCCGGTAATCTTTAAATTGCTACTTGCAGGATCAAGGGATTTAGTAAGTAAGGTTATAAGTATTCTAATTGGTTATAAGTATAGTTACCCTAATTTTAAACCCTAGTTACTAAGTCCCATGATCCTTTAAGTACTGGAGGTGCGATTGTCGTGAGACATGGCTAGTGTTTATGAGGGCTCGGAGGATATTACAGCTGTTGTTTTTGCAGGATAGTCCGGAAAGTTTGCATTGTCGGGGTGGGTTCGGGAGTTAGGATTTTAGGGCGGCGCTCACGAAACCTAACCCGTAATTTAAGCCTGAACCACAGTTCGGGGCTCGGCGCCTGGAGTTTCTAAACGCCAAACCCAGAGACTCCAATATCCCTTCATTAAGGAATATACCTTAAATCGTATTAGGGATCCTACTATAATTTGAAGTATATTCCTTAATTAAGGGATATTGGAGTCTTTGGGAAGCTTGAACCCTGAACCCTAAACCCTGGGACTGCCTGGCCGCAGGCGGCTGCGCTGAGGCGTGCAAGCCATCTCAGCAGTGAGCACCTTCAGACGGCTTCGCTCTGGGTCAGCTCAGGCGGGTTCAAAGTTCAGGGTTTGGGGGTTTAGGGTTTTGGGGTTAGGCTTTTGGGGTTCAGGGTTTAGAGTTTAGGTTTCGTCCACCGGTGTGGCGAAACTGTAGCCATAAGCATCTCTTGAAGCAGTATGCCTGTGATTCTGGCGGTAGTGCCAGAAGTGTCTGCATCCACAGTAACTTTATAAACACTAAACCCTACGTCCTCATTTTTTAGCCGACTACCACTGTTGTTATTCCTACTGCCGCTGCTGCTCTGTGGCCACTAAGCGAACGGTACGATCAATACGAACCGCAATGCCTGCCCGAACTGACCAAAACCCAGTTCACAGATCCCTTCTGGTCCGTACTAGTGAGTATTGGGCACAATGGAGGGTAGCGGGGGGATCTAGGTCAGCCTGAAAGCCGCAGACGAAGCATGTTTGAAATAGCCACAGACCAGACAGTGCGGCTGTTTCCCGACATCAATTGTCTTAGTCGTGCAACGTACTAGTACAAATACCTAGTAGAACTGCCAACAGCATTCAGACTGACAGTGTACTGTATCTTAACTGTTGGCCAAGAACACATGAGTGCAGAATATGAGAAAAAGGGGTAGGGCGAAGCTCTGATGTGGAGCAGAATGAGGAAACTGAGAACTGATGCTTCTTCTATCAACCACAACCACAGAAGTATATAGCACGTGTTAGCCATGAGCCCCTTGTTCGGCCTCGACAATTCCTGCCAAACTGCCAACCCGGAGCCCGAAACCTCAACCCCACGCTCTAAGCCCCGAAGACTTTGGAGGATCCAAGAAAGTTCCAGAGTCATCGCAAAATTTGTCCGCAGCTCAGAATCCTCATTTAGGTTGCAGGTTAACGTCGACATGCTGCACAGCTCCGCATGCATTGAACAGACATGTTATGGCTGAAAGCTCCAGTTCTGGCTTCTTGCAAGTAGGAAAACAAGCTCGAAGATGTTGCCTTGCAGAAGCCTCCAGCTGAAATTCAGAGTGAAGTCGCCATTTACACTGATTTGCTTGCTTGGTTTCGTAATCAAGATCGACCTGTCAACCCCGAATAGTTTTTCGCATCTGCTTCACCGACTCACGTAAGCCGAGAATTCGAGCCTTGAAACCCCAAGCAGTCAACGCAAGATGCTCAACACAAAAGCTTATGTTTAGGGTATGAAGCGCAGGACTCAACAGTAGTCATTGTGCAAGTGTGTTTGCTGCTAATGGAGGCTTAAGACTCTCTTCAGTCGCTGAGGCTCAGCGGTGAAGGAAGCTACGGATCACCAGAATCCGGTGTTCTCAAGGCTTGCTTGCTTTTGGTGGGTCTATGGCATTTTTGGGGGGTTGCAGGTCTATGCTTGCTTTTGATGGGTCTACGGCATTTTGGGGTTACAGTGTCTATGATTGTAAGGGGCATTCTGTTGTCGTTCCGGTTTTTCAGGACATACATAAGGTTTATGGCCATCGGTTCATGGTGCTTTTAACAGGGATCCCGTAAAGCTCGAGAGCCCGACCAAGCGAACACCCATCGCACCCTAAGCTACTTCCACACAAATTGGGAGGGTCCGAAAAGTGGATCCCGTAATGGGGGGGTTACTATAGAGTCGCCTTTATTAGCCTAGGTAGTACTTACAGGCTCATGGGTAGTTATAAGTGTGGTTATAAGTGGGGAACCCTAGTTCTAACCGGACTTATAACCCCACTTGTAACTACCCATGGACCTTCAAGTAGAGGTTCCCAAACTAGGGCATCTACTGTTTAAAACTCCGGCGGATCTGGGTTGAGCTTTTCAAGCGGCCCGAGGCCCCGTGACTTTACCCTACCTGGAGGAACAGGGCCTTTAGTAAATGGGGTTATAAGTTGCTGAGTTGTGGTTGTACATAAGCAGAACAATACCCCTACTTCTATCCCCACTTACGAAGTCCCACGATCCTTTAAGTAAGCCTTGCAAAAGCCGTATAACGCTTCGGTAAGACCCTAGGAAACCCTAAAGCCCTTTTTCAACCCCAGAGTCCCCTTTCTGTGGCAGCTCTGGCATTAGGGTTTAGGAGTTTAGGGTTTAGGGGGTTTAGAGGGTTTAGAGGGTTTAGGGTTTAGAGGGTTTAGAGGGTTTAGGGTTTAGAGGGTTTAGGGTTTAGGGTTTATGGGTTTTGGCGAGGCACTCAGGTTGGAGGCGGCGCGATTGCTGCTCCGCTTCTTCAACTGCGAGTTGGACTTCAGGCGAGGACGGGGTTGAGTTTAGGGTTCAGGGTCTGGAATGTAGCGTCGGGGTTTTGACTACGGTTTTCCACCTAAGTTCTTCCACGACTCTATGAGTGTGTCGGGGTTCGTGGCTTGTGTTGAGGGCTGCTCAGGGTATGGGGGGAATGAGGAGTCCTGGTGTTGCTTTCTTTTGTCGCTTTGCTGCTGCTGTTGGCATCCATGTTTCGAGTCGAAAGTATCTCACTTGTACTAGAGCAGACTACTTCATATTCCATTATAGCACACTAAGTATTTTACATTCTATTAAGACTAAGACTACATCATGTTACACTAGAAACTTAGGAAGGTTTCTAGTCTTTGCATTGCTTCGAAGAAATACGCAAGGTTGCCGAAGCCGTTCTTCTGCATCGTCAAGGGAACACCCACCACTGACTTAGAAGCAAAACTCTCCATCGCATGGGTGATTGTCAAAATTATGGTCCCTTTTGTGGTCCCTATTATAATACGGCACCGATTATTTAGGGTTCCCAAAAAGGGACCCTAATTTTGACAACCACCCAAAAGCAACCGCGAGAGGATCTCTCAGCTCGCTTTTAACACATAATAATAAGTCGTTCCATCAGCCCTAGAAGGCTCCGGGTTTGAGCCAAGGAGAAGCCTCACGATGTCAAGCGCAGGCATGTAATGTGAAAGTAGGCCCCGGATGCCCCAACCCCATGTAAGTGCAACTGCTGCACTCGACGTACCGATCGCGAAGACGACGACAACGACCACGAGGATAACGATAACGACGACTAGGACACCGACCGTTTGTACCGGCAGCATCATCACGATCGCGATGCTGCTCATGGCCAAACTACTTTGTAGTTTTTTGTTCGTCATCATCAGCATCATCAGTCTCATCATTAGTTAATATGCCCATACCCCATTCATGATTGCAATTTCGATGATGATCGGCATCGTCATTTCAGTCGTGCTACCCGTCATTTCTGTTGGGGTCATCCTCAGTCTTGCGCGCTTTCCATCCTCCAGAAGGACCTTGGCATGCACGAGATTGGATGTAGGAACCTCTCAAGATCCTGTGGCAACCCCTATAAACCCCGAAGCCCTAAACCCGAACCCCTATAGAACCGACTGGATTGAATTAGTTTTCAAGGGTCTTAGCGTTTTATTGCATCCTTCTTCGCCTGAAGGCCGGAAGAGGTGACCAGCAACGTGGCTGCAGACACGAAAGCTTAGACTCTGGCAGCTCAGGGTCTAGAGTTTAAGCTGGGATTTGGGTTAAAGGTTTATGTTTTCCTCTGGGCATCTTCGGACATTTTGACGGAGTGGACATCCCGCTCTGACAGCGTTGGGATTGTTGTCTGTGAACAAGTACCAGGTTGCACGCGAGCACGGAATGTCTTGGGTGGCGCCATCGTCTTTTTTGGCTGGTTATGGTCGTGGGCTACCCGGTCGGTGTGCGCCATTGGCGTTCCGTGGCTCAGGACCCATCCTAAAAATGGACCGAGAACCCTTCTAGAAACACTCATAGGCACCTTTATCGCACACCCTAGAAAATCCATGCACCCCCAAAGCCTAAACCCGAAACCCTTTGATTAATCTGTAGCCTATCATGGAAACCCCGTCAACCAGCCCTAAACCCCGCAGCACTAAGACTCCAGGTATGGTGAAGCCCTCCAGATCGAGCAAGCTTTATCGTACCCGTACTTAAAGGATCATGGGACTTAGTAACTAGGGTTATAATTAGGGTAACTATACTTATAACTCCAACTAAGGTACTTATAGCCTGACTTACTACGTCCCATGATCCTCCAAGTATCCCTTCCAGCACAATCCTATTCGTGTTGTGGGAGTTTCCAAAATAGAGAACCCTAATACAGTACCCTAAATAGTAAGATCCTTATTATAAGGACCCCAACATAAGGTACCACTAATGTTCGGAAACTCCCTTATCAAAGCATCTTAAGCCATAAACCCCAAACGCTTAACTCTCAATCCCAAGCCCTATCCTCCCCAACCTTTATTTTAACTCTTCACTGGCACCCTCTAAAGAAGCCCATCTACCGTATCCTTGTACCCTTATAGTAACCCTTACAGTAACCCTTACAGAGCCCTCTAAAGGTGCCGATCAACAAGAATCGTAGAACCGCAATCATGGAATAAAAATCAGGGGGCCTGACTAGTAGGGTTTTAAGTAGGGTAGCTATAGTATAATAACCCTTGCAGAGCCCTGTCAACGAACCCTTGAAATAGGATTTACAGATTAGTAACCCTTTAAGGTAGAAGCCAGAAAGTTGGAATATGATTATCCTAACCCTTCTATGGTAAATTATAGGGTATCCTACCATGAAACCATATTCCAACTTTCTGGAGTTCCCTGTACTAAACTCAACCCTTTAAAGTCTCAAGCCTCAACCCTAAACTCTCAAGCTTAAACCCGAAGCTTTCAACCCGTAACTCGGAACCTACAGAACCATTACATAAAGCCCTTAACCAGAACCCTGAAGAACTGTGACCCCTAAACTCATACACCCCCTACCCTCAACCCTAAACCCTTCGCCCGTAGCCTGCCCCTCCAAGGCGACCCTTTCAAGGAACCCTTAAAGTCTTAACGGAGGCACAGTGAAGGCCATTGAGTCGGGAGGCTCCGCCCCGAAGCAGCGGCAGCACTTCGTGGAGCAGCGCAGCTGCAGATGTGGGGGGGGGGGGGGGGGGGGGTTCTGGCTTTTGTTGACATAACACCCAAGCGAATATTGAAAATGTTTTTTTTTTTTTTTTATGATGGATCTGCGGGGCTATAGTCATTGGGTAGGGTTTGGGGTTTATGGCTTAGGGTCTGTAGGGTTTTAAGGGTTTTGGTTTCTTTGCATATAACGTTCTCTTCCAGGGTTTTGTGTTCTGGTACTCAGCTTTTAGGGTGTCTTAAAGGGTTTGGAGGGCTTTATAAGGACTGAGGTTTCGGAGGCGTTTAGAGTATACCTATAACAGAGAGGTCTGAGGAAGAGCGTTTTGTTATTCAGGCATATATATATATACATGTGTATATATATATATGTATACATATAAATAAATAAGTAAATAAAAAATATACATATGTATATATATATATATATATATATATGTATGTAAGTATGTGTATATATATATATACAGGTGCTTGAACAAGTAGTACTGACATGTTTGAAGGTTCCCGATACACTTCTTGTACGAAATCTTCGGGGTGCTGGGTTTGGGATTGTCCATGAACACCGATAGGAAGTTTCGAGCAGGGTTTAAGAACCACAAGCCTACTAGATTGCTAAGTCGGTTGATCCTCCGAGTTATGATTGGGGTTCAGAGTTTCGGGGTTTGGGACTTCGGCTCTCATTTTCATGTTGGCGTAGGCCTTCACATACCCTTTGGTAGTGTGCCCCTGATTATAGATCAAGGTTGTTGATGAGAAGGTTCTCTTGTAGGATGTGTTGCCCTTGACGTGATGATGCGTGATGACAAGGGTTGATTAAGAGGTGGTCAAGCTTTGGGGTTTAGGGTTTAAGGGTTCAGGCTTCAGGGTTTTCTGGTGGGGCAGGTGTTGGATCAATTCGGCAGCGCTTAGCCTTGACAAGGACCGTGCTGACCGCCCGTCGTCGGGAAGCCTGTGCATGGAGGGACACTCCCTTGGGCATCCTGTTTGCATGTGTGTTTTTCTCTGAGTTGGGGTACGTTTGAGGTTTACTTTCAGGGAGGGTCCAAAGCGAACCTCAGGTGTTGGAATTTAGATGATGATCCGGACTCCTCCCATAAAACAACTCCACTTGCCAAGGTGATGCCCAAGACTTTCCATGTGGGTGATATTCTTCTTCGGAAAGCCCCAGACGTTGAAGCCCTGACATGATAGCGGGAAACCGACTCCGTGCATGGTAGGTCGACTATCGGGATTCTCCTGCTTCCGGGAAGTCCACATAAACCAGTCGCCACTACACTACCAGAGTCTGAATCAACGACAATAACAACAGCATCGCAACCAAACTTCTTCCCAACGGAGAGCGATTTCGGTGTAGGAACTGTATGCGCAGTGAATAGACTTGCAATGTCGATTTTCAGAAGCACATTAATCGTTTGTTGCTAACGATGTAACATGGCGAGCCACAAAGTTTTGGTTTTGCAGTGATACTCAGCGTGGTACATGTAGTAATACAGGGCATGCCCCTGTTGTAGCTTGGGAAGCTCGATGAGGGATTCAGAGAGAAGAAAGCTTCCAATTCGTGAAGGAATATTCATCTTGCATACTTTATACGCCGTAATGAAGGAATGCTACGCCGTAAAGAAGGAATATTCATTCTCCTTATACTGCATTCCTTACAAAGATTCGTGGAAAACAGGGTCTTACCGTATGATAAAAAGTAACAACTGGTAGCAGCAGCAAGCAGTTAAGAGGGGGTCATTATCATACTTATGGTTTGGTGGGGCCCAAAACCCTATTCTAATTACTAGTAACCGGCCGCTATATTACCAACCTTTTCACAGACTGGGCATGAACCTTCAAGTAAAGTCCACCATCAGCAAAAAAGGAGCTGTGATGGATCGTCGGCCCACACTTCGTGCCCACCAATTAGGACTTTTCAAGTCAAAACACGATTTACCCTAAACCTTCGCAAACCCTCACCTTAATTCCCCACCCCCACCGAAAGCAAACATCTTGTGCAAGTGTACGTATATATGTAGGTATGCGAGCACATATGCATATGCAGACACCTAACAATCACACAATCCGATAAAACTCTTTAAGGGTTCAAAAGCCCAACAACGCTTGAGGTGAGATCGTTCGCGGCGACAGCGCGAAGCTTGAAGAACGAGAGCGCTTGGCGCAAAATTTGCCCGGAACTGAGCTCAAGGTTTCTACACAGTTTCTCGATGGGCTTGCAAAGGTTTAGGTAGGGCTTCGGGTGTAGAGGGTTTATGGAGTTTGCCGGCTCAAAGCATAGGACAAGGTACCCTATAAAACCCTCAAACCCTAAACCCCTAGATACCCAGAATTCAGGGCCATAAGGACTCTATGAACGGGTTCCTTGGGCCCCAGGAACCTCAAGATTCAACTAAACCCTCATCTTAGGGGGGGTTTAGGGGGTAAGGGTTTAGGGGCTCACGGGTTTAGGGGTTCAGGGTTTAGGGCCCAGTACTACCCTTATTCCCTTTTTTGTCTTCCTAGGTTCCCTATAAAGTTACCCAATACCAAAAAGGGAGCCCTCAAATTCCTAGGGTACTGGGCATCCAGTTATAGTGGCTCTCTGTTAGCAGCCTCTAAAGGAACCCTTCAAGGGACCCTAGACGGGGGTCCTTTGGGGTTTGGGGCTGTGGGCTCTGGATGTAAATAGGAGTTTCCGAAATTAGGGGTACCTTATTTTGGGGTCCTTATAAAAAGGATCCTACTATTTAGGGTACTATATTGTGGTCCCCTATTTTTCGGAAACTCCCAAATAGAGTGTGGCAGGCTCCCGAGCAGGATCTATGGAAGCTCTGAGCCTGGAATGGTAGCGGTTTTGCTTTGAGGGTTTATAGGGTTTGAGGGTTTTTTGGGGTGGCTTTCAGGGTTTAGGGTTCAGCTTTGAGGGTTTAGCGTTTTAGGGTTTTTAGGGCTTCCGGGGGGTTTACGAGCTGGGGTTTAGGGGTTAAGGGGCTTTGGGGTGAGGGGTTTAGGTTTACAGTTTGCTTCAGTGGAGTCCCGATGTAGATCCTTGCCCATTCAGCACGAAACAAAGGACTAGCTCCTCAACATTGAACCGTATCTGTGTCTTTATGAAAACTTCAGGTTCGTCCGGTTTCACGACCCGGCGGTCTGTCGAATTTTGGCGCAGCTTCGCCTGTGTGCGTGTGTGTCCTTTTTTTTGGCATCGGCTGAGGTTTCAGGAAGATTCTGGAAAAGGCCTTCCCAAGCCCCAAAACCTCCGACCCTATATAATTCACCGAATGCCAGATTCTAAGCCGAAGCTGTCACCCTCTAAGCTGCGAAACCCGAACCGACCCTAAACCCTTGCATGCATGAAGCCGGACCTGAACCTACCGAAAGTAAGGTTTGGCTTGATGTCGGCACGCTTCAAGAGCACCGGGGACTTTTTCAAAGTGCTGGATGTCAATGGTGACGGCACCTGGGCAGCCTATAGTAAGAAGAATGTGGCTGAGCGGGTATATTGTAACATAGAAATAAGGAGCACAAAAGGCATACTATTCCAATACTTGAGGCCCCTGTATTTGGGCGGTTCAGAGCCGTGGGCAGGGCTTCTTGGGTTTTTGCTTACAGTTTGCTGTGATGTACAGCATTTGCGGGCTGCGAGACCTTATCCAGCACCCTAAACCGTACACTGAAAAAGACCGCAACATTTTGGGAGTCGTTGAACGATACCCGTGGAGTCGTGTAAGATTCAGGTACTCTGGGTCGGTGGCGTGAGACTGCGAGTGTTTAGTTCAGTCTTAGGACTCGAATCAACTGCAATACACCTAGGCTTTTGGTACCTCTGCTGCTGGACTGGCGCTGGCTTGGTCTAAGTGTGCAATCAATGCCTACTTGGGGTTGTTGAAATCCATAGACCATGTTCCGGAAGCGCGAAACCGTGATCCAGGCCTCATAGAGAATTGTATGTTCTGTTCCTTTCAGAGGGTTTCAGTTCTTGCATTCCATCCCAGGAGTCATCCAGCATGAAGAGTTCCAGCGCTCTATGAAGAAGATCTTCAAAGGCTGGAGTCACAGACAAGCAGGGCAGGCAACTCAAGCATCCAGTCCAGTGTAAGGAGGGGGAGGCAAGAAAGCTCTCCGAATCCCAACTTTACTAGCATAATGCATCATGTCGCAATGTAGTGCACAGGTTTAAGATGTGCTTCAAACTAACAGCAGCCGGCGGGATCTGCATGTGCGGACTGAATGCTGATTTCGTCGATCGGTCGTGCAATAATGTGAGGACTATTAAACCCCATTTCCCCAAATACTTTAACTTGATTTTAACCTTGAGTTGAACCTGCAAGTTGAACCTGAAAGCAATGCCTCCCCAAACGTGTAATTTGTTCTCTGAATTAGGGTCCCTTCTAGGACGCTTTTTGTAAATCTTCCGTACTATTTTGGGGGACTTAAAGCGTGACAGTAATTTAGAGAACTAGCCATATAACACTCCCGCAGGCCTCAGTTGAGTTCAGTGTGTTCAGTTGCTTTTCAGCTTCACGGTCCGGGCTTGACGGGTGGGTTTTGGGGTTTAGGGCTTCAGGCTTCGAACAGATCCGTCAGTGCTCGAAGCCCACAAAGCCTAGAGCCATGAACCCTAAAGCCTAAAGCACTAAAGCCCGAAACCGTGGCGGGCGAGAGTGGCCCACAGAGTTTTGAACTTTCGGATGAGATTGACAGGCGCTTTCTCAGCGGAAGATATCCGCAAGCTGTTCATCGCGGCGGACTCCTCGGGCCAGGGCAACGTGAGCAGCCAGGACGTGGCAGAGTTCTGATCTAGCCGTCTACGGTGCAGGGCTTATACGAGGTTTGTACAGGTAAGCTGAACAAGAAGGCGTGGTGTTGATGTATTTTTAGCGTTTGGCTTGCAGCTTCGGGTGCATATAGGGGCTCTGGCCAGGCTAGACATGTGAAGCTAGCGTACAACACCCCGCCTATCCATGTTATTGTGCGAACACTGTGAGACCGGTACAGGAAAATAAGATGAGTCCGTTACTGTAACAATTGGGCGCCTTCCACGGGAAGATGTCTTGCTACTGTCGTTCTGCGCCTAGTTTGCGTTCCTAATCCCCGATGAAGCATACAGCTGAGCTATGCTGAGTAATCGAGTCTCCAATCGGTTACGCTGCACTAAACTGCCCTTCATGTTTCATGCTAACATAAACTGGTGACTAACTTATGGCAGCGACGGCTGCGGATGAAAGCTGTTGTTTCCTGTTGTTGCCGCTGCTGATGACAATTATATAAGATGTCTTGTTTCAGTTATTCTTTTTGGGTGTTTTTGCTAGTGTGCTGTGGTTGCATAAAACCACTGTTGCAGTGGGTTCACACCCTCTCTGCCCGCCGCTGCTTTTTGTTTGGTCTTCACGGTGGGCTCGGCCATGCAGAGGACATCGTTCAACTGCTGCGTTTGGGTGCCATTGCAACGGGCAGCGAGCTGCCGGGAGAGGCAGATAGAGCTTGCAGGTGTCGGGCTTGAGGCTAAGTCAGGAGCCTTAATAATTACCAATACTATTTTGGGGGCCTAAAACCCTGCCTATTCCACTTATTAAGGCCCCTATCTGAAGTCGAAGTTCAGACTTTGAAATTTCGGCATCCGAATCCAGAGGTCAAAGAAAGCAGACATGCAAGCATAGGTCACGGGTTCCATAAAGTTTTAACACGGATCCCACAGGCGGCTATCACTCTTTCTTGCTGTGCATGGGTTTGGGTTGTAGGGTGAAGGCAACCACGATGTTTACTGGTATCTCATGTCATGTTACTTCCGTAAGTATCGGATCACACCCTGAACCATGCAAGCTTCTCAACGCCCATGCCGGGGTTCTGCTCACTTAATCAAGCTCATGCTAGTCAGACTCGCATGTGCTTGTGCAAATGCTTTGCGTCCAAGACTTGTGTTGTCAGCAGCCTGACTGTTTACATGCCTCTACACACATAGAGGTAGATGTGTATCGAGATCCCTGTTGACGGAGATGATCATGAGCATGGATAGAGGTAGGGCTTTCATGCAACGCTCGATGTTAATGTTAGGCATGTCTTACATCCGTGTGACTGAGCAGCTTGCATCAAGCTTCCGCAACCGCCAGGAACATGGTGCCGCTCCAAACCCTACCGTGGACGCCGGAACCACCGACGATACTCCGGAGGACAATCGGCGGGTTCCAGCATTCAACTGTGAGCTTTGACACTACATCCCCCAAACCTTAAACTACATCATAGATCCCAAACCCCATGGCTCAAATAGCCTGAGTCTCCCTTTGTCTTCTTGTTGTTGTCCTGGTGTTGGCTGATGATGCTGTCGTTGTCCTCAGAAATTATGTATTGTTCGTACGGTGATGGTGATGGTGTCATTGAGGTGCCGATGATGATGCTCACGGTGGTCACAGCGGTGATGAAGATGAAATACCAGGTGATGAGTTTAGTAAGACAGTATTTCTGCTACCGTTGGTCATTATGCATGCAAGGCATGCTGAATGGTGCCTCGTGACCAGTGACGAGGAAGCAACCACTACCAGTAAGGCTGCCACAGTCGCTCCGACCCGTCCTGCTCCTCCTACTACTACTGCTAATGCGACTGCGACTGCGACCACTACAACTACAATTACAACTACAACTACAACAACTACTACTACTACTGCCACGACGACGACTTACAACAACCACTGCCGCTGCTACTACTGTGTGCACTACCGTCGCTGCGCCTGCATTTCGTTGTTCCCGAGATCCGCCCTAGACCCTGCAACCTCTCCAATTCTCAAACCATCTGGAAATCCAGACTCCAAACTGGAAACAAGCTGAAGGAACCCTACTACTACTACTACTACTACTACTACTACTACTACTACTACTACTACTACTACTACTACTACTACTACTACTACTACTACTACTACTACTACTACTACTACTACTACTGCCACTACTACTACTACTACTACTACTACTACTACTAAACTACTACTACTACTACTACTGCTACTACTACTACCACCACTACTACTGCTGCTACTACTACTGCTACTACTACTACTACTACTACTACTACTACTACTACTACTACTACTACTACTACTACTACTACTACTGGTACTACTACTACTACTACTACTACTACTACTACTACTACTATTATTATTATTATTATTGCTGCTACTATTATTGCTGCTCCTACGACTGCTACTGTTGTTCCCGAGATCCGCCCCGGACCCTGCAACCTCTCCAGGAACCTGCCAGCCCGACCAGCCCATCAGCCGACCCAGGCCCTTCGGGTAAGGAATTCTGCAAAGATGGGCGTTTTTCGGCTTCACCTAGGGGTACTTAGAAATAGTTTTTAATTTTAACGCTACGCCGCCCGCCTCGGCTCTGTAGTGGCAGGGGTTAAGGCCTTCCAGCCATGCCGCCCGGAGCAAGAAAAAACAACACAGAAAGAGCCTGAAAAGAAAGACAGGCAGTGGATTGACGACGAGGGATTTGGGGGGAGGGGGGGGAGGGGGGGAGGGGGGGAGGGGTGTGCCGATACACCCCCAAGGGATACTCCTTGTAAGGAGGTGTATGACCAGTTTATTCCCTAAGGATCAAAGGGCAGCGCCCTGCACACGGACAGTAGTTGTTTTGTCTTGCTACGCAAGGAGAGCTTGTCTTGTCTCAATATGGTAAAACCACTGTGAGCCAATGGGCAGCGGAATGTATATGTATGAGCATGCAGCCATTGCTGTAGGTACCTGTTAGAGCTACCCCTTTAGAGGTTTATGGTTTCAAACAGACACTAATTTTCTTTTACCGAAAGCATGGCCGCACATTCACACATATACTGTTATGCCCACTGTCACAGTTGCGGAGTTTTGGACTCATTATAAAAACAGCATATTAAGTATGCTAGGTATAGCACTGAAGTATACTGCTGAGGAAACTCCACTCCTTTTGCGCACACACTCATGCATGTTTGTCAGAGAGATCATCTGTACAAGATCAGGTCTGGTGATGTTCTACTACCGAATTATGCAGCCACTCATTGTGCTCTTGTTAGAGCCTTGTGATTCACTATTGTGAAACTCTGAGACTTTTCTTATCTCAGATTAGGATCCAGGTTTGGATCATAGGCTCGAGCGTAGACATTCGGATGTGGCTCATCCGGGTCTGAGTGGTCTTCTTCGGAACTTGAAAAGATTCCGAATAATCTGTTCTCAGCCCTGGTGAAGGCGGCATCTGCAGTATCATATCCATGGTTGGATGTTGTCGCCTTTGGCTCGGCCTTTGGAGCAGCTTGTGAGCTGACTGGAGTTGCCTTGGCTTTTGCCGGTTGCGGCTGCTTAGCCTTTGCCCGTTCAGCCCTTCTTCTTTCAAGCTGTCCGTCTGAGGACGCCCATGATCTTTCACTTTCATCTCCTGAGGGAGATAAGGCGTGGGCATAAAGGCTATTCCAGTACTGTGGTGCAGAAGGAGTTAGGACTTCTTCATTGTCAGATTCTGATTGGTCTTCCTCAGAGCTTTGGTCATCAAAGAGTGTCTCGAGGACATTTTTGAGATTGTTATTTCTTCGCTCTATCTCTAGTGAGGAATTGACCAATTGATTAAAGACTGTCCTTGAGTCCTTCAGTGCTGTGAGGAGGATTTCTACTCTGGATAGAGTATCTTGGATGGTGTCAAGATGTTCCTTTCTTTCCTCCTTGTCTCTCTGGATAGAGCCTCGCAATGCTTGTGCGATTCTGAGGAGGTCTGTGTATTTCGCAAGAGGCATAGTTACCGTTTGATTGTCATGTATGACAGTTGTTTCATCGCCGCTTAAGTTCCTGAATAGGACTTCCACGATTGGTAGGAACTCCGTGCTCCACGGTTCCTCTTCATCATATGTTTCTACGTGCTGTAGCACGCGTTGTGTAAACTGGCCGGATGCTTCTACCGTTGCATCGATAGAGCTGATGTGTCTTGATACTATGTTTCGACACGTAACGTTAATTGCCTGGCCTTGATTGGCTTGATCAAGTGCAGCGTCTGCATAGGTGCAGAGTCCACTGTTGTGGGCTTCTCTAGCTGCCTTTCGTTGAATACGCCGATTTTGACCTCCTCTTCTGGTAGGACCTTTTGGTCTTGGAGGATCAGAAGGTACTGTTCCTTTCGCCTTCGGCGGAGGACTCTTAGGTGGAGGTGACATGTTAGCCTTGTTAGGCCCTGGTGGCATTGCCTTGGGCGCTGATGACGATGCGGCACTTGGAAGTGCAGATGTACCTCTGGCCTTTGCCGTGGATCCCTTAGGGATCGATGTGTAGGTAATCTGCATGGCTTCCTCGGCCATTTGTGCATGCAAGGCATCCTGAAATAATTGCGTCATGTGAGGAGTGTTACTTGCATCATCGTAGGTCTGGAAGCGCTCAATGTCTCTTTCGGTGCCACGTGGTCGTGTATCACCTCTTTGGAAAGGATCATTCCTGCGAATCTCCGCAACTTGTACTGCATGAAGGCAGTTTTTGCACAGCACCTTCCTGCAAACATCTCTTGCTTGCTTAGCTGGTAACAGCTGTCTGAGAGATGGTAGACTTCGCTTCGGGAAGTATGCCAAATAGGTCGCAGATCGGTTGTTTCTCCGGAATTAACCCTGTTGGGTCCTAAAGGTTCACGCGTCTGCGGTTCGTCCTCGGGTTCGAGGAATGGAACTCTTTGGTTCGCTGCTGCTCTTGATTTTGGTTGTTGGCGCTCCATACATCTGATAGGAGGCCTGGTAATCTGCTTCCACATCCAGTGTAAGCCCATTAGCAGCAGGAACACATTCCACGTGATGCTGAAGACGGAGAAGTCTTGCTCACTGGTTAGTGAGTCTGGAAGTGAAGTTCTCGTCAGTCTTGGTAGACTCTGCGTTTGCTCCACCTCGGTTGCGGTGTCCGAACCAGCCCGACAACCCCGCTGCTGTAGCAGCTGTTCTGAGTGCCTTGCCGCTCGGAGCAGACGGTGGACGCGATGCCTTCCTTCTTCTTCTCCGACTGGAGGATTCGTCCTCTTGTTCCTCTTCATCTCTCTGAGCAGACATCAAGTTTGATGTTTCTCTTTCGTGTTCTTCGATGTCACTTTTTGTCGGTGACGGTTCTTCTTCTAGTCCATCCAGCTCTTCCAAAGACATGTTGAGCTTGTCAACAATATTGGTTCTTTGAGGCCTGGACCTTGATCTTGGTAGATCTTGTTGTGAAGAGGACGATGATTCCTGGTTCCTTCTTGGAGGAGGACCTTCAGGCTCGCTGGGACGTTCAGGCTGTGGCCACTCCCAGAATCTTCCATATCTGTGATGGCTACCTGATGGTTGCGATTTGTCGTACCAGCTGTTGCCGGATGAGTAAACGAATGAATCGTTGTAACCCCAGTATTCAGCATTACGCTGCTTGTAAGCCTTTCGCTTGTCAGCGATTTTCTGGACCTGGGCATCTGACCGGTTGTGTTTCCCTTTTGTAAGGATTGGTTGTATCGTGAAGCCCAGTGGGCTATGCCAATCTTTGTCAGTGGGACCCAACCATAGGTCAAGGTTAGAGAAAGTTGAATAGTACTGCTTGACTGAAACAAACAGACGGATATCAATATCCCTGTTGTTGTTCGTGTCCTGCCACATATCTGAGATTCGTTCCCAGTATGTTCTTTCAGCGGCAGGTGTGACCTCTCTTGGACTAGGTGACGCCGTGTGCGGCGTTTTACTCCAGTCAAGGATATAACTGTTGATACAGTCAAGGTCAGCAACTTTCTTCGCCGGGTCCGCCGGTAGACGATCTGCCCGTGCCAGTCTGTGCTGGTCGGAGTTGTTCAAGCAAAGATGTCGCACTTGTGAGTGCCTTCCTGCTATTCTGTTGAATGCTGCAAGTTTCTTCTCCAGGTATAGAGAAAACAAACTGTTTCGCGGGTGAACGTCTCCACCTTTTAAGGTGAGCCTCGACGCAATATTATTGAGATCTCCCGCTATTACATCCGGTTTAAAAGGGAGAACCTCGTTGAGGAACGCGTTCACCAGTTCGCGTCTCTGTTCTTCCTTATGAGTCATGAACGAGTTGAAATGGACGATCGCAATGGTGATGACCTTGTAAGGCCCTTTTGTACACCACATCTCGTCAAGATCATTAGATGCTTCTTGTGAGAAGATCTCTGCGTATGTCTCAAAGTCTTCCTCTGGTGGCTCATCACCCTCGACATGGCCGTTCCATTCACAGAGAATCGGCGAGGGATTAAGAGTCGACAATGTCAGACACGCCTCTGGTGAGAGGTAAGAGCCATCAGTGGGTCCATCCTTGTCAGGATTTTTGCCCTTGAGCGGGTCATATCCGATAATCTGCATGAACTCGTCTCTCGTCATCCTTTGGCCAGAATTTGGGTGGACCCATTCTTTTGCCTCTGGTATGGTACTGTGGTACCCGAATGTGAGGCGGCACACCGCACCGTGGCATGCCCACAGTCGCTTCTTGGTACCACCATTCTTAGGCTTCATTGTTCGATGACGGTAAAAGTGGTGGACGAGAGCAATGTCTGTCGTTGGGTCACCCTTGACTCCGATGTACATTGAGGGTGCCTCAGGCTCCTTGGGAGGAGAATGGATTAGCATCCCTCTGTATTCGTGTTTTCGCATGGTTGCGATTGAGTACTCTGACGCAAGTGCTCCTGCCTCGAGTACGAGGGTAATATGAGCTGAATTGTTGAAGCACATGTCAATAAGAGGGTGATAATCGAATCCCTTCTCAGGTTTGAGCTTCTTTTTGGGATTCCCTGCGGGCACCGGCGCTCGATCCATATTTCCCCAGTTGAATACCACTAGATTTAGCGATACGCTATCTGGGTTCGAGCCTTCAATGTATTCTCTCTTCTCATTGACACCGGCCATCCTATTGCGAACTATCTCGTAATGTGCATCGAGCACCAGTTTGTCTTCGTGGCCAGTGAGAGTGAGAAAAGAAGCCGGGTGGCTTGTTCTAGAGTCCTTGATGTTGATGTGACTCTTGTTAACGCTCTTATATTCCTCCAGGGTTGGAGCCTCTGTGGAGCTGTCATACGTATTCGGAGGATTGTTCCTGATATCATCAAGGCTGTATGGATCTACGCCTGGATGGTCCTTTTCGAACATGCTTCTTGCGTGTTCGCAATACATGTTGATTTTCTGGACTGCCAAATCTACGTCCTCATGTGTGAGGATGGCCTCGTATAAAAACTGACGCTCGTCTGAGGTCATTCCTGCTCTCACTTTGGAGGTCTCAAGGCAATCGATTGGCAAGACGCACTCGCACATCCGTTGTTTACC